GTTTTTGACTTCTCGCCGTTGGGCGCCGTCTTCTCACCTTCGTGGAAGGGACCACCGCGTTCCCGATCACCGTTAAGAACGCGGGTTGCGCCTCGGGGTCCTCCGCCGCCTGCAACCTCGGGTGATTGCTTGTGGAGATACCGGAACGTGTACGGTCTTGATCGAGACAGTCGTGAAAATCAGCTACGTTGTTGAAGAGGCAGGCCGGCGGCCGTTGCGAGGATCCTTCGAGTTTATAGGAGAGCTTGATTCTCTCGCTGCGCACTTGAACACACCCGGCGCATTTGGGCGTTGGGGTGGATTGGCCCGATTTTATTCACATGTTGTCGCGATAAGGGCCTTCACGATAAGGCGTTCCGACTGCCTAGCTCGGGGAATTCGTGTACATTGGCGTTCATGGAGGTGTAGTGCATGCATACTGATGTTGTTGAACGAGAAAATTCTCCTTAAAACTCCGGGACCTTTTGTTTCTTGATCGGTCGGACCATCTGCATATATGCAAGCGATTCTGATGCATCAACGGCGTCGGACCATATTGCACTACTATATCAGTATGGTGCGGATCAATTGGATCAGCCTGAGAATCCAGACTGGACTTTTTTGACGTTTCATTGTGGTAGGTTGACCTAAGTACGTTATCGCAACAGGGTCGGACCGAATCTTGTTGTACTTTGATCAAGAATTACAGTTTCATAGCTGTAGAAGGGAATTCAACCTTCTATGTACGAGCGACTGATACATTATATGCAGTTTGTTCTTTGCTAGAGACGGTATGCTTTCGAGTTTGTCACACTGTGCCATGCATGAATCAACCGTGACCGTTATAACGAACTTAGCTTAGCCCTAAGATTCAGTTTTACTTGCACAGTGCTAGCTTGATATCGGATCACCTAACTGTTGCGGCTTGCGCATGCGCAGCAAATTGTTGCATGGTGAAGAATAATTTGACATATATCATCTACCGTCCACAATTGTGGGTTTGGCACGTACCATAGTTTGCAGCATGGGCCCGACGATCGGCCGGCCGGGGACTAGCAAGTATGTATATGATGGATACAAGCACACAAGCTCATTCGGTGCCCCGCAGTCCGACAGCTATAGCTCCATAAAGTGACTGATCCGGCGATCGCAATTGAATCTTGAAGGGACTTGGTACATTCAATTTGTTATAAGTCAGGACTCAGACGTACCGGTATATGCGGATATAGGATACAATATCGAACTGCAATCTAGGGTGAGTGACTCACCCACTTAGTGTCGATTCTTGTGAAGCTCATGTGCAAATATGTTGCTTAGTAAGCGCTACTAGCTCGGTCATTTTCAGAATCAGTGAGGTCGACCGTTTTAAACCTTACTTTTCACCACCGAGGTCAGATCATTGAAATAATAGCCTGAAAGCTGGCTGCCGCGCTACTCCTGCAATGTGGCGTGCAGATTCTTGCTCCTGTTGACCTTCCCTCTCAATCTCCAAAGATGTCAATTCCATGGCCAACGTCCTAAGTTGCTTCTTCATTCTACAGCTAGTGTCCTTTCAACCATAATGCTTTATTGTCTGCTTCTCTACGACCACGATCATAGAGAAACACAGCAATGACACCCTTTCAACTTGCAATTCCCCAAGAATCAAACGTGCTTTCCAGAACTAGAGGGCCGAGCACTTTTTGTAGCTTTTTTAGGGGGCAAGCCGAGTCCCAAACCCTGGCCAAGCCCCAGCCCAAGCGGCCCGTTGCTTTGACCTTTCTCCACATCGTTATGCACATGCCCGTTATCGTGTTCGTGATTACAACTGCTCGAATGCACATGCCCCTTTCCAAATAGACTACCCAAGAAACCCCCACCCGAATGCCCATTCGTGCCCGCGCTTGGCGTCGCGTGCTCATGGCTATGTGCGCGACTAAGAAGCTGCGGAATCTGCATGGGAGGATCCGTCGGCGCTGTCCAGGGAACGTCCACATCAGTGGTGTAGCCTTTCGAGAGGAACTCGGCGCAATTCGCCCGCATGCCCTTGTCATACGGGTTGAAGTACCGGCCGTCGCCGCTCCGGAGGTACGAGTAGCGGTGCGAGTTCGCAACTTCGTTGGTCGTCACATTACGCGCAATCTGCAAGAGTACGCAATCCCTTTAAAAAAAGTGGTCAAGAACCAGAAAAACGTCACAAGGTCGTTACTCCATGACTAGATTATGGATGACTGGGGCCGCCTATGTTGTGCGCTTTGGACAATCTGAAGGCTTGATAACACTCACGGCTCAGGTCGTCCTACACTAATGCAACTATGTGTGATCGCTTTTACTAGTAGACTCTACAGCATGCCTTCCGAAACGATAGCAGACGCATAAGTCATCACTATCTACATAAATCTTTCGTCTTTGTTACAGTCAAAGACAGTTGCTCAATCCGCTGAAATGGATCCTCAACTGTTGCAGACATCGGTGTCATTATTTTATGAACGAACTTCTACTTACAAACGCTCAAATCATGAAAACGTAAGTCGCAAAACCTACTCCAGTAGACCGCAACAATGCCGCAACAGCATTGCTCGCCAAGTACACTATGCGAAATGGCTACTCATTCGTCCTTTTGCCGTGAACAGCAACTGAAAAACTGGAAAAATAAAGAGTCCGCCTTGCTTCTTGCTTCTTCCTGGATTTCGTCCTGGAAACCGGTTGAACAGCATCAGAAAGTGCAAACATTGTAGATCATAGCGTGAAAGAAGATTCGTTCGATCATATCGGCTGCTGACTTGGTCTGCAAAAGCAGCAAGTCCTTCAACCAGATAAGGGGGTATTCCGTTGGTTGTAAAGGCAGCCCACCTGCATCCCCTGGATGACTGCCAGTGAGAGCACGCTCATGAGCATGAAGAGGTCCCCAATGACAAACCCGAGCGCGCCGCCGTGCGAGGAACCCACGTGGGAGAACCACGTGTTCGGCTCTATGTGGTGGTCGTCGATCCACAGCCCTGCAAAACCACGGTGACAACCTCAGACTGGAAGGGCCTCTTTTGCGAGCGGTCAAGTTCCCAAATTTCTTTTGGCTGGCATGAGAAACTTGAAATATGGTGGTTGAGGCAGAAAGTTCCTTCGGAAAGGACCCCAGATGCTTTTCGTCGTCCAGAACTCAATGCGCACAATGGAGTAAAGACCTTGTGAAGCCAAGTTTGCGCGTGCACGACCAAGCGCCCCGTAGCGACATCGATCAATTTGTCTGCAGGGTCCGCTCAACATTGACGGAGGGTACAAATCACTCATAGCGAGGCGGTGATGTCCAACAGACTTACTGGAGTTTCTTCAAAAACGAAGGAAACCAGAGAAAGCCTCGTTCTCTGTCACGTGCGGTTGATTGACGCAACCAGGCGGTCCGAGGAGCCAGGAATGAAGCCGCCACTTCGTCCAATCTTCACCGCAAGCACTGAAGGGTGTCCTAATACCACCTTAACTGACGGAAAATCGTGAAAGCAGAAAACACCAAGCAAGAAGTATACAGAAAGCACGAAGCAGCACGGCGAGCGACACACGGCAACTTACGGTAGATCGCAACGGTCGCTCCCAGCGCCATGCAGAAGGACTCCACCGCGAGGAACACGAAAAAGTCCCACTTGTTCTTCTTCCCGACGCAGTTGCCGATCCAGGGGCAGTGGTGGTCGAAGTGCTCCACGCAGCGGTCGCAGATCGAGCAGTGCTTCGATCGCAGCGGGCGCACAATCTGCATTTCAAAGAGCGTTATTAAATATCTTCGTATGCCGAATATCTAATTTCGGAACGTGGCGCTGTGATGATGATATACTGTGATCTGGAACGCAGGCGGTTGCAGTCCGAGCAGTCTCTCGACCTCAGAGTTGCACAATGCGCGCATCCAACAGCAAGGGGGTTCTTGAATGAGTCCGGGGGTTGAAACCCGGAGGCTCGTGTGTCCGGGACTGCAGATGGGGCGGAGCTTGTGAAGTTGCCATGCCCACTATTTGCAGCCGCAAGTTCCGGGACTCAGGACTCTCTTGACTCATTCATATGCAGTATGAATTGCTGCAAAAACAATCTCGGGCTCTTCCCGCAGGGGGTGCATAATGTGCAACTGAGGCCATGATTTGATTGCCCTTTTCTGCATTCAGTCAACGTCTTGGCCTCTAAACTCCTTTCCTCAAAGTCCCGGATTCTTTCTACCGCATGGGAACCCGTCGACCTCTTCCACGGATTGCCAAAACAAAGGTGTTCCAGGACAGCCTTACCTTGCAAGTCGGACAGAGCTGATTCCAATTGCCAGCCCACAAAGCAGCGTGGTCGCGCATCCCCGTCCGAAGACCAACTAGAGGCTCCTGCACCGAAACCGGGAACGCTAAGCGAGTGACTCAGCGAATGAGATGCTCAATTACGAAGATGCTCGGAGTCCACGTAAGAAAAAGCTATCGTCCCCTCTGCAATAACTTCCGAAGCGAGGCGACACATCGAAACGTGGCAGCCTTGTGGCCAATCTGACCCGTGAATCCGTCTTCAAGATGTTGAGCCACGACTGTCAAAGCACGTGCCCCTAGTGCTTTGAATCCTGCCCATCTTCCATTTGTTTTCCCAAGCAATCAACCTGCTTGCGACCAAGTTCCCTAACACTCGAAGTAATGTGCCCAATCTTCGTCCTGCCTCTCCCGTACCCCAACCTCGTGGTCTGCAAATGACGTCTGTATCCGAATGGAATTCTAAAACCCCCACCCGTCCCCTGAGCCCCGAGTCCTCTGGACACTTGCACATTTTCAAAGACTGTGCCTTTCAGTGCAAAGCGGCCAAACCCAATGGTATCCGCTCGCTGACTCGCTACCTCTCTACTAACGGGCCTGTTCATAATAACCAGACCTCGAACTTGACAACTGACATCACATTTTCAAAATTATTCACGCCCTGTGAATCCAGACACAGCTTCTATATAGCACCCGCACAAGACGAAAGTTACCAGCAAGCGAAGACTCAACCAAAAGATTCAAGACCTGACTGGCGGTGTCAAAGTCTCTTTAATGCGTTGAGTCTCATCTTCCGACACCACATCACATGAAAAAGCGGTGCACAAAGAAATATGTGTAATGGACGCTCACTTTAGAGGAAGCGGTGTAGCAATGGTAACTAGGAGTGAGCGCTCACCGATGCGCTGTCGCCCCCCTCGTCCCGCCTGCTTATGAACCCGGGGTCCCGCGTGGTAGCGCGCCACATGATGCCCAGCCCCCCAAGAGCCCCGAGTACGCAAGTCCAGCCCCAGATGGCTTCCGAGGCGCTGATCTCCGCAAGGGAGCGGCTCAGGAGAACAGTGGTGACAAAAAGGTAGACGAGACCAAACACTATGAGCCAGATGATGGGGGCGAGGCCGTAACGAGCGACCCACGCGAACTTGGAGTTGGGGTCGGGGCGCTTCTCGTACACGCGGCGGGCGTTGGACTGCGGGGTTGCGAAACGTGGACTCAAAGTGGATAGCGTGTTTCGGGACGTGGGTTAACCTGTCCGAGGTGGCGTGGGATGGGGTGCGTTTCAAGGAACGGCCAGGCGTCAAATATGCAGTTAGGCCTTACAACGGGATAGTCGCAGTCATGCGCAGACTCTGAAAGAGCTCAAAACCAGTCAGGCGAAAACCATTTGCAATTAGGGACTAGTAACAATATCAAGGATGTCAGCTGCAGCGAGTATCGGATGTGACAAGCTGGTTTGGAAGGGAAGGCGCTCTCACATTCGAATAAAGCGGCTGAGTCCCACGCTTTAGGCGTTGACTGCCGATCGACATCTAATGCTTCTGTAAAGACGCGGCGAGTGATGAAAACATCCAATTCCCGCCGTCCACGAATCGCAGTCGTCATCGCCATTCAAAAACGACTCGACTTTTACTCTTTGAATGTACACATGAAACCAGTACCCGCGGGCAGAGTTTTGCCACGTCCTCCAGCAGCCGCAAATGCAGCCACATCACGCCTGCTCCCCTGACGAGATCACACACCAATCTTGAAGACCCCGCCTGCAGCACATTTTGACTGCCAGCCACGCCATCCAAGCCAGAGGCTCACCAGGAAGAGCGCCACATGGTGGTGGCCCTTGTCGCTCGCCAGCTGGCCGGGCGTGCAGCCCGTGCTGTCCTGCGCCGCCAGGTCCTCCTTTCTTCCGGCCTGAACGAGCACCGTCACTGCATCCAAGTGCCCACGGATGGCGGCCCAGTGGAGAGGCGTGCAGCCTGGGGGATGATGAGGGACGGGGTTGGTGGGGTAAATAAGTGAAATTTTTTTACTCTGACTACTGAGAGAAAGAGGTGGACCATTGAATGCACTCTTGGGTTTTCCCACTCCAGTAAGGATGCGTCTGTGGGACTGGCGACCAAGTGTACGAGAGTTACTCCCAAGGTCATTTGGGGAGAAATCTGAGAAGCGATGCAGATGGTACTCATCACCTTCTTTGTCTGTGAAGGAACTTAGGGACTTTAGAAATCACTGAGGCATCAAACAACTTTGTCCTGATCATGTACAAAGAAGCGTACAAGAAAGTCGCCACTTCTTTTGTACACTGATCGAAGCAGTGTCAGGGCCAGCACATGAAATAGCAGATCGAAATAATGATACCACACACACCAAAACCAGCCCCAACAAGGAAAACCGCATCCTCACCCTCCTTGTCTTGCCGAGAGATGGATGCGTCCATGAAGAGGAGCAATCGAATAGGGTCCACAAAGCCCTTGTAGGCGGCCCAGTGAAGCGCGCTGCGCCCGTCCTTGTCCAGGGCGTCAATCTCGGCAGACCATTTGGTGGCAACATGGTACAGCAGTGCCGTGTGACCATACTGGGCCGCAACGTGCACAGTCTGCACCAGAGCAGAAACCAGTATTTTTGGAAGTTCTTCAACACAGAGTCTCCTTACCGATCCTGCGTTCTCTAGTTCAATCCTCTTGGTGAAGGTGCAGCTCTCCTGAATGGATATCTGAAAGAGCCAGAAATGAAAGCGTACGTCATACGCCTCTGGCTTTGGTTGCTACCAAAAGAGAACTCAATATGTGCAGATGCAGAAATGAGGCGGTTTGTTGATAAGAGGTGTTTGCTAGGATTGCTGTTGCTCCTCCACGTCACAACGTCTTATGCATACCTAATGCCTCGCCTAGTGACAGAAGAAAACCTGGCAAGACTGAAACAGTGTCTATTGTTCATACGAGGGACAATCATGCGACGAGAATCGAGCTTCATCTTCAGGCCCCCGCTTCTTGGCAAATGCTATTCTTAGGTAAATGACAAAGATCTAAGCCGCACATCCAGCCCCACCCCCATGGTTGCAACGAATAAAAGGTAAGCCTGACAAGTTGTAGAGACCTCCACTTCCCGAAGAACCCCGTTTGAAATTCTCTGAAGCCCTCTTCCGTCTAGACCCCCAAGCTCGGTCAGCTTCTCGACAGGTTTCCCAGCATACTTGCTGTTCGATTAAGCCTCTGCACGAACTCACCCTATAACCGTGACTGTCTGTCAGCTCCACATCTGCCCCATGCTGCAGCAACTGCTCTGCAACTTGAATGGAACCTCTAACTGCCGTCCAGTGTAGTGCAGTCTGTCCCGTGTGATCCCTAGCGTTCACATCAGCCCCATGCTGCAAGCATGGCAAAAGGTGTTGGATGCACTATCACCACATATTGGCGGACTTTGCTGCAGCAACAGAAGTGGTCACCGTCACAGGCCAAGAGCAAGAGCGCGAGGAGAAGCAGCAGCAGAGCATTCTCTGAACACTTCCAGCCAGAGTAGAGAACTTTGCTGCAATAGGGTCAAAGAACCACAGTCAAATACTCTTCACAACCACAGTCAGGAACTCTATCATTTGAAGCAAGTTCCAAAGGCGGTGGTCAAGAATGTAACCCTTGAGAAAACATACCGCTCATCTAAAAAAGCAGTGTCCGGCTCAGAAATCAGTTAGTGGCATCAACATCACCATACGATCTGACATCCAAAAAGCATGAGTGAGATTGACAGCCAAAGTTGCTTGTTCCTCACTTAACACCACTGCTCAGAAACTATGAATGATCTTTAACCAAAACAAGATAAGACACTTGCAAAATACTTTGGCCAAGCACGCCAGCATCCTTGAGCAAGTCCACAAACAAAGATGACATTGATGGCATAACTTACCAAGCTAACAGCTCCAGGCAGCCAGCAACATAAAGTTAAACAAAGCAGCAGTGGGAATGAGTGATGATGACTGGGAACAATTCTACTTACTTCCAGCAGGAATTGAGCAGCCGGTCCTCGGTTGTTGAGCGCGGCCCATTGCAGCGCAAAGAATCCCCCTTTGTCGGGAATCAAAATGGAGTGGCCCTCCCGCTCTACCAAGCGCTTCAGCTTGTCGAGGTCACCATAAGCAGATGCCGAGTAAACATCCTCCTTGATAGAATCATCGGTCCCGTTCGCAGGGCTTCCCTGCACTTGTGCCAGGCTTGAGGTTGCGCTGTTGCCAGAATCCTGGACAATCTCTATTTCAGATGCCATTGCCAGCAAAACCTGCTGAGACGGGACGTGCGCTTTCCACCTTGCTCAGAAAATGCTTTCAATGAAGCTCCGATTTTGCACAACTCCAAAAAGCAGGTCTCATGCTCTATCAATCATAAGAGGGAAAGGCTTGGTCGAAATGGAAAGAGTCGCTCTCGAAATTGTCCAGATCTTCCTAGACCCCGACTCCAAGGAAGGTGCTCCTCGAACTCAGAATTACCAATTTCACTTCAAAGCATTCGAAAAGCTACAAGCTGCTGACACCAGCCTCGAAGCAGCACAAGAGAATCATATAGGCGTGCACCAGCACAGGACTCCCCCGCTGAGCCCCACTGCTAGGGGCGCCCCCTCCAACTTAACTTTCCGTCGGTTCCTAGCTGTGACAACTTTGACCAGCCTTCTAAGTTCTAGTGAACTTCCTTCCTGGCACCTGCCACCTGCTGCTGCCTGCAGCCCTGCTCATAGTCATAGCAGCTGGGTGAACGCCCAGCTTGCTTCACCAAGATTAATTAATATTATTCAATTCGGTACTATTCAAAGCACGGGGCACTTCGACAGAAACCAACGAAGTCCTAACTCAAAAATTGATGTCCCTCTTCGCACACTCGCACTTCCTAACCCCCTGATTAACCCCACAAGTCTCCCGGGTGCCCATCCTGGTGAAACCAAGATTCTGCCAGAAAATTCTCGCATATCGCACGTAGCAAATAGAAGCGGAGCGGTCCAAGACGTCCGATCTAAGACCAAGTATAAGCATCGACGGTACTAAGTTTCTGATATACAGACCAAATAGGGACGGTTGGGGACGGTATCGATCTGTTGCAAGATATCATCGACGGTTCGTATGCAAGAAGTCGATGCCCGATCAGCCGTCGATGCCTAGGAAAATATCTATCCTACGGTGCGCAAGTTTTCCCTGATGACGTCGGCCGAAGAAGACGTCTGCCTTCATTAGACGATCGACAGCTTCAGAGCATTTTGATTTCTACTAGTAACTAAGTACCTATTCTAGCTGCAGTTGATCAGCTGCAGCCCTCCACGCACCTGACGAAGGTAGGGCGCTGTCCTACTGGAGTGTTCCCTTCCGAACCTCTTGCCTCGTCCTAGAGATTCTCTGCAAGATGATGCCTGCTCATTGAAGTTGCTTTGAAGAGAAGAACGGTTGGTGAATGCATAAGTTTGCGCCATCTTGGAACTGCAAAAGTGAAATGTTTATGGAGAAATAAAGGAGTGGTAAGTCTGTGACGACGAAATGCCGTCATTGCAATTGCAATTATCGGTCTACTGCTATTGTTGCGGGAAGGGAATATAGACCCAACTTTTGCATCCTTTTGCTTCTTGAGATCACTTGCCAGTTGACGATGCCAGTGGTCAAGATCCTTTCATTTTCAGCTTCCTTTCAGATTGCTGCTAAAATCAGTGTCTGGATGATTCTAGTCCATGATTTGAATTGAAACAATTTAAAAATGGGCCCAAAACGTTTTCCTTTGATTGTAGCCTTGAGAGGTTTATAATCGTTGTGCAATTAGAAACCCTCTCTGGCATCGGTTGTCAACACTTGACAGAACCAGGAAGGAACTAAATGGTGTCTGTCCTCGGGATTGGTAAGTTGATTATTCAGTCATAAAAGTCTACAATGATCGTCTTTACTTGCCAAAGCTAGTGTTATGCTCGGGCAAATAGCTGAAGTGTGTTTCCATTCAAAGAAGTTTGCACACTTTTTCAAGTCAAATTCTGATTAGAGGACAAGATACGATAGAAAAATACGCTCTGCCAATAATTGCTGGGAGCAGGAACATTTTTTGCACCATAACCACAATGATGACAACCGATACATCAGGATGTGACAGGTGTCCCCAATCTGAAGAGCCAGTATTTTCTCCGGTTCAACAGACTTCTTTACTAAAAAATTCATGAACTTGACAGATTATGTTGATGAACTCTGGATCCGTTAGAAGGTTCTTTGCGCATTTCTTGAAAGATCTAGGAGAGACCACACCATCCCTCTCAGAGTGAACAAGGTCAATATCAGGGCCTACAGCATACTATCTTGCAAGAATGTGCAGAAGCCTTGAGATGGCCGTTCGACTCGTGTCTTCACTGTCGCTGCCAGCTCTGATCTATCTTTTTGTGCTGTAAGCCCCTGTTTGACACTTTGTTTCTTCTGCAAAATGTCCTATGTATTCAAAACGTCCTATGTATTCGAATCTGATCGGGTCACCTCATGTGAGCCTATCATTTTCAAATTCAGGCAAACCTCTCGTTGCAGTTCCAATTGCTCAATCACCTCTCTTCAACCGCACCATCTGTCAACTCAAGGAAAAGTTTAGAGTCTGCTATCCATGGCGCCGAACGGCAGTCTTCCCCAGTCCGGCCGGCCCAAGAAGCGGGGGCGGCCCAGCAAAGCCGACAAGCTGGCCATTGAGCTCGCTCGCCGGGTAGCAGGAGCAGTCTCAGCCGCCGCCGCCGCTGCCAAGGTTTCCGCCGCCAAAGCTCGAGAGCAAGTTCTCAAGCGGGGTCGTGGAAGGCCCCCACAAGCTTTGAAGGTTGAAGTGGAGGAAGAAAGTGAGCAGGAAGAGGAGGAGCCTCAGGAGGCTGTGCGGCCGAAGAACCGGAGGAAAGGCGCTCCTAGACGAGCCCCAGGGTCCACTGCAGGTGAGACAGGCTTGAGGCTGACTGGTGCATGATCTCGTCTGGAGGTTCGTGCAAGAGATCAGATTCTATTCTCGTCGTATCTGTGATAGCGTATGCTGAGGTCGTTTTCCTGATCCTTCTCGAGCCTTTAATTTATTCAAGGACTTACTGTTGATTCTACTTCTGATCAAGCCGAAAGGCAGGAGCTCTCGACGTCCGTGGCTCTAAGTGCCTTTGTGTTGAACACAGAATTACTGGGCGACTACCTAGAGGAGTTGTTAAGATCAAAAAGAAAGTCCAATGATACGAGCAGATGTCACGTGCAGTCTCGCACATTTTCAGCCGCCCCTGAAATACCTGACCTTCTTTTGCGTGGTGTCTCGATTTTCAACTTATCGTGTATGCTTTCATCCCACACTCGTTACAGTATCTCGCTCTTCTTAGGCGTTCAGGTTTTTTTGAAGCAGATCGATCTTAAAGCTGCAATTCACCGCCTGCTTTCCCTCCTCTGCAGAGTGGCTTCAGAGGCCTTTGTCAGCACCCATAATCAGACGGCAGCCAAGAGATATCAAGCACCTGGATATAACCGCGACAGATGTGAGTCGCGAGAATAAATCGACTCAATGATGTCTCATTCAAGCTGTCGCCGCAGACTGCCTTTCGATCAGACGTTCTATAGGCTTTCTGACTTGCTGGTACCAACGTTAAGACGGTTTAGATTTGACACTCCGACAGAGGACGCTTTCAGTATCTCTGAGGATTCAAAGCTCTTGGTTCGACGCCGAAGTTGCCCATCACCTTATTGGTCAAACAGGCACTTAGCAGCTACAGATGCCCGTGGGACTTGAAAGTTAGTCGGCTTTTCATCCTTCCTAATGTCCTGCTAAGCTCATTCCCCTCTGCTTTTGCATTGCATCCGGTTTCATTTTCGAAGTCTATCGGCTTTGTCTCGGAGTCCTCTAGCGATCGGAACAAGCTTCTCTGAAAAGAGATCAGATATTAACTCGCCCCGAATACTCCTTTCATCCTGTCCGCAGATAGGAAAGCGCGAAACGAAGAGGAATCCCAAGTTCGACGAGTTTGTCACGTTTAGTCCCAGAAAGGCAAGTCGGCAGCAATCTTACTGGCTCTGCAGTTTTCAGATGACTGCGAGGGGCTTCGCGTCCTCCTTCACGAGGTCCGAGGGTTGTTCGATGTCTTTGTATACCACTTTACCAGGAAAGCACAGGAGATCAGACTCGAGAATGGAAAAGAAAAGGGGATGATTATGCTCGAAGCGATTAAGGGTTTCGCCGATGAGTCACAACCCAAGCCTGGTCGCCTTGCTGTCCTTCGAATCACTTTAGATGCTACATAGACGGCTCAAGAGCCGCGTCTGAGGCCTGCACCCTTGAGAACCTGGCGCGATGCGACGTCGAAGTTGACCAGTCGGACTGCGAAAGATACGCAGTGCGTCCCCTCTCAGTGCTACAGGTTGCGAAAAAACATTCTTCGAGCTGCGCTACCAATACTAGGGATGTCAGGCAAACTCGTCTGCAGTGCAAGGTCCTGATTCTGGCATGCTGTACAAATCGATTCTCGGAAGCTTTAGTGCAAGACTCTGTTCGAGTCGAACCGTGTAATTCCTTGTTCTGAGCGATACAGTCTAGAGGGGCACCCGGCTTAGTGTCGCTACATTGAAGTCAGTCAGGAGTTCGGCTTCGACAAAACCTCATAATTCGAGCAAAGGACAGACCTGGCGTAGTCGGCAGTACAGTGCTTGCTGCGTCCGATAAAGCTGCGGTTAACTTACCAAAGAGTTGAAGTTAACCTCTGGTCGCAACTGCACGATCGTAAACAGATGGCGTCCCAAGAAATGGATGTGGAAGTCGATGATAAGCCGTTTGCTTGGGACCGTGGTTGTTATTGTACGGCTCAAGTTTGCTGATCGGCACAGATCGAATTCGGGTCAGGCGGTCAAATGTTCTGGGATGCTTCAGGTTGGAGAATCATTGCGCACTCGCCGTATGTGCAGGTAGAGAGTTCCGCCGACGAGACGTCGCGAAATCCGCTCAGTTCGGAGGCGGCATCCGACTTCGAAACGGACTCGAACGCGGGGGTAGAGAGGCGAGATGGCTCTCAGCTACGGGAGAGCTCTTTGCAACGAGAAAGCTCCTTACAAAACGGAGAAGGTCAGTGGTCAGTGGAAATGTTATCTGGTCCTGTAGTAAGCCTCTATGAGTCCGTTTGGCTCTTCGCGATTCGCCATCGTAGATTTTGGAACACTCTCTTTTGGAATCAGCTGAATATAGGTTGATGATTGTCGTCTGGCCAACTACCAGAAGTTGGGGTGGTAAAGCGGTTTGCGTTGAGATGCAAGAGAACCAGAGCTAGTAGAGGTCACGTAAACCCAAGTCTGGTGACCAGAAGGTTCTGACGGCCCTGTTGAACAAGGTCATAAAATTTGTCACTTCGTTGAAGTCTGTCGACTTCGAACCCAATCACCATTTTTCCTTGCACACTAGATACTCAAGTTTGAGAACCTCGGTAGGAGGAGGGGAGTCGCCGCTTGATGAATTTATTGCGATGTTCCGTCACGGCCTGTTGTCTGACTCGCACTGCAGCTAGGAGACTGGTTTTTCTTGGCCTTCGACCTAGCAACTAGGTTTCCGATCTCTTCGTGATCAGGTGATAATGTTGTCATTTTGACTGCACCGTACACAAAAGCTTACGGGGGCCTCCAATGTGTGAGCAGGGCTTGATGCGAAGAGATGGGAGAACGTAACACAGGTCATCAGATGGGCTCGGGATGCTGAGCTGCTTAGTAAAGAGGCGGCCGAACTGGTGAGCTCTCACTCTGCCTTTCCTTGAAAAGAGAGTGCATAGCGATTTGCTGCGGCGACATTCCATCAACTCGTGGGCGAATGTTTGTTGTCAGAGCCGCTCACAGCAAATCGCTTCGCAGATCACGAAAGCCATGGTTTTCCACGAAGGCAAAAGCAACGTTCGTTTGACATAAGCGCACTGACTGAGAGCCGTTAGCAGTACTGATCAATGCTAACGAAGTTCAGGCATTTCGTTCGGATCTGATGATCGAGCGGAATGATGTCTGAGCAACAAAAGCAGTGGAGGAGGATTTGGAGCAAATCGCACTCTGCATGATCTGGCGACTTCGAAGAGCTCCAAGAGAGCAAGCGAGCAAGCAATTGTGGATTTTCAAGCCACTATCGATCGATGTATGTCCGAAACCCTCATAAAGCACGCCTTGAAGATGGTGATGCAGTTTTCTCCTGGAGTTTTCGAATTGGTTTTCCAATCGCAGCCCTCAGTTGGGTGGAGTAAGATTCATCTTCCCAATCTGTCCGTTTGTCACAAGCTATCAGAGAGGCCCTGTAGACTATCCGGAACTCCTGTAGTTATCGAAAATCAGTCCTGGTCGGGATCTTATTCTTAAGCTGTCCGCAACCCAAAGTCCCTCTTGGCTCTTTCCTGGCTCTCTGGTGGCGGCGCCTATCCGACTTGTCGCAGTCCTCAAAGTTCATGCGGTGCCTCAGCAACCCGTGACTCCTTTTCCGCTGACATTTGACGTCAACCCGTCCGTTTTGCCCGCATTTGCAGCTGATTACCTTAGCCCACCAACATGACAGCGTCTTAGAAGAAGCTGTTCATGCGGTAGCTCCCGAAAATGACGTAGCCGGGTTCCTTAGAGTCGCAGACGATCTGCTCAGAAGATGGTTGCAAGCAAGCAACGGATGACCACAGTGCCTCTCAATAATGTCGTTCGTTGCATGGGTGCCAGCGGCGACGAGGAGAAACTGTTGTTTAGACACGTGCTGCTGTAATATGGTGAATACCGACTGTTGTGTTTTGTTGCTTTTTCAAAGAAATAATGACTCGTCCAACCAAGAATGTCCAGTCCTGCAGTCTTGGGATCAGACAGGCTGTATACACACGCGCTGTCATCATGAATGAGTCCGGGACTACCGTCTCGCATACCCGCACATAACATCAGCTTATTTTGAACCGAAAGTCTCTGATCGTAAAATGCTTGGTCTTAAATACGACCTGGTATGCGTCATCATCTTTACTTTGTCCAGTTTGTGAGCAATTCTGCTTGCTCACAGGCTAGGTAGCGTCCCCATTCCGTTGACCGTTGAATGATTGAGCATTGCGCCGAGCCAATATATGCGTTCATGCGCTGCGTGAAGCAACATACCCGAAGCCTGGCGTGCGCGTGGCTGCCGCCCAGGCTAAACTATTGACCGTCGATCGTGGCCGTACGTCGAATATACGAATGCAAACCGTGCTGTACTACTGCAGCTTGCGCGTGCCGACAAAGTAAACGTTATTGATTGCATAATCAGTATATTCAAACATGATATGTGCGGCATGTATAGCTTATATGTAAGTACCGTCGTTAAGGGAAAATTGCCTATCCATGGCCGCGCGCATGCAAGCTACGATAGCGCTACGATCAGGCATGACCGTCAGTGTGCATGCAAGCGGCGGCTCTTGCCATGGCGGCAAAGTTGAAGTGACTATACCATATGACGGTCACTCGACAATTGCTGTGAGGTACTAAGCCTGAATAATTATATATAGTCGTCCCAAGACCAGGCAGGCTGTATAAAGGCGAGTCCGTGTATACTGAGCGTGGCGTAAATGGTTTTCAAGATTGATGCTTAATCATGGTACGTGAGCTCCCATGCACGAAAGATAACAGCTAGCTATCTGCTTGAGTATTGCCAGGTGAGTTGCTACCCAAGCTAGTCACAGGCTGAGTCTTCTATGTCCTGCTCAGAAGTCACATCGAGCCCAACACGTGGTTCTACAGCGAATGTACTGGCATGCCTGTGCAACTTGAAGCTACGAATATTTATGCAGTATAGATTGCTTGTATGCCCGGCGGCGGCCTAATCCATCACAAAATGTCGCCACAGGGACTTAGTTTAGGCTAGAAATCTCCACGTCTCTGTACATGTTCAAGAGTGACAGTTCCGGGCACTCTTTGTCGAACCTAGCTAGCTGAAAAGTGTTGTATGGTTGAGTGATAGCTGCAGGAAAAAAGTCCCTCAACTCAATTGCAATACAGAAATCAGTCAACCCTGCAATTAAACGTTATCATACCAGCAGTCAAACCACCAAGAAGAATCCAGCTGACGTACAGCTGTCCTGCGACACAGTCGCTGGGGAACGAGCCCAGCTTCTTACAGGAGCGGCCCTCCAGTATTCTCCACCTAATCTACATAGTCCCATAAAGTACACTGAGTGTTGCTGAAACATTTGCGCTTTGACAAAGGCGACCCTATTAGGTCACCGTTAGTGAGAGCAGAAAAGCACCCCCCTGTAATGCGTATTTTGCATTTTCAATTTTCAGAAACCCTCAATCAGACACCTGTGCAGTCCAGTCTACCTACAACTTCCAGATTATTCACAAACTCTCGAAGTTTTTACGACGACTCTTGGTCATGAGTCGTATATACGAACGACCCGCTTGATGGGCTGCGAGCACATGGGGCACTTCCTCCCCGGCCCCTTCGCCACCCGCCGCGCACACCCGGCGCAGCACACCCGGTGCCCGCAATCCAAAAACGCGGCGCGCCGCACGCGCGCCCAACAAATCGTGCACGCGATATTCCGATCTAGTTCCTCGCCCTCGACCCCAGTCTCCTCCCCGTCCTCTTCCACCCCTCTCGGAAGGTTGTCCTCCGGAACCGGAATGTACGGAACGATCTTGCCGGCTACATCCGTTGTCCACAGCTGTCCGTTATCTTCCCAAAGCGCGCGCCGGTTGAGAGGGACCACCATACCCGTGCCTTGTACGAGCCCGATCTCGACGGGGCGGTCGGCCGCGGGCGCGCCCCGCTGCGCGCGCAGGGCCGCCAGCCACTGACGCTTCAGAAGCCAGCGTCGCTGCAGGGGTTACGGGATGAGGTAAGGGAGACATAGAGCTTCACATCGTCTGGTAATTTCGTGTTGAAAGAACGGGGTTAGGGTGTCGGTCAAGGACGCTTTGAAAGTCAGACACTAAGTGGATTATCAACATCTTAGAACGTTCCGCAGATGTATAGTTGGTTCAAAGAGTTGGAACTGGGGAAGAGCTCGGATCCTCAACGCAACTTTCGGCACCAGGCTGAAAGTTTTTGGTGTTTGAGAGAGTCAGCTGTAAAGGGGGGTTCCCATGTCAAAACGCCGCAGACCAATGGCCGCACGTATGGACAAAGGTCGAAGCCCTTCACGACATTCAAAAAGTGCAAGGTGCGTAACTGCCCGGCAAGAAGGGAAAAACCAAACGGCTCAATTCTCCTTTGCCGGCGGCTCAGCCAACGAGTCAGCCATTGAAAATCGGCACTGCCGAAACTCGAGAATGTATCGCTCGTTGAGGCCTCGTCCACTGGGAATAATCTGCTTCCAAAGCCTTACTTCATTCGACACTCTGCCGAGGCTAAGCATTTCAGATACCCGCGCCGCTTACCACGACGGTCGTCAGCAGGATGTCGAGCCCCTGAATGAGCGCAAAGCGGACAAGCATCCATTTGTACTCCGTCAGGTCGCGTCCCAGCCGTCCGATCTCGCCCCGCAGCGACCGCCTGATGCCCTCCTTCGATCCACGGGCGCTGCAGTTGCATAGAAATGGCGAGCGTTCAGGGACAGCCCTCTTTGCGCCTTTTCACCGCTCTGCTGATATCTTCGCTGGAGATATGCTAAGCGAACAAGAGGCAGGGCCGCTGTTGCTGGGTGCCGAAATTTGTGCCCCTGCCTAGGTACTGTTAAAGCCAGTAAGTCTTAATCGTCCTCCTGAAGTAGGTTCTCTTGGATTTGACCTGCTGAGCGTGCAAACAGAAGAGGGCTGCAATCTCCCACCGCCTCCTTCGAGCTCTGTGTGCCGCAATCAGGGCCGAATACGAGAGAATCCGAGTAAGAAAGCAAACTTCTTCCTGACCACTTTCTTTCTTCTTCTCGACAGGACAAACGACAAACCACGTCGCAGCTTGGTTTCAAGCCACCACAAAATTAGATGAACGGCCCAAAGCGACCAAAGAAGTTGTCCTGTTCATGAGGAACCATTGTCTCCCGAGAAACGCCTTCGGCAAAAAGTGCCCCCGTCCGCACTGAACCTCAATTAGGTTCCGGCGACGAATCGGAACTAATTCGAGCACAAAGCCGAACTTTGTACTCGTCAAAACTTCATTCCCTATGTCCTCGGGTAAGTGCCCAATACCCAACTCCCTTGCCGTTTTACGGCAAGGACAAGAGGCGCACGGCAACTGACTACCATACGCGGGTCATTTACCAGGCGAATGAAGCAGCAAACATTCCTCACAGCAGTCTCTTACGGAAGTGAAGCATCCCTCTCGAAGTCCATGCACTCACACTTCACAACGTTTCCTCACTTGAATCTTCCGACTCACCTGGTTAGGAAGCACAGTGCGGAAAAATTCTGAAAAGCAAGTTCCCTGCCTGCGACGCCCAACCTCTCTCTTCTGCTTTTCGGAATCAACAACTTGTTCGCAATAAGTTGGAAGCAAGGCAAGAGTCCCAACAGAGAACGATGCTAGGCACCCCTCAGACGACGCTCTAAATGATCGCTCACTAGTTGAAGTGTCGTGGGACCTCCCCCCTCCCCTCGTCCAGCTCTTGCCACCAGACTGTGCCGTCCTCTCCTAGTGCCACGTTGCATAACAAAGTGCTCGGAACGCTAAGCCGGCCAGCAACGGGGGCCAGAAGCAGGGCTGGAGGCCGGTCGCCGGCGACCTCCCCAATGAAGTTGCTCGGAGAATGCGGTGCCGAGAGGTGCCTGGGGAGAAAGTGGGGAAGGGCTTGCGGTGGCGACAAATTATGGAAAAAGAAGCAGACGCTTGTTTTCATGGCCCATCAGCCAAGGTCCGTACCCACAGAATGCTGATGTTGCTCTTGCAAACAACCAGAACTTGCAATCGGTGCATTGAAAGTTCTTCAAAGGTGCCTCTGTAGGCTTCGAGAGCGCTGGATGACTCTCTGATTCTCAAAGGCAATCCATAAGCTTTTCAATTAAGACTGCGCAAGGCAAGGCTCTCCCTTCTTATAAGAATTCTTGTACATACTTTCAATCTGAGCGATGACGATCAACGTAAGTCTCAGCTTCGGCTCATTTGTTAGAGTCCTCAAATTCTGGTGTGGATGTGACCATATCGTAGACACGACAAATGTGCGCACTCTGAAATTCATCGTTCAATGATGTGGCACAGGGGCACCATATGATCGCAGGGGTAAAAGCTACATGTAAAAGTCAGCCAGACTTGCAAGTCCCAGCTCGACAACGAAGAATGTCCTTCTCTTGCGCCGGGCAATGCCTTCCTACCTGTGTGGAGACACCAACAGACCGAGATGCTCTGGAGACTGCGCATTGTGATCACAACCAAACCTCATGCACAAGCAGGGCAAAGCCACTTGGACTTGATAGTTTAAGTTTCTACATGATCAACCGCTCCCACCTTAGAAACGCCAGCGACGCGAGCTGGGCGTCCTTCGGGTTCAGCCTCCCCTCCAACAACTTGGCCTGCAGCACCTCGAGGAGCTGCTCCGCATCAGAGAGGTCCACTTCCGGCAGGTCCTCCAGCCTGCGCGCCGCCTTCTCAAAGATCTTCTTGTCCACGTACTTGTCAATCAGCATCACGGGGTAGATGAAGAACACGGTCTGCAGGAGGCAGCGCCCCGCAATCTCCACAATGGTCCCCAACACGGGCATCATTCTTCGAGAATTACCCTTTCTATTGATTTGTTGCTTACCCCTGCGACACCAGCACTCCGAGCAGGCAAATCGCCTGGACCCTGCGTGGGTTGGACTCTGCAAATCAGTGCGCGATGCAGGCGTCCTCACCACAGCTGGTATCAGCTGGATTCTGATCCTTTGTGCTTGCACAGAATACCTACAGCTCAAAGCCTACGCCGACGGAACACAATATGGCTTCCTGCCATCGCTTGTGCAGACGTACTCTAGCCTCTAGCTAGGCTGAGTCTTAGTAGCGCCAGGGCCCAGCACTAGCGCGCGCTGATCCAGGACTCCCGGGCCGACCGTCGCCGACTCTATCGGAGCCTGCGCCGGCCGGCCGGCTAGGTTGTTCACACCTGATTTATTATCTACCGGCGGCGTCGGATCAATCCGTCGCCGGAGTTGGCCATTTTAGACGGAAAACGAGGGTTGTTCGCACTGCGCTTTTGACGGGGCTCTCCGGTGCCGGAATCGAGATCACGTGCCAAAATTATAAGCTGGCCGCGCGGTTCCACGGGCTTTCGATATCGACGGAGCAATCCGGCGACGGACAACTCCGGCGCCGGAGGAAAGTTGTTCCAAAATTCTCCGTCGACGCCGGTGATGCTCCGTCGACGGAAATTTTGGATTTTCGACGGAGTACATTGGCCGCCGGCGCCGGCGGCAGGAATTTTGTGCTAGTGTGAACAACCTATCATAGGTTTTCCGACGGAGCTCTCAGTCTCAGATTTCATGCACTCTGGCACGCGGCCGCGCCGCCGCCGCGGTCGGGCGTCGCGTACGCGCGGCCGCAATCGGGCGCGTCGCAGATAAATACTGCATGCCAGTGAGTCCCGCCCCTAGTTGCTAGTAGAGGTCGGGACTCGGTATAGGTATACACCCGTCCATCTCGTACTTGGAAGAGTACTGATACGTACTACTGTACCTACCTACCTTTTAGGTTTTTGGTACCTATCCCGGTTATTTCGCCTCTGAATATCTTGTGAATCTGAAGGATTTATCATCTGGTATGTCGAAAATCTGATTCACAAAGTTGGAGACTTGAAAAAAGGGAGTGCACTTGAGTACACTCAGTAAAGTACGTGTCAGAAATTAGAATCCAAAATAAGTTTGTCAGAACCTAATGGATATCTGATAATTTGCGCTTTGAAATCGTGCTACCGTATCGGCGTATCGTGAACGTACAGCGGGTTATGCGATTTCAAGGGGCAATTGGCGAGCAAGTATCAACATCCGATTGGGCACCCCAATTCCACAACGTACGCAAATCTTAACGCTGGTAGCATGATCGGTACGTACCAATCGGGATCGACATTGTCGGCGCAGTCACCGGTTCACTTTCGCGGCATGCCCATATTGCCCGAGGATTTCTAAGGGGCTTGTCTCCTAAGATTCAGAAGCCCCGGGCACTGCAACTAAAAAGCTCTAACCCCAGAACTTACACGCCCCGAACCCGAACAGTGAACTCACCCTAACCACCAAGCGAACCCTACCGTCCCCCGGCCTATCAGATTCGGGAGACAAGCCCCTTACTTGAAGTCACGACTCACGAGACAAGCTGGGGTTGCAACTCGCCATGTACCGGTAGGTAATCCAATGTGCACCCAGCACAGACGGTTGCACACTCTGTATGCAGTGTGCACTGTTTGTGCGGTGTGCCGTGTGCACTGTCTACCTGCCTACCGGTAAAGCTTGCTGCGCAATACGGTATGCTTACCGGTACGGGATTGAATTTTCGTCTACTAGGTTTGTACCGCACTACGTACTAATAAAAGGGAAGTACCTACCGGCCGGCAGGCAGGTACCGTGTAGTACCTATGTATGAACCTGTGTGCTCATGTTCGGTTCTTGTGCAATAATTGGGCATGCCTAGCTGACATCAGAGTGACATGGGGCAGGGCCATTTGGCATACAGCTAGATGATCCAAAGCTGCCGCAAGCAGCACAAATTGCGTCTTTGAGGAGCTGTCGCAGTTCTGAGCTGGGGCGGTAGTACGGTACTAGGTAGCCATTATTCAGAACGGAATTCACAATCCAGAAAGCTTCTGAAGATCTGGGCAAGATGTGCTCCCCGTTGTCAGATTGGATAGACGGAAACGTCGTGGCAAGCATCCTCTCCTCCTGTCTCTTCTTTCTTTGTGTATTTGCTGGAAAAGTTGGACTTCAGAGCTTGCAGATCATCCTTCCTCCGTGGTTGGCCTATGTAGCGGTAGTGCTCTGCGTTTTGAATGTCATTTCGTGGCTTCAATCCCCGCCAGCAATTCGACTGCGTGGGAAGCATATCCTGATAGCAGGTGGATCCACAGATGTTGGACGGGCATTGGGCTGTTTGGCAGTCAAGGAGGGAGGCCGTATATCTTTGCTTGGTTCGGATGAGGTGAGCAATCTGTCTGACAAACCCTGGAATGCCTGGAGTTGTCACGCGAATACTGTTATGCAGAGCAGTACTCCCCTGATTGGCCGCTTGTTTTTGGCTTCATTCAGCTGATGGTAACGGTTGAAAGAATGTTCTGCTTGACCCACTTGTACAGGAATAGGTGTTCTGCATTGTGTGGGGCGGTTTTAGGGTCATTGGTGCCCTTTGCCACAATGCTCTGCTTGCATTGCATTAAGCACTTGTCTGCATTAGTGCAAGTCGCGGGGGTATGGATGTTGTAAATTGTGAGCCAGCTTAGTTTCTTTTCAAAATGGAGATTGTTCCCTTTTTCTTCTGGTCCCCAGTCACGTCCAGTATCATCAAAGAAGTATGAGCCCTTACAAACCTGACTTTGCACATGTAAAGGCTGCAACGAATGGATGCACATGTGCGTGTGCTGATGCCTCACTCTCCTCACATTTTGCAGGCCCTGTTGGAAGAGAGTGCGGAGCTTGTGGAAGCAGCAATACCATTGCAGAAATGCCTTCAAGAGCTGTGCAAGCCTGTTGTGACAGCAAAAGCAAGACTGGACGATGCTTTGGAAGTTGCAGAAGCCATTGCCAGTACAACAAAAGTGCTAGGTAAGCAACGCTCTTTGAAATGATCTCATTGGTGGCATTCGATTTCGCATAACCGGATCTTACAGTTGATGCATTGTTCGTCGAACCCTATGCATTTGCAAGGTCGGCATTGGAGCTTTTTAGGGAGAGCTAATTGGATCTTAAGCCAAGCAACTGACTTGCTCTCACTTGGCCTGTACTTTGTTCACCTCCTACTTTTGGGGGATGAAGTTGGTCCAGTTTGTTGCTCGCCTAGATACATTGGATAGAATTCCACCCTTTGTCAGATCTTGGTCATGCAATGCAGGGCATGTATTGGTTGCTTGCCTGTCCATTGCTCGTGGGGATAATTGTATGCCTGGCTCATTGCTAGTGAGGGCCCTGCACATTTTATTTGACTACGACATTGGGTCTATTTCCTGCAGGACCAGTGGATATCCTTGTGTGTGCATCAGCAAATGAGACTTCCTCCCCTTGCAAAGAGGTTGAAACCACTCCTCTCGATGACTTTGAGCGTGTCATGCGGGCCAATTGGCTGGCCACTATAGCAGCCATTCAAGGTGCTCTGGAGCATATGAAGGACAGGTTTGGCGAGGCACCCACGCGAATAGCAATCATCTCTTCTCTTGCCAGCCAGGTAAGCCCTTGAATCCTTCGCCTTGCTCCCCAACAATCATTGCCTTACCACGGTAAATTCCATGATTGTCCGACAAACTTCTTAGACTCTTTGAACTTTCTCTGCGATTGTCATCTTATCCAGAGCTTGCTGTCCTGCGGCTGGTTTGATGTGGTGGGATGCAAGTGGTGTTACTTCTTGTCAGGCATAGCGCTCCAGATCTGCACATGCTATACTCAAATCTTCTGCAGCGACACCTCCTGAAGAGTTTTTGTGGCACCTTTTTGCAGGGTGGCCAGTATGGTCATGGCGCCTTTGCATCTAGCCAGTTTGCCCTCCGTGGTCTGGCAGAAGTCCTCCAGCAAGAGTTGGCGGCATACAACATCCGGGTCACTTTTGTCTGCCCCCCCACCAAGCAGGTCATGATGGATGGAAAAGGTGAGGTTCAGGCAGAAGTCAACTTTTTCAGTCCCTGTCTTACAACAGGGACTCAGAGGTCAATAAGCCTTTCTGAGGCGTCTGATTTGTAAGTTCTGAGGCGTTTCATCTGAAACAGGGCACCTTGGTATGTCTTTAAGCTGAGTCTACAGGTTCGTGATGAAGTTGCAGCTTCTGGTTTGAGCTGAACAGCCCAATGTCAGGATGAGTCGTTTGTTGCTCAGACCATGTAGATGATGCCATTCATTCTCCAATCGCAGGATACCAGTCTTCAGTGGTTGGATCAACACAAGCGGTGGCTCAATCAGCGGGTAACGAGTCCCCTGATAGCATCGCGGCTGCTACCCTAAGGGCTGTGAAGCAGGGCCGTTTTCTGGTCAACTTTGGGGTAACCGGCTGGATAGTAGGGACCTTGACAAGCGGGATGGCACCACAGCCTTTCTTGTTCCAAGGTGCCCTCGAGGTGCTGTTTGCTGGGGTGTGTCGCTCGTTCATGCTCTTGGCGCACGCAAGCTTCTTCAGGAGGGTATCAAAGCCAGAGTGGAAGTTTAAGACGCCTTAGGTCGGAGGTCATAGGTCTGTAGCGGCTGTAGCGGCTCTGCGTAACTGTTGCACGCGCTTGGTTAGGAAGAGTACCATAGCAGGAAGGGTTCAGACGCATAGGTGAGCCGCATAGTCAAGCTGTACCGCAACATAGCAAGGGACTGCATAGCTTCTAGTAGGACGTTTGCTGAGTAAGAAGATAAGGTCGTCGGGTAGGCTAGAACCCGATCTCGCTATCATTCCTTCCCTGGCATCATGGTGGTGAGGTTCACCACCGTGCTTTCAGGGAGGGTATGAAAGCGAGATCAGGTGCAAGTCCTTCCTAACGACCTTGTAATGAACCTTGTTAGGTTCTTGAAATGCAAAGCATGGAAGAGTGTTGAGATGAGGTAAGACCGAGCATTCAAGTTTCTTTCCATACAGTGGTGGCAAAACCATGTGGCAAGACATCATGCATTGGAAGACATGCTGGCGGTCCAGATGCCTGTCCCTTCATAGTGAGTCCCAAGCTTCCAAATTTCTTTGTCAGTGCATGCATTATCCACGCGGCGAATTGTGTTGAATTCACTTGCTGAGTCAATTCACTTGAGCGAGCAGCTAGGCCCGGCAGTGCACGACCTCTATACGCGGGGCCGTTAGTAGCTCAATGGGTTACATGGTGCATCATTGCCCCATGTCTAATATTTTATGGACGGTCCGCCTGGCCCATCCAATGAATGATGCATTCGGGCCCGGCGGCTGATTCTGCATATATGATCCGGTGAGGTTATAAAAGTCATGCATCATTGTGGTGGGTCACTGCCACACTGACATGGCGCCCGCCAGTGCCAAACTCACAGATTCACAATTGTAGCTAAGCTATAGGGCACGCATTGCAATTCTGGTGGCCGCATTGCACATGATATTTCACATGCGGCGACGTATAATTGCGCGCGAGCTATGCGCCAATAAGCGAGTATAGGACTTCTTGCTACTACACGCTAGCTAGACCAATATAAGATTTAAGCTAGCTCGAGTGTGGTACGTCCGCAGTGAAATCAAGGAGAGCCGCTTAATTTTGCACGGATAGTGTAGACACATACTTCGTGAACATCAGACTCTGGTCGAGGGTCGAGCTCACCTGAGAACCACGCAATCTAAATCGGACTCTACGTAGTACATAGCATGTTGAACTTCTTTTAAGCGACTGACAGGCGATGGTGTTCAACATCGTCACTACAATGCTGCATCCCGTCAACCCAAAGTTTCGGCAAAAGGTGAGCGAGAACTTACAATGCATGACCTCGAGTTTGGCAGCCTGATTGCTTGCACGTCTGACTGGTTTGTCGATCCGAGTCTCAATCTTTCATGTAGGACTAAAATTGCTTGACCAATGCCCATATGCTTTTGCAATCGCGATGAAAGAATCCTGGAGCAGTTGCAGCAATTAGCGGACCCCTCAATGTTTTGGCCGGCGACTCACCTTGATACTTTCTAGCTTATTCGAACAAACGGGGGAGCTGGTCTTACATGCGCAATGACTCTTGTCGTTCAGGGCCAACTAATTATCTCTCGCTGCTCCTTATTCAACGGCCAATTGTAGACTCAACCCGTCCTCTGCAGGCAGACCATTGACACAGAGGTCAGCCAATCTTTCAGAGGACCGAGCAACACCTTAGGCGAGCAAAACTTTGCAATTTGCAAGCGAGCGACCTGGGCCGAAAGGAGCAGACATTACCTCTATCTCCAGCGGGTCACTTGGACACGTCTTTGCAAATGAAGGAATTCGAGCAGAAGGTTCCATCAAAGCAGCGATTTCGAAGAGGTTTGAACCCTTCCACCAAGCTAAATGGTAAAGTGACATCTTCTCCTCAATGGCGAGACCTTTTTGAGAGCGTCCAGCCGCTCGGCCCCCACGCCAAACGCAAATAGATGCTCGCCACTCCGTTTGTGGAAGCAGTTAGTGATACGTACTTCGCGAAGGCAGTGAAGGTTGCCGCAAAGCTCAACCTCAAATATTGCTTGATTCCATCACCAAGCAGTCTCTTCGTCCAAAAAGAGACTCTCGGACCCGCGACCCGTCCATTCTCGGACATTCCGCTCTGATCCTTTCAGGATTGGCTCACCTCTAAGCGGCGTTCTGGAAGATCTGCTGCACGTAAGGGGCGGCCTGCTCTGGGAAGAACTGGAGCACCGCAATCAAAGCTGCGAAACAAGAAACGAGGACCGGAAACCAGTCAGAATCGATACAACATCCGAAAATGCCTTTCCAAGAGAGAGTCTTGGACCCCATGACGTAGTTCAACAAGACTACTCGCACAGCTCTCTGAGCTCTCACCAAGCCCTGAACAGGAAGGGCCATCGCAAACATATCCAAACCTTGCCGATGACCGTGAAGGTCTCTTCAGACGCAACGTTCGGAAAGAAAACAGCTAAATGCTGGTAAGTCCCTTATTCTGCCAGCAACTCGTTTCTGCTCCACGAGCAGGAACACACAGCTTGCGGACACAGACGCAAAGCTCAAAGATCGCCTTCCTTTCGCCAGCAAGTGAAATACCGACGTTCGTAGCTTCAAAATGCATCCAGTCAGCTTTGAGATGACCTCTGCCTTTCATGACGCGTGCATATCTCTCTAGCCGCCCGGGAGGGCCAGGAGCAGGCGGTAGAGTGACGCAGCAAGCGGACGCAATGTTTCGATAGAAACAGAGAGAGTACCTGATCACTCGTTGAGGACGAGTGACCAATCTCGCAAAGCTATCTGCAGAACTCAAGCGACTGAAAAGATCGAAACCCCCAGACTTCTAGACTTCAGAACATAAAGATGAAAATTGTTCGCTCTTTTTCCTTTCCCCCCTTGCGAGAGAGCCGCGGAAGGTTTGCTACATTTGTCATTTCCAAACTAGGAGGCCTGGATTGCACTACTGCTCGTCTACGGGATGTTGCATCGTCACAGTTGCGCAAATGGGGACATAGGATCGACCTCTTTGCCTCAACTGAAGAGCCTTTCGACTAGATCCACACAAAACCGACCATTTCTGCATTTCAATGAAGACGGCTTACTGATCAAAATGGAGCCCACGACGATGCTGACGGGCTGTTGGTACTGCGAGATGCCGCCCTTGCCTGCGTCCTTCAGCTCCCGCGGCCCCGCCTTCTCCACGACACCTGCCGAGGCAGAACGAGTCGAGGCTGACTTACTCGAACCTCTGTTATAGCACTTTGTAATGGCCCCACTTCAATGGAAGGCTACAAGCAAGGACTATGATCCTCGTAAAACGGTTTGGCATAACCCTGGTGAGAATTCCCGACTACCATTTTCGGCTATGAGCCTCCTCAAAGTCCTTGTTCTAGTCCCCTCGTTTCTTCTCTTGCTATAATCCCTTGGCTACAAACCGGCCAAGGTCAGTGCTGGACGGTCGTGGAAGAAGAGCAGCGAACTCGGATGGGAGAAAGCCTTCGGGCTACTGACTGCCCATTCGCAACAAGCTTTCACGAAACTTGCAGATTGAACACTCAAAGAGCCCACAGAGCCGTTCGGACAAGTGAAAACACGGCATCACAGTACAGTTTGTCAGAGAATACATGACGCCGCCGGAACAGCGGACAACGAGCAAAGACGAGTCCAAAGCGCTAATTGCGACGAGGATGTGGCCAGATCGTTTTCCGACAGCTGGGACCGGGCCGAACGGACACGCAGCGTAATCAGGTAAAGTGAACGGAACAAACTTCAAAGGAGGCTCGTACCCGGCTTGATGTCGTTGAGGCCCTTTGCAATGAAAGCCACCTCCGCCCAACCCTTGTCTTCTAGATCGTCCGCAGCCTGACCGGACCTGCAAGTAGTAGGGGTGTCCGAAATTTGTTAGAGCCGTGATACACGAAGTGCTAAAATCCGATATGCCTGTCGGGCCACAGAGTAAGAAGGGAGGTTCCGATTTGTTGGAGTCTTAATCTACAAGACGTCACCGTTGGACATGCGTATGAACCAAGAAGGGAGGCTTGGAATTGTAGAACCTCTATAAACGAGGCGCGACTGTTGAAAATGCATGTTGGGGCCACGGACTAAGGAGGGAGGTCGCACTTCGGAGCCTGGACTCAGCAAGAGCAGAAAGTTTTGAAGTTCGACTATGTCGCGGGATCTTGGAAAGTGGGTTTGATGTTCAGGAATCCGCGAATACACAAATCGGATACGGAGGTCTGATTGCGTTGAGGACCACACGCAAGACGACGTCGCTGAGGCGGAACGAACGACATAGTTATTTGGAAGATGCGGAACCGATGAAGGTGTACTCTTGAGATTGCTCGTCTTCGTCCAACCCGGAAGCTCGCTACTCCAGTCCTTTTCTGTCGAACCGCTTCTGTGAGCGATGCATCGCCTGCCACCGAGGAGTTACGAGCCAAACTAGCTGGCTAAACCTCAATTCAATAATTCTCAAGAAAGATAAAAATAAGCCAAGATAATACTAAGCTCCGACTAACACTAAAAACCCTAACCCAAAAAGATACCTGCTCCGCACCCGTACCCACCCTAACCACCAAACTAACCCTACCCGTCCCAGTGCGGTTACCTTCTTATTATCTTGGCTTATTATTATCTTTCTTGAGTTCAATCTCAATTCCGACCGTTTGATTACTAGGAGACTCCACCCAGAAGCACCCGGAGGACACACACGACGAATTATTAACAATGTCAGGAGGATTGACGTCAACTAGACGTCAGACGTCAGTTCCAGGACGATAACACCTTATACACTCCGGAGCTCGTCGCCTTCAAGAAAGCCATAAGCACCACGCAATTCACGAAAGAGCCTGAAATGCGACGACAATCCCAGTACAAGGCTGGAGACCTTAAAACGCGTCCTCATCAAAAACCGAAAAGATATTTATGTTCCCAAGGTGTCGGAGACACCGGAGTATATTCCCACCTAAGGCCCTCCTGGCAGACAAGGAGTAGCTTTTGGTCCTTGGGGTACTGCGAGATTTTGCTGTTGAAGTCGGGGTTGGGCTTGGTAAACGCGTTTCCGTAGAGCAGACCCACGTAGTTGTTATGCAGCAACCGCAGGACCAGTGTGCCTGCGCAGGATCAACGGGCAGACACCTGTGAATCTTGCGGCAACAGGTGCTTGAAGTCTACCCTTGGCAGGAGGTAGTTACCTGTCTATCAGTTGATGTTTTCGCAGTGCTGCTGGCAACAATTCCGAACGTTCATGTCGGCATAACGTTCCTTAAGGCTCTTTTGGCGAGCTGTGACTTTGCAGGACGTAGCGCCTGCCAAGGCAGTGCCAGCAACACCTCTGGTAAGGATGGAAATTTCCGTACGATTCCTCGCTTTCGGATTCCCTGCAGGGTAGAGCTTCGGAAAACGCTCGCCCCCTCCTCACCCTAGTCTCTAACCCAATGATCCTTTCCCGCTTGCATTTGAGAAACGCAACAATGAATGAGACGTTTTACGACAGTCCCGGCAAGAACTGAGCACTCACTGGGGTCCATGGCCGTGTTCTCAACGAACAGCGGTACGTGCTCGCTGTTCTTGATGTGCGCCTTCTCGTACTGCTTCTCGTCCCGTACGTCAATCACCTTATAACCCTCCGCGATCAACGCGGGCACCTCGCTCGCATTGATGGACCGCAGCTCGGCGACCGCGGCACCTAATTCAAAATCAGGAAAGACGGTTATTAGTAATCTGACCGTCGACTACCTTGCTCGTATTCGACTTTGAATTTGCATTCACACTTCTTTACCCACACTGGACAACAATCCCGGGACTGGGGCTCCTGTCTTCCGGAGGAGAGGGTGTTTATCCGCCCCTCGCCTGTCGAAGTTCGTCAATCGGAGGAGTTTCTGTTGTGGCTAAACCTGGATGGAACCCGTGCAGAAAATTGTGAGCAGACCGAACAACGTTTTCCATTCATTCTGAATATACAATCCGATTGATCTGCGCTACTTTGGCTCGCATTGATGGACCCCGACTCGGCGACCGCGACTATCAAAATCCAATACAAGCTTTTGAGTGATTCGATGGGGCCGATTTGTTCCTTTCTCTGTTAGTCGTCAGAACTTCTTTTCATGGTATGTGCGCCAGTTCGTTCCCATTGACGAACCGCAACTGGGCGGAATCAAGGAAGGTGTATGGGACGTGGTTTGGAGTGCGTCTGTCGTTCCCGCTCAATTTGTGTTCCGACATTCTTGTGCGATGCCTGCATTCAGTCTCGCCACCTCCATCTGCGGGACGCAGCTCACCAACCAACGCTCCCGAGACAGGACTTCAAAATAAAACTTCACAGGCGATAACTTCACAGGTGGACCTGACGGGGTCCTTGCATTCCCTTTTGCAAAGATCTGTAGCAAGTACATCTGATAGAAAAGGAATGACACTTGGCGCAGGTGTCTGGTAAGGACATGAGACAGGATAGAATAGACAGAAAACTGGAGCTTTTGGCTGTGTAACTCGGACCTACGTGATCGGGAAGCCTTGGAACACATTAAATGCCCCCAGCCAGCTCAGCATTGTGTGTGGAAAAAGGATTTCCAGATGACTAACAAACAGCTTGTTTGAGGGACACAAGACAAGACAGCTGAAAATTCAGAACAAAGTCGAGTCTAGGAAAACATGACGCAGCTGCGATACATCTGGTTGGGGCCATTCCTGAATGATGATTGAAAGGCACAGGTCAAATACTACAAACAAAGGTTTGAATATACGGACCCGATTCAGAGCCTCAGACAAAGCACTATCCTCAACAGTAACAACAGAAAACATGGCGCCAAAAGGGACTAGAGACAATCTTTTGTCTGCTGAAGGACAAGCTGAGGTTTTCCTCAACCCCATGAGCGGTGGTACTTATCGATGGTGCGCACATCTTAGAAGTGGACATGTTCCTACAGACACCTGAGGGTGCCACTCTGAAACGATGTTGCAATATTCGTACACACCCTGCCCCAACTTAACAGATTCAATTTGAAAGAGACAATTCTCCACACTCTGCTTGTACCCACTTGAGCAACCTGCATCCGCCCAATTGCCAGGGGGCTATAATGTGTGCGCCAAGTCAAAGAAGGCAGGAAAGACGAAAGCAAACGAGAATACCACCACTAGTAGACTTGCTGTTATGGGGTATTCGTGGGGTAAAACTGGATTCCACTCTGATTTGAATCAAATGGGGACAAACCAAAGTTGGCCCACAGAGGTGCCTAAGGCATGCTTTTCTTTTAATAGCACTAGGGATGTCCATTTCTTGGGGATGCACTATTTACCACCAACATGCGAAGAAATGGCTAAAAATAAAAATTGGTACCCCTTTCTCCAATGCTGAGACATATTGAGCATTCAGTGACAACACAGGAAGCGCAGGTTTATGACAATTGACGCCCCAAACCCTAGAGCTAACTCCTTCAATGCAATTCAGCACCCTGTGTGGAAGGGGCTTTGGTGGCCGCCACCAAAAGCCCTGGCTTGCGGACATGATCGCTTAGGGGTAGGTTGTTTAAAGGGCCGGTCGTTTCCAAAAAACCCACAGGACTTGCCACTGGCCCATCTTTTTGCCCAACAGAAACTTCCAACCCAGATCCATAGCTTTACACTGCCCAAAGTACAATCGGTTTAGCGACCGGCACACGAGTGCAAGATCTCGGGAGAAATCCAATGACGACCCACTCAAAACTACCTTGCAAGATTGCTGGAGGTTTTGGACTCCAAAAACACAAATGCAAGGCTTGCAGGACTGATGAGGTTGACTAGCTACACATATGTTTCACAAGGCAACAGCTTTGACAGAGACTCTTTTATTGCATCAATCAGGGGAAAAACAAACAAAATTAAGTAGTGCTGTTGGTCAAAGCCGCACATATTACAAATGCCGTCATGCTCTTCCCGGGAACAAAGGTCCGTTTGTTTTAACCTTCAAGTTCCAAGCTCTCAGATATGTGCTGCACCTTTCAAATTGGGGGTGGTAGGACTGTCCATAACTTTCCATGTGCATTTCAATTGGCACTGACATCTTTACTTGTCTTCAACAAGCCTTCAGAAAACTTTCATCCCAGAGATACGGCGGAACCGTAAGGGCCGCTTATCCAGACGCACCTTGTCGGGCTACGCTTCGTCTCCTCGCACCCCGTGTAATGCTGCGTGGCAGCCTTGCGCCCACGTATGCAGATGAGACATTGTCCAAAGGGGTTCGAGCTGTCTGACTCCTGCACCCGGTGGACAACTTGGACGCACTTTGAACAGAAGCTGTCAGTGATGCTGCCGCCATTGTGTTTCAATCCCGTATGACTCTGGCGCCTCTTCAAGCTTTATGTATCGGAGGTAGGAGTTCACCCGATTCAAAGCTAGAGAAAGCAAAGCGGAAAGCAAACTGGATTGCAGCGCCCACTCGGAATCCTATTACAATCACATTTGAGAAAGAAATGCATCATGAGTTGAAGGAACCGTGCTTTTTCCGATTCACTGCTTCAAAGTTTGGGCCCACGCGATTGGTCAAGCTCCATGTCAGCGAAACCAAGCCGTCAAAAGCAGATATTGAAACGATCGGACGGTTTTCAAAGTGCAGCTGGGATCCTCAAAGTCCGTCATACCATTGGGGAAAGTTTTGCGTCAGGCGAATCGCGATGCAAAAATGTGTAATCTCGACAACCGGATTCGAACCAGTGACCTAAGGATTTTCTGTGCTAACGACTACAGTCCTCCGCTCTACCAACTGAGCTATGTCGAGACATGGTGAAAGCCTGCCGCTCTCAAATGTATAGACTTAACTTTAGGTCCGCATGCATCCAGCATGCTGCATATGCATAGACTCAGAGTCAGAGCTGCGCGCCTGCATGAGGAAGACAGCAATTGCAGGAAGCGGCTATAGAGCTATTGAATCTGCTCATGTGTGAAGATGGCAGATTTTGGTCAGCCTAGCTTCCTCATCTGCGGCTACTTCTTCTCTTTATTCATCTTTGAGGTTCTTGGATTCTGCTTTTGGCGTAGGTCAGGCTACATAGCACCTGATTAGTCACCACCTGCACTGTAGCCACTGCTTCCTTTCAGATGGCCTCCAACGAATCTGCAAATGGGGCCCCGACGGCCACGGGCATCTTTGGCTCCAAGGATCTTGAAGGCAAAGTCGCTGTTGTGACGGGGGGAACTCGCGGCATTGGCAAGCAGATTGCAATCCATTTGGCAACACGGGGGGCAAAAGTGGTCGTCAACCGTCTACAACAGCGGGAAGGATGCAGCTGACGCAGTGGAGGGTGAAGCTGAGAAAAGGGGATTGATGGTGCATGCAGTGCAGGTAAGTAGCATTACTTTGAGTTGTGGGTCAGTAAGCTGATCATTTGCCAGCGTTGCGGTTTTCCAGGATTCAGGCCACACAATCAGAGGACATACTTTGGTTTGGGAGGGCGGCAGGACAGTGCCCGCTTCTTCCAATGATGTTCTATGTTGTTGACTCTCTGTCAAGGATGGATGCAGGATCTTGGACTTACTCCCTGTGGAGCCTGATGTGCTGATGCTTCAAATTTTTATTTGAAGATCTTGATCCATTAGCCTCAAAGTGGCAGACTTTTCTGATTCTGAGCAGCCTATGGCCGCTTACTGTTCTGGAAGGAAAGGTCTTGCATCACCAGGCAGAAAAACTTGATGCTTCCTCTAGCATTTGTGGTTGATACTGTTCAAGATGCTGCGTACTTATGAGAAGTGTGTTTGTCTCAGGCTGACCTGAGCAAAACTGAGGACGTCAAGCGGCTCTTCGAGGCCACCATTGAGAAGTTCCAGAAGCTGTCCATCTTGGTTAACAATGCAGGCTACATGGTAAGTCCTCTCTGTAACAATCTCCTGGCTTGGCAGATGAGGCAGAGGCCATCCGGGAGTCTAACTGCTTTAGAGTGAGTAACTTGCCCTTCATTTAGCTGAGTATGAAGGTGATGCAAGCTCCAGGTCAACTTCCAGCGCGCACTTCACAGCGAAGAGCACAACTTTCATCGTAGCATCTCCTTGACCCGCCCCTACGGTATAGAGCCAGCTTTTGTTCTACTCTCTCTCAGAGTATCTGTCCATATATTCATGTATCTCGACCAGTGTAGGATTGACAGTGAAAAGAAAGAATCTCAGACAACTTATTCTTATCGCCCTCGTCTCAGGGGCCCGTTTGCATATCCTGCATGTTCTCCCATGGCTCACCGTCGTTCAAAGGATAACTCAGTGCCTCTACGTTGAGTCGGGTTGGTACCTTCTGACTCGCTCTGAATCAAGCAGGATTCGACCTACGCAAAGGTGGCGGACATCTCAGACGAGGCCATTGAGATGTAAGCCGTTTTCGAGTCTGGTCGTTTGTTGTTCTGAACTGGAGGCTTTCACAATCTTGTTCAGGACAATTCTAATTCGGAGTCGAGTGGTTTTTCACGTGACTTGGCCTAATCCAGTCGTAGGTATTCAAAGAGACACTCAATGGAATACTTTAACTGCCTACTTCAACGTTTCTTTTTCTTTTCAATCACGTTCTCATGTCTGAAGAAAGAATACTTATTAAGTTGAAGTTATGCAGATCAGCTGGCCTGAAAAGTAGCCGTGCGTGTTCGTTCTGCACCACAGGACTTTTGATCTGAACATCAAGGGCGCGTTTTTATGTCTCCGGGAGGCAGCACGGAGAATGGAGGACGGCGGGCGGATTGTTAACATTACCACCAGTCTAGTTGCGTTCACAAACCCGGGGTATGGTGTGGCCGCGTACTCCGGAAGCAAGGCAGCCCTTGAAAACTTCACAAAGGTGCGTATCGAGGGCATTGTAACTTTATTGTCTTTTCAAGACGCGTGCGGTCTTGCTTCCGAATGAAATGATATTCGAGTTTTCCAACAGAAACTGTGTTTATTTGGCATCCGCCGGTTTACAGGCTTTTTGCAGATGGACAGCTTTGTTTTCATGGCCATCAAGACCAGGGTTTGCCGGGGTGTGGAGCAAAGGTTTCTGTGTTGAAAACAGGGAGCTATAGATGGCGCTTGGCAATCCGCGACCGAAAGACAGTAAGATTTCACAAAAGGTTAATAGATTCAAAGAGTCAAGATGGTTTGAGCCAACTGCTTGCATTGCCCCCTTGTATGGGTTTCAGGATTCACTCGACATGTTGAGACAATTGTAAGCTTCCCTCCCACACATGGGCGTTCGCAGGATCAGGTGGGGCCAAAACTGGCACTCTTTAAAACAAATGCAAAACAATTCAAAAAAAAAGGAACTTTGACGGTCGATGGTGGGAATCGATCCCGGGACCCTTTGGTATGGTAGTATAGCCCGGTCGGTTCCGAAAAGTACACTCGGACGGTCGGAAACGTACACATGTACACCCGCCGTACTCGCCGCTGAAATGTCAGCACTTGTCAGCACTTGTCAGAATTCACCGAATGATGACCTTATGACACGTTTCAGCTCGTCATTTGATGAAAACTTGGCCGAATCGAGCTCGGTTTCGTGCTACTGGTAGCTAAAGACGGTTTCAGACCGGTGTACCGGTAGACTTTTGACCAAATAGTCAGGACCCGGTAGGTTCTGGTGAGTGCCCGGTTGATGACGGAAAATGGTGAAAGTACAAAAGGGCGACCCATGAAAGTCGGACCAAACGAGCATTTCCGGTGGGCACATTTGGTCACGGCCCCTCTCTAGTGAAACTCTAGGGCACTGTATTGTCATTTTGAATTTTGGGGCCTAGACCCGGTTGGTGGCGGGGGGTTATATTTGAATATATTACTATTTTAAATAATCAAAATAAATCAAGCCATGCTATAGGGGTCGGGTCCCAATGAAATTTCAAAATGTGAAAAGGTGGTGCCCTAGAGTTACCCGAGACTTGACTGGTGACCAAGTTTCACTTTCCAAAAGTTGCTCAAGGTGGGACTTCCGTGGGTCGCCCTTTCGAAATCGGCCGTGTACCGGGCACATTTTGCATCTACCGGGCACTCAACACTTTTGAGAAAACTTTTGAGTGTACCATTTAAAGGTACCTTTTAGGTACCCAAAGCAAAAAACGGAACTCACTTTGACCAAGTTAGGCTAAAGTGGCGGCCACAAAGGTGCCCAAGCAATATTCTGGATTTTGCTGACAGCCTTTTGGCCCTTCCTGATCCTGCGAACGCCCACATCCGATCCCTGTACGACTTCGACACAGATTTTGGACTTCCGCAGTCGCAAGCCTGATATTTGTGATCAACGACTAATTGAAGGCTGTCTTCTTTGGACCGACTTCGTATCCATCGACTCTCGGTGCTGTGCAGAGATAAAACGCTGAAAGATTGTGGCTTCTCGGGTCCTTGATCGCCGCCTTCTACATTTGAAGGCATCCCCGTTCTCTCATGCAGTGCCTAGCGCCCGAGCTCCAAGGCCGACGCATCACTGTGAACGCCGTTGCTCCCGGCCCCACCGCCACCGAACTTTTCTACCGGGGCAAGACCGAGGCCCAGGTACGAGCTCTTCGGACACCTGTGTTTGTCGCTCACAGGGGAGGCTTTGACTGTTCGTGCCAAGGTCTTGGTTTTATTGTGTGCTGTGCTGTCGGCTGCACTTGCTTGATTCTACTCTGAGGCGGGGCTGAGCAGAAGTCAGCTCCACATGGCGTCCTCATCCGTGAAAGCGGAGTTTCAGATTGTCAAATCCTGGGGTATGATCTACGGCCCTGAGCGGCTCGAAACTGGTCACTTGCGGCCACGTTTACCCCAAAGTCGGCCTACTGCGTACAACACGCAACGCCTCCTGTGCTACGACCGTGGCAATGTCGTAGAGAAGTTTGCCGAAAACTTCTGGCTGAAAGTGCGCGGTGATCAAATAAAGAGCTGCTTCGTTGATGGCCGTGAAGACGACTATTGCCGCCGTATCTGTGCAGGTTGAGAAGGCTCGTATGATGAACCCGATGGAGCGGCTAGGACAGCCCGACGACATTGCCAATGTCATTGGCTTCCTTGTGAGCAGAGAAGGTAAGGATCTACTTTCTTTGAGTCGTCCATGGTGGCCCTTCAAAGTTAGCCCGGTCGGCTGAGAATGGATGTGTCATTTGCCATGTCCAGTCGTGTCTCCTGCAATGCTTGAGTTCCGGCTCATGCGTTGCTTCGGTAGGTGAGGCAAAAATCTTCATACGAATCAGTTAAAATTGGTCATTTAGAAAAGCTCTTCCTCGTGCGCATGCAGGGGAATGGGTGAATGCACAGATTGTTCGAGCAAACGGGGGCTACATCTAATCATTCTTGGCGGGAGCACGCCAGGAACGATGGTTTACGAGGCTGGAATCTGCCGAAGAGAAATTGCGGCAGTCGCGGAATCCGTACAAATGGACTCGAGACTACATCTTTGTCCTAAGGTGCTCGTTTGTAAGCCCAAGGTGCTCGTTTGTAAGCCCTATAGAAATTGGTCAGATGACACATCAATTATATACATAATGTTTAGTTTGCATGTAAATTTCACAAGATTACTAATGATGAATGACATTGACTATAGATGACTTTCCGTCATTTGGTTGCATGCAAGCACAAGCTCTAGATCGGCACCGTGCAACCGTACAAGACTGCGCATTCCCATGAGACACCGGAGAGTCGGAACAACAGCTGCATACAAGCATCATTGGGCCATGGATTTGTAGCGCGGGCCCCAGCCCGGCGGCCGGCCGGCCCCGGCCGCGCACGCGTGCGGAGAAAACTGCGCCCTCTTGTGCGCGCAGGCCCACAAAAAGAAGCAACGTACGGACTTGATCCATGCACATGGCCCTGGGGGAGGCTCGAGAGCAGGACTCGTTCTGACGCTTGCGACGGCAGGGAAGGCGCCATGGTCCACTCGAGGCATTCTCAGTTGGGCTCTTCTCTTGAAATGCCTGCAGAGTGGCAGCATTCTCCACCATCCAGCCTCCTCTTTGTTGGACCCCTCCAGGTTCCAGAGTTCCAGCCATTGAAAACTGAAGCCACGCCTCTCCAGCTAGCGCCATTTGCTTCCATCAGAAGCCAAGGCTCAGATATTCAGCCTTTTGTTGAAGAGTTGCAACAGGGTTTGGCTAATCAGGCCGAGGAGTTTGCTAGGGGAGTCGAGGGTACCAAGAGGAGGTTTAGAAACTTGGCCAGGGGTTTGAGAGAGGGTTTGCAAAAGGGGGGAAGCAGACTGGGACTGGTGCACATGCAAACAGAGCACAAGAGCTGCCCTCAGCATGACCATGTTGGCACAAGTAAGCAAAAGTGGCGGCATTGCATCATAGAGACAATGCGACAAGTTGTCCGCTTGCTTGCATGATGCCACCCTGACTGCTTCATAGCAGTTTGCAATTACCACCGTTTATACTCAATTTGCAAACACACTGATTCAGCAACCACTTCTTTACAAGCCGCTTCAAATGTCTCCAATTGTCAGTTGAGTCGTGTGTTCAAGTTCTACATGGCCTTGAGCTTTTTACCACCAGTTGTTGGAGCGCTTAAAGAGCGTGCTGAGGCAATCGTTGCATCACCCTCTGATTCGTTGTCCTGTGCAATGCTGCTTGTCCTTTCAGACTCGGGTTCCTGGCTTGGCATGCTGGAAGCGGGCAATCAATTCGGTGACATTGAACATGTATCGTTTTTCTTGTATCAGGAGGCCTTCTTTTTGCGTCCATTTCCGAGAGCACGAGCGCCCCACGGAGGCGCAAGTCCCAAAGCTCAGGCGAAGAGGGAACCGACAAGAAGATTCAGCTTGTCAGCAGTACCACCGTCACCAAGAAGGAGTTCACTGTGCAGGATCTCCTGAGTAAGTTGTTGATTACCGGAACTCTCTGAGCAATTCCAAGGAGTGTGCTAGGTTGACTCTGAGGTGAACAGTAGTGGTATAAGACAGGATGGTGGCCTCAGTTTTCTCATCTGATAGGTTGCGTATTTGGAAGGCTGTTCCAAACATCGTGGACTGTGTACTGTGGAGCTTTGGTGCCAAGGGGGAGACTTTTCTTTTCAGACATTGGAGTCCGAGGGAGACGGTATTCTTTCCTTATAGTGGAGTCCAGCGGTTTCAAACAACTCTGAAATTCTACCAAAAGAGCTTTCTGCAACTGAGGCGATCCTGTTGGGGGGTGAATCTGGACCAGATATAGTATCGTTACATCCACAAAACTGGACAATGTATCAAGCAGAATGAAAGCGAACCGATGATGATTCAACCAGACAAGTGTTCAAAGTTATCAAGCAAGCAGAATGAAAGCTAACCAATGATGAATCAACTGGACAGTTGTTCAATATAATGAAGCGGAGCTTTATCTGGGACTTTGGCCAATGTATCTGCTTGATAGCAGGGTCAGTCAAGTAGTCAAATGGGTCATCAGCAGCACATCTGACCAAATATTCTTCTGCTTTGCAGTTGGGGCTGTTTCTGGTGGCGCCGCGGGGGTGTCTGTGGAGACAGCGCTCTATCCAATTGATACCATAAAAACCCGCCTTCAAGTAAGTCCCATCTTACATGTTCCTGTCTCAAGTGGCGGAACAGTCTTCCTGGTAGCCGTAGCTTGTCCAATGATAGTATTCGGCCCCTCTTGTGACCTCTGCCTTCGAAGTTACATATCTCTTTCTCTTGATGATGTCCATCATCTGTTCAATTGCTGTGCAAGAAACGTGTAAAACAAGTAAGAAGGCAAAGTTTCAAACGAAGGGCCTTAGTGGTGTCTGTTGCCCTACCATTCACGGCATCAGGCGAACGGAAGGCAGCCACGGACTAGAGCAAAGGTCTGTTGTCTGTACTTCAAATTCTACAGATGTACAGTGACCTTGCATAGAAGGCAATTGACACACGCCAGTCGGCGTTAGACCGTTCTGAGGGAGGAGACACGGCCACACGCTTTCTCGTGTGTCTTTGGATGCTTCACTGTTTGATCATCGCTGCGTGCTTCGCTGTCTTCGTGAAGACCCTCTGATCTGCACAGGCCCCCTTTACTAAGCACCGTCAAGGACTTCTGTCAAAATCGTGCCTCCACAAAAACCACAGATTTCACACACTCTTTCGCACGGCTATTCTCAGCTGCTGATTGTTTCGAAAATTGCATGAACTCCGATACCGCCAGCGCCTAGTGTTTCCACCTCCGCTCGGTCTCTGACCCGCCTATGTATCAAGCTGCCTCCCAGACCCAATCTGACCGTTTATAGTTTGACGGGGTGGAGCGGATTGGTATCGATCTTGACACAATGTGCAACGTTGCTTATTTGCGTGAAGGTTCTCTCCAAAGGAGGCAGCCTCAGCTTCAAGGGCCTCTACTCCGGATTAAGCGGTAACCTCGCGGGGGTCCTACCGTGAGTAACGCGCCCATAAGTCTCGTGCAAAATACAGACCCCAAGACAAAAAGCGCATCTATTGGTTTCCCGAGCCGAAGTCGGTTCCTCTTCTGAAAGTTTCTTAGGTTGTTTGGTTCAGCTCCGGTGATGCTCGCCCTGGTACTCACTAGAGTTGCAACAATCACATTTGACTTCTAGTCATCTGGTAAAAGCCAACAATCTCGGATGATTGACGTCGACCAAGCTTCGAGCACCTTCATGACGTGTTGGATTGAAAGAGGTCCAGTCACGTATGCATCGTGAAGGCGCCTTGCATTCTTGCGAAAGGTATCGTAGTGCATAGCGCTTTGCAGTCGAGCAAAAAGCTGACCGCTCCAAAAGGTTGTCTTTCCCTAGGCTTCTTCCCTTTTCGTTTCTCAGTGAACGCGCTTCAGTTGCGACTGCCGAATTCCAGCACACGTTGCTCATTCCATGGGTGTCTTGAGAGCTCCGTAACCTGAACTTTGGGTGCTAGAAAGATTGTTCTCGTTTTTTGTATCTTTTGAACAGTGCCTCCTTTTTGGTCCCCCACCGGAGCATTGAAAAGTCCGCTGCAGATCTCGGCGCAGCGCCTCGCTTTTCCTGTGGGCCTTCCAAATTGAAAGTCTTATCTTCATCCTATTTCTGTCGGAGCTTGTCAGGATCCGTTTGCCACTTTCGTGCCGCACGCCTCACCCCTTTGTCGGCATATCCGGACTCGTCAAGCAACACCCGCTCGATACATCCTCGAGTCCTTTTCCTACTGCAGGGTCCTTGGTGCACCAGTAACCCTCAATCATGCGGTTCTTCTTATTACGCGGACTTCTTGCAAGCTGCTTTGCACTCTTTGCAGTGCCTCCGCACTCTTCGTCTGCAATTACGAGCCCCTCAAGCGAAACCTTCTTGACCGCTTCTCCGAGCGCTTTATGTTGTGCTAGGACTTCTAGCAACGTGTCTTTCAATGGAACAGATCCTTAAGAGCGACACCTTCCTAATGCCAATGCGTCCGTTCATCCGCAGTGCCTCCGCGATCTTCGTCGCCATTTACGAGCCCCTCAAGCAGCATCTCCTCGACCGTTTCCCAGAGCGCTTTTCCTTCTGGCCAGAGTTTGGCAACAGAACAACTCTTCGCAGGTATCCATCTTCCACCTTGTGCTGATTCACAACCGTTCAAGCTCCACTTTTGCAGTGCTTCCGCGATCTTCGTCGCCATTTACGAGCCCCTCAAGCAGCATCTGCTCGACCGCTTCCCCGAGCAATGGAGCTCCGCGGCGCAACTGCTCGCGGCCGGGGCCGGGGCGACCGGCGCGTCCATTGTGCGCGTGCCGACCGAGGTCATCAAGCAGCGGATGCAGACGGGGCAGTTCACGTCAGCAGCGGGAGCCGTGAAGCAGATTCTGGCCAAAGAGGGGATGAAGGGGATGTACGCTGTGAGTGGCGCTGTTTTTGGGTTTATTTTTAGAGCAGGTGTCTTCTTTGGCAAGTCGCCGAGAAGCGGAGCTGTTCTTGCTCCGATTGTCCCGCTACTCTCGGGGGTACTTTCCGCACGCAAAGCTGGTACCTTACGACAGTCAGTGTGTCATCGGAAAAGAACACCATTGTCACCAGCCTTTTTGGGGTAGCACGACAGAGTATCATGATGAATTTTCTGACGCATGATCGTACGAGTCGGCGGACTCAAAGACCACCCGCAGTGTTTCACCGGCGACGGCAGCGCCTTACCCCCGGCTATACAGTCGCTCAAAAGCAAAAAGACCCGCTCTGCAAACACCTTTCAAGGTTTAGAGGCATACTTTTCCAGGTCTAAAGGTTTTCAGGTTTAGGTCGTATATTCCCAAAGCACAGGAGTGTTACAGATAGCTTGGTGTAGGTTTCCTGGTTTCCATGGTAGAAGGGCTAGAGGGGACGGTACGGTATGAGCGGGGTCAAGCGCCTCCTTTCCCTCCCTAAGAATGGACTCGCTGTGAAAATGATGAGCCAATTGGGGCGTTACATTTGACTTCGCGTGTCTTTCTGAAGTGAAGGTCAGCCGTAAGGTTAAACCTAAAGCAAGGCTTGTGAACATTTCACCATTGGAAGACACATAAGAAACATGAACGCGCCACCTCGTGCCCGTATCTCTCAAGCTCAATGAACAGAAAGCTCATCAGACAATCAGCTTTTGACCTAACCAGAAGATTAGACCAAATGCTTTCGCCCCCTGTACACGCACCCAACCTAACTTCCTAAGTATACTCACCTGTCTTAGCAGTGTCTTCTTATCATTAAGCGCAATCTTGTCCTTGGCCGTATTCCCGTAAATCTTGTGCAGGGCTACGGGTCCTTCCTCCTCAGAGACCTTCCGTTTGACGCCATCGAGTTTGTCGCATACGAGCAGATCAAGTTAGCCGTGCAAAGGACGGTGAGTCGCTTGTGTTGTTGTGGATCTCCCTTATATGTCCACAAATCTCGCGCATACGTGTCTGTTGTCTACAAGCAAATCAAGCTGGTCGTACAAAGGACGGTAGGTCGCTTATGCGTGGACGAGTCCCTCGCCATGAGAAGCGTTTCTTGGCTCGTGGCGCGATACTCAGTGGATTGTTCGCAGTTGGGAACACGTCTCGACTAATAACTAATAACCCCTAGATCTGGGCACCTGCATACGGAGGCACTTTGACGGGCTTAGATTCCAGAAAATTCTCTGGCGATCGATCCTTTCGCAAAAGCAGTTGTTACCAATCAACTATAGAGGCCTCAAATGACCAGAACCGTTGACGGATGTGAACGCCAAGTGGCGACTTAACCGTGCCGTTGCAGAAGTTTCTCGGGGTCTAGCTCCCCTTTTACTCAACGGAAGACCGCATCCCCTCACCCCGCTGCTTCCTCATTCCGCCTCAATCCGTTCCGTGCAGAGGAAACGGAAAGAGCTGACGGCAGTCGAGACAGCGTTTGCGGGCGCGCTGGCGGGGGCTGTGACCGGGGCTGTGACGACCCCCCTGGACGTGATCAAGACGCGGCTCATGGTACAGGTGGGTTTTTCTTGAGGGGTGAAAGCGAGGGAAACGGATAGAATTCTTCTTGAATCCAGAAGTGATTGATATTCCTTTGCAGGGGAGAAGTGCTCGTGAGAGGCACCGCTTCCTTGGCCACCCCGCCGCCATTTGGGTGTGGCAGACTGGGGACGGGTGAAGCCGCGCAAGTTTCGCTCTTCTCTGAATCTATGGTTTGCACAGTGCGAGATGGTTATTTTTTCGGCCCTGCGTTATGCATAGTAGGCTCGGCTCGCAGCATGATTCCTTCCTGACAAATGCTGCCTCCTCTTACTGCCACGTTGCCGACTTCCGCAATCCAGCACGGAACTTCTGTTCGCTCCCTAAGCCCATACTGCGACGTCTAACAACAGCGCGCACCCAACCAGTTTTCCACCCCTCCACCCCCTTGAGTGCCACGTGTCCCTTCAATGTCCGTCCACGTGTCCCTGATTTCGTTCGTTCTCACCAGGGTACGAACATCAAGTACACGGGCATCATGGACTGCATCTCGAAGATGGTCGCCGAGGAGGGGGCCGGTTCACTGTTTAAGGTGGGGCTTCTCTTCGTTTTTGTGGCGACTGAAAATTGCTCTGACTTCCAGCCTGCCATTGCTTGTGCATGTACGCACTTTTACCCCTTTGTTCCAGCTGAAAGACGCGGCGAGCATGTCTTCACTGTCTAGATGGTTGAGTGGAGCCATCCCATGGCCCCAAAGCTGCAGAAATGCGCTCCTTGAACCATTGACGCCGTAATGGAGTGCACTGTTTTAGGTCGTCAGTTAGAAGACTGCTCTGAAATCTCGTATCGTCATAACGTGGAACAATTCTATACTATTAAGAATTCGGCGGCCTGGTCCTCTGTTGTGCAAGGACCAGGCTGTTCCGCTTTTCTCCTCTCTACTCGCACTTTTCGAACATATTCTGTCCGAAATGGCGTCTCCTTTGGCTCTTCAAGCCTCCATAAGGCACGACTTTGCCAGCCGAGTAACTCTGGGACGTAAACAAATGCGGCCGGCTTCCTTTTCCTGCCCCCTCGAATGACCAGCCAGCTGTCAACCACTCTTCATTGCCTAGTATTGCGTTATAGTCAGCCACGCTTTCGGTGTCAGTCATTCATCCGGCAACTCAAAGGAGTGCATCTTGTGCAGGGTGTTGGCCCACGTGTCCTGTGGATCGGTATTGGAGGTTCGATTTTCTTCGGGGTCCTTGAAAAGACCAAGTCTCTCTTGACCACTGAGCTAGAGGCCCGCAAAGCAGCTAAGCCCACGACCGTTGTGTAAGTGCAAGAGAAGTTGATTCTTTGGAAGCTGCTATTCTTTGCATTGCCAATAACTGGCGTAGTGAGCACGTTGCGAGGTGGAGGCTAAATCATGCGCGCCCGGCCTGTAAGAAGGCATGGAGAACCCCTCGTCTAAGAGAAGGTAACATAGTGCGATGCGTACAGAGATGAGGTAGCCCACTCTAGAAAAGTCTGTGTATGATTCCAACGCTCGATCTATGGCCGTACGACTGCAATGCTGTAACACGCCTACAACATATTGCGACGGTCTGGCGTCCGCATGTACCGTCTACCATATGATGCACTGGCATGCACGTGCACACACTTATTAAACGCATGCAAATATCCTTGCTCGACACTCGACCGCGCGCGTGTTCGACTTGACCAGACATCGAGCGCCGCAGGCTCTGGGCCCGGGCGGCCTTCTCCAAAGCGGTGTGGCACTGCTCACCTTTAGCAATGGATTGGATATCAAGTTTGTTGAGCACTTGAATCAATAATGCCAACATGAGGGAACATGTGACCGGATCGGACCCAACTTTTGTAGTTCAGTGTGCATGACCGCTGGATATATACCACCAATATCACGAAGGTCGGACTTATAAAGATGTTCGATCAACTCGCGCGAAGCTTGAAACTATGAACGAACTCGTAATCATTGGCTATGCTTAAGGCAATCCACTGACTGCTGGCCCGGGGATCGCTGAACCGGCCGGCCGGGCAAGTAAAGTGATGATTGAATTAGATATCTCCAGCGTGCGCATATGTGCCAAACGGTCCCTGTCACTGACATGTACGATCGAGAGCAGCCCTGATGCAAGATGTACAAAGCATATACATAGGTTGTACGTTGAGGTTAGCTGCAGTGCATCTCGAACGCCTGAGCGCCAGCAAATGATCGGATAAGGACTCGGATGGCGTAACGTATGATCTTCGTTGGTTTTATCCCTCCGATATTTGAATCTGAACGCGCGCAATTCAAGCTAGCGCGCATGCCAGCCATCATGCAGCATTGAGTGTCATGATCCATACCAAGCGTGGACCAATTGAGTTGAAACTTCTCATCCTAAGCAGTGAGGTTCTCCATAGTGACACTCACTCCAATGAACCTGTATGGCCACCAAGAGCTCTATATCCAATTAACATGCATCACCTTTTCTTGACGCGGCTCTGGTTAAATCAGACGTATCTTGCGCAAGACCTATGAATAAGCAATGAAAGGAACCTGCATGGTGGATGTCCCCACGCTCCCCTCGAAATCAGTACTGACCACCAAAAACGCTCTCAATTTCCTGTGATCGTCCAATTGCCCTTCTTTTGACGCAGCGGAACTCTGCAGTTTGGCAGTTTTGCCGCTTATTTAAGCAATTCATCAGAGGGCAACAGACGAATACCTCCCTATTCATGTCAAACTTTGCTCAACTGCCACTTAACGCCAACCAGACGACGAGTTCGGAAGCAGGGAGGTGAGCGATCGGCCAACCGCTTGTCGGCCGATGTCGGCCCTTGGTTTCCCTGGCATACGTTCCGGCGGAAAGACAGGCATCCGCACACTCCCACCGGGGCCCAGCGGCGCTCTTCCCTTGGACACCTCTTCCGCTGTTCCGCTGTAGTCGTCACCGGAAATGACCTCGAGACCAATCTGCTCGGAGAAGTCGAGGGACATGTGCAGCGAGGGCGAGCTGAGGTCGAGGAGCGTCCTTTTGGCGGCGGGGCTGCAAAGCGAGTGGGTTAAGAGTCCAGTCAACACTTGGTTAAGGAATCCAAGGGAACTTAGTGCGCCATAATCGAAGCCAAACTCTCGGACCATGACCAGGTCGTAGGTATTGTCGGTGATTCGGAAGCTATAATTTTGAACGAAGCAAGGTTACCACATTCGTTGCCGGAGAATTTAGCTGGGTGTAAACACAAGGTATGAGCACTTACGGCACGTGATTGGATTGCCAGGATCACGGGTCTGGCACCGATCGGCCCTCTGACCAAAAGCAGACCAAAGTAACATTTTCTTCTGAGCAATTGGCTGTTCACCGGTTTGTTGCTAACGATTTGCAAGGGTGAAAGTGAAACAATCTGCCGGGGAAATAATTATGCGACGAACCAAAAGGTTGACACTGGTTGTCATCGGAGGCGAGGCTGCCGGGCTGTGGTAAGTATGAGCAAGGGGACGACCTATTGAAGGCGGAGAAGACGTGCCGTAACAAAGATTCAACCACTTGGCGTGCACAAAGCGGACTTAGTTGGGCGGCTGATGACAACAACACGTCATCTCAAGCCCAGCCAAGCGTCTAACGTTTTCACATACCAGGGGACCGCGTTCGAGGATGGAAGTCAAGATACGTATTCCGGTCGCATTCCGGTCGCCTCCCTCCAAGCACATTCCGGGCTCAAGCTACCTTCCCCAACCGTGCCCGTTTATCTCACCCCTAGCATAGCGGAACACAAAGACGTCATTCCAACTTTCCCACCTGCCGCGTTCTGTCAAAAGCGCCTCTTCGGACGCGAGCGTCGTCCTCCGGTCGAATCCGCCCCGCGTCCGTTCCGTCTGAGCCCCGCTCGGAAGGACGGAACTCGTTCCCGCTATTCGGCTTAGCGTCTGAGCGGCGTCCATGTTGAAAGCCAAGCGGTTGGACCTGCGGCGGGCGGGGGTCCGTTCCGTTTGGGAGCCGTCCGGAACGGAAGAATACGTGCCGGAGTTGCTCTGGGACAGCGTTCTATCTTCCTGCAAAGCGGATTGTCAACTTTTGAGGGGCACTCATTCGGATTACTCGCGAGGCTGCTAACTCTAGCTTGAACGAAAACCCCTAAGCTCCTTATTCACTGCTATAAAACGTTTCAAGGCGACCTTGACGACAAGCCAGCTTCAGACAAAAGGCTTATCTGGTAGCTTCTGGCGGCTGAATTCGTTTTGATCGGGTACTGTCTCAGGGACTCTTACCGCAGAGGCTAGCTTTTCTGGGAGGCTCCTCTGATGAGAAGGTGGGAAACGGAACGAAAGTACGCCGTATCCCGTGCAGCGTCGAAATCAGTGATGGTCAGCTCGAAGGTAGATTTGACACAGTCCTCAAGAGCCAGAGAATTAAAAGCACGGCCAGGAAAACTGTTGGGAAATCAGGCAGACGTTTCAGAGCCCTTAATACAATGCAAATATCCAAAACACGGGAGGGTCCGAATCGGCTGTCGACTTTTGACCCAGACAGACAAAGCCCAAGTCGGCCACTATCCTGGATTGACCCGCCACTGATACAATTGCCTTAACCCACTGACTCCTCCAAACACCCTCTGAGAGTCCCAGCCCCCCTACAATTTAGATTCGGATCTCTTCATAAGTAACTGCTACGTGGCACTTACAGGGATCGAGTTGGAGGCTTCGGTTCGGGCGCCGTCTGATGCGTCGGACAAGAAGGAGGACTGCCGAGCGATATCTAAGGAGTCGGAGCGAAGAGAAAAGTGGCGGGAGAATGCCGGGTGGCTGACGACCTGCATTTCGGCAGAGGAATGTATTACGAGGTCTCGAGAAAGTTTCTGCACTTCCTTTTGGTTTTCAAGCCTTTAATGTGAAGCAAAAGGCCTGCTTGCGGGAGAAGTTCCAGTAGAGACCGAGCTTGCAGGAATTCCATGCGGTCAGAGTAGGAGGACTGAGGATGTCATGACGACCTAGAAACTCTGCGCTTACTGGCAAGGCAGTAACGTGCGTGGTTCGAGCGGAACTGCTTTTGCTGACGTCGTTTGATACAGAATTTGCAAGTTAATTCAAGTAATTTGCAAGCGTTCTCTCAGGGTTGCTGAGACAACCACTTCTCGGTCTGAGGCTCTGACTCGCAGCATAATAGAAATTCTCGGGAGGACTTCCAAAAAGGCGTCTTTTTCGATCCAGAACCCGTTGCACAGGGCGACCTAAAGTGAGCACGAACCGAATCCCATGTGAAACCCTGCTTTGCTACCAGCTTAGATCGCTATTCGACGAGTCAGCCCCCAAAGCACCTTCCATGCAGGCTGCTTGGCCGCTCTCAACAGGAGCATCAACAAACTCAGCAACAAAACGCATCCTACGCCATTCTCCGCCCTCTTTCTGAGCTGTTGCGGAGCTCACCGGTTCGCTCAGCAGCCTGGCAGCACCCTTGGTGTCCCCTGCCCTGGCCTGAAGTTCGAGCAGTTCCCGCTCGAGGGCCCTGCTGCGGCTCTCGATGGCCTTGCAGTGCCGCCTCAGCCGAGTCACCTCCGCCTCCATCGGCGCCCGCAGGGCCTTCTCCTGAGACGCACTCTCCTCCGCTGCCTGAGCCTGCAAAAGTGAAGCGGACATAGTCTGCAAGTGAACTGTCTTGAAGGCGTTCATTTGCCCATTTTTGCAGCGCTTCTTGAATCGAGTCTGCAAAAGGTTTTTGCGACTGGTCTTGCCCTGTAAACGGTGGTCTTAGTGCTTTCGGGCTGTACCATTCTATGGGAAAGATCTGCAAGGCTATAACAGGATCTGAGGCAAACCGAAGCCTGCGACGGGGTTAGAAGACGATCTTGCGAGGGTCCTTACAAAAGAACTCTGCTTTTCATCAGACATTGGTTGAAAGGCAGGTCCTTGCTGTTTGGCAAAAAGCCTTTCACCGGATAATCGTACAATATCGGGACAGAGCTACGTTTCTTTGATGCACGGAGTCCCCACCTGCGTCTGCGTCTCCAACAGTCTCCTCTGCACCCCCTCCCTCTCCTCCGCTGCCGCTTTCAGCTTCGCCTCGCACGCCCGCTCCAGCGCCGTCCGAATGCTCTCCGCTTCGGACGCCTTCCAGTCCGCCAGCTCCGTCCGGTGCGCCGCCCTGATGTTGTCCACTTTCAGCCTGTACTGCTTTTCCAGCACCGAGATCTGCTCCTGCAGTCTCGCCTCCAATTTCTGCAGCTTCTCCTCAGCTTTGCGTGGTGACGTCACGCTGAGCTGGATCTCCAGCTCGCGCACCTTCCGCTTGTACTCTTCCAGCTCCGCAGAGACCGTCTCCATCTTCTTCCGCATCGTGGTGTCAATCGCGAGGGCTGGAACACGCTTTGTCGGCGCGCTGGGTTCCGGTTTGGAACTCCTGTCACTACTGTTGCTGCTACGCCTGCGACTGCTTCTGGCTGACTCCGTGATGCTCTGTTTCCGCCCTGACCTGACTGTAGGTGGAGCCAAGCTCTGTCCACCTTTGAGGGGTTGCTGAACCTTCCCTAGACCTGCCGTGCTTGACACACCCGCTTCTGCCCAGTCTTGACCGTCCCCTGCGCCCACCCCGGTGTCATTTCCCAACGCCCCTAAGAAAAGGTGAGGAAGCACCGGCCGACATATGGCTGCTCTTTGCTCAAAGTCTCCATCTTTTCCCGCTTGTCCTGCTTGCTGACTCACTTTCCTCACTGTCTTCCCAAATTTACCTCTCGCAACGCCATCCCCAATGCCAGACACTTCTTCTCTACCCGCTGCCAAAGGTTCTGCCACATTCGCCTTCCTCTCATTGATTCCGTCAATAACCACACCCCCGATGTCACCTGCATCAGTGGCACCTGCTCCCCTTGTCTCAGCAACCATGGCCCGCAGTCTCTGCTGCACATCTCCATCTAGCTCAGGATTGGTCCGGACACCGCTCAGTTTCTCAACAAAGTCCTTGTCCAAGAGAAGCTTCAAGTCCTGGTGCATTTCTGGGAAGAGCGTCTCCAGAAGCTGCTCAGGGTCCACCTTTTCGTCCCTGGATCTCCTACTGCGCAGCGGTTGCCATCCTACAATCGTCTCTCTGGCCGTCCTGGGCCCCCTCTGTGTGGTGCTCTTGAAGGCCGAAGTGGCAGATCGAGCACTCAATGATTGGGCCCGCTCTCGGTCTGGCAGCTTGTTCAGCTGACCCAGCTTCAGCAGGGGAACCTTCACCCCCGCCGAGTCCGTCGCTGGAATGTGTGGGAGCGTCGCCTCACTGCTTCTCGCTTCCTTCCCTGACTGCGCCATGTCATCTTCAGCACCACCTGATGCTGCTGCAACCCTCCGTTCCTTCAAAAAGGGGGCGGGATCAAAATGGGGCTTTGCTGAGCTCCCTTCGTTATAGACAGTTCGAGCTGTCACTTTTTCCTCTGCGACGCCCCTGAAATGGATGCTGGGGGGAAACCCTTTCGCAGCACCGCCAAAGGCTGCTTCTGCTCGTTTTCGAGCCTGAATGCGGTGATGAGCAACAGGGTCCGAGCAATGCTCTGGGGGGCAGTACGCATTAGGATCTGGACACCCGTGCCAGTCCATTTTGCAGGCAGAAGAAGAGTGACAAAATTGAGATTACTCGTTGCTTCCATCTACTCCAGACTCACAGAATGCAGAGCCAGAGGGTACTCAAAAGCACAGTCCTTCCTTGCAGGATCGCTCGACTACTCCCTTTCAAGAAATCTATTGCACTATCGGGAACCCTAATTGCGAATACGTTTGACTCTTCCCTCTGCAGGGTCCCTTACATATCCAACGACGGTATGGTCACTTCCAATGCATGCCGGGAGCCATGCTTCTGTAGACTCTAGATCAGAGTTCCTCACAAGATCCGGTCCTATGAAAGGAAGCATCTTTCACCTCAGCCTTCAGAAATCTGGCGAGCCTGACTCAAGTCTGAAGCTGCATTGAAGCTGAAATCCTTTGGTAACCCGGGTTATGTTGGTGTTAAGCACCCCTGAGCAAAATCTACATGAACCGGTCGTAAACCCCTTAGCAGCGCGCTGAGACTCATCTCCCGGGAAGGTTTATCCGGGCAGATGCCAGAGGGGACTCTCTGATCACCTGAGGTCACGCCGCCTCGATTCTGCCCCTCGGTGTTTCTCTAATTAACTGTGCAAGTTGCACTGGCACTGGCAGCGGCAAAGTGACGCCTTCCTGAAGACCTCTTCAAGACAATGGCGCAAGCGTCGGCTGGAACGCTCCGGACCCAACTGCACCTAGCTCGGATAGAAGCAAAGCTCTCTAGAGATGAACGTCATAGTATCGATTATCACCCAAGCAACGCCATCGGGCCTGCCTCACTGCAACTGAGCAGGTTTCTCTTAAACAATTGGAAGCGGAGAAACAGCGCAGAAGAGAGTGGTAGAGGTTTTGAGTGCCTACATGAAAGGAGTCGGCAATTACACGCTGGCAAGCTTGGGGGAATGGGTGGCAGGCCCACTATCGAGGCCGCGGCACAGCGAAGGAGGCAAGGGAAAAGGACAGCTGACAATGCTGGTGAGAAACAGCTTGCGGGAAGGCGGTTCGCGCGCCCTTGTAGTACACTCTTCCTGTAGACCCTGTATGTGCCGGGTGGGCCAAGTGTTGTGGCCTTGTTGTCAGCAATGCAGTGGAGTCGTGTGGCTCACTTGAGGATGTTGGGAAGTTCCTCCGGAAGAAGTTGGGGCGATAGTCGGGGTGCGATTGTGTACCAGTCCAATGCTGAAGATCCGTAACGTTCCTTGCTGTTCTCCGATGCGCAGCTGTCTGTCACTACCTTTCCAGGACCGCTCACTCGCTTCCTACTCAGAGCATTGCCCTCACGTTTGCAAAACAACCATGGCAGCTTATGCATGAAGCCCGTGACTAAACGAGCACCTTCATTCAACTTACAGGCACCATTGCCTCTACCCCCCCATCTCCTGAACTGCTTCAACCATCCCCTTCCCCAACCACACCCCCAAACGAGACCCCCTTGGAACCGGAGCCGGAGGCTCCCCCGATCCCAAGTAGAGAGCAAGTTTTGAAGGCCTGTACAGTCACCAGTCTTGGCATCGGCGCTGCGGGGCTGGGGCTGCGGACGGCGTTCCATGTTGCAGCAACAGCGGGGTTGCCTGTGAATGATTGTAGCGGACTGCTGCCGGGTAAGGAGCTCATCATTATTGTGCAACTGAGATTTCCATGAAGGCATTGCAAATGATTGACTGGTTTCACTGGCAGGTCCTGAATTATGAAAGAGTTTTGAAGATTTACCATACACCAAGAGATATCTATGTTTCTAAATATTTGAAACGAATGGTGCTCCTCTTCTACGGTCTCGTCTTGGTCCAGGCAGTAAGGTGGGCCGGTCGCCAAATTGCCACTGGGTTATGTCGCTCTGCTCGAAGGTTTGAGACTGCCCTTTTTTTTTTGGTTGACTACTGTCTCCCAAGTAGTGCCTTACCAATCTTTGTCTTATTCGGTCTGATCTCTTATATTGGCTTCCCTTCGCAGTTGCATTCGACCTTCAAGACATTCTGCCAACCGTTGCCATCATTGGAGGCGTTTCCGCAGTGCGCTGGTTGCTTCTAGCAACATGGAAAGAGTTCAGGGAGTCCAGTGAGGCGTCAAACCGACAAGTGAGCTAGTGTGGCCTCCATTCCAGCAAGGATCCGTATGTGGCTTTCTTAAGAAACAGGCAAGGAGCAGCTCCCTGCTTGCATTCTAGCCTTTAATTTGACAAGTTGTACTCTCAACCGTAAGAATCAGATCAGGTATACCCCTCCTTCACCACCAGACTGCCATTAGTGGCCCGCACTTCAGACTGCGGTCGTTAGGGGGGTTCCAATACAGGTATCAACAGTCTATCTGAACTTTGATGCCGTTGAAAAAATCAAGCAGTTGGGCAGCCACGTACATTCAGATTCCGTACACATCGCTGTAAGTGGGCTCCTGCGACTGCTATTCTTTACATCTCTAAGATTGACCAGTGATCTCCAGAACCTTCAAGGCGTTACATCCTAGCAGTAAGAGCAATGCCGAAGCTGGAAAGGGTGGGGAAAATATAAGCGAGACAACAAGAAGTCCGCAATCGGGAAATTGGGTCGAATCTGCTTCCGGTTCATTTTCGCATCCTTTTCAACTCCGCTCTGTACCTTTATATTTTCGACCTGTTCCAAGTCCACGTCCTCTTCCATGTAATGATGGAACACGTTGTTGGTCCTGATGCAGCTTCTTACCTCGCTAGAGCTGCCGGACGTCTTCTTACTCGGACTACTCCCGGGACTCAGTGAGGTACGTTCCCTAAACGGGCTTACCTCTTCGTTTCCATTTTATCGGTTCAAGTGTGTCGGAAAGCTGTGCGGCTTATGAATCCGCGGTCTCTCGAGTCTCAATCGACAATCGACAAGCAAAAGGTCAAGATTAGCCGCCAGCGCCCTCTATGTGTTTGTGACCGGAATGTGTGGCACTCCCAGCTCAACGGAATGAAGCGAGCATCTTAGGCACCTCTCACAGACTCCGACCTTTCTCACGATCAGTACTGGCCATCAAAGTTGGCCGTTGCATCGGCTGTCTCGATATTCGATCGGGAGAGTCGTGACCGAAATCTCCTCTCTCATGCGTAGGAGCTCCTCTTTCGAGGTTTTCTGGTGCCAGCAGTCTCCCCCGACTGGAAAGGCGCGGTTGTTGCCGGGGCCGTCTTCGGCGTTTTGCACATAAGCGGGGGTCGGAACGTGGCCTTTGGGGCTTGGTGAGAGACCAGTCCCTCGCTTCGACAAGCTTTGGCAATCGGTAGAAGCTTATCGGCTTTCCGTGCTCGTCGTAACTTTGGGTCCTATCGGATTCATGTTATTCGGATGCAACGGCAGGCATCTGTCGAATGGCGTTTTGTAAGCGCTGAACGTAACTTCTCCATGACTAGTCTGTCCTGTTTGATTGGAGAAAAAAAGGTCATCTTCGTAAGCTAGATTTTGCGCAATCAGAATCGAGAGGGTTATGCAGACGGTCAGCCCGAACTTCACATTTTGCAGGGCAAGTGCAGTCGGAGTTGTTTACGGCCTCGGGGCACTCAGCACACAGAACCTTGCCGTGCCAGTCGTGGCCCATATTTTGAACAACATCGTAGCTGGCATTGCTTGGAAGCTACGGCACGCTCGACCTTCGCCTTGATTGTCACCGATCAATCTCGAAAACTTAGTGGATAAAGCCCATGTATAGATTGTTACCGAAAGGGGGTTACGATATCGAACATTGCGGTCAACCTCTGTCATCAGTATTGGGGCTCGGGTGGTTACGGTTGATCGGAAGTCTGGACTTGCGCGACTGTCAATAAGCGCAACAAGCGGGTCCGGGTTCAATTGGCCGTTGAGCCGTAGACCAATAAACGTAAGTGTGCGCAATGCACCGTGAGGATGCTGTCTGCGGCGCTGGCTTGCAGGCATTTGACTCACTCAGTATTTCATGACACAACGAAGTTTTGCGCAATCGTTCCAAGTATGACATCCTCTAGCCCGCTGTACATAATGTTGAACAAAGTATGTAAAACCGACCTCACAAATGATGCCGATCTCGCGGGTGTTGTACAAGAATGCAAACTCATACCGTTACACAAGATACGCGGTCGAATGGTCGGGACTATCGTGATCATTGTTCAAGGACAGGATCGCCGGTGGCACGTGTCATGTGCTATACTGATTTGCATATGGTCATCTCGACATTAATTCTCCAAGTCTGCACCAAGTATTTGAGTATTGCGTGAACGCCATTGTTAACAAGTGTATGAGCTACGATGAGTCGGCCGACAAAACGAAGAATTGTGACGACAAGCATTCACAACAGATCCGATCCTTTCAGTTTGAGTTCCGACCATCAAACGTCTTATGAGTCTGGACTAGACATCCGGATATTAAGTCGAGGGTCATGACTCAAACGCCTGAGCACTCGCACGTACGGTCGTACAATTCTCAGGCAGCTGAAGTCAATGTTACTCTAGCTCAGTGAGTGGTCGATCATGAACAGAGTATTGTCTCAATCAAAAGAGGACGATCAGAAACCTTTGAACTTCGAAATAGGATTCCGAGCTGCAGTGTACTATAGCGTGCGGCTAGCCAAGCTGCCCAGCAGTCTGCCTGAGCGAGCTAAGAATCGACATGCCCCAGATTCACGGTACGTGCTTATCCTTTGCATGCTCAGGCTTAGCGATCACAGAATCTAGCAATTCATTTTCTGTCTGGCTGCTATTTTCGTAGTCCTCGAACTGTTCCCTGATCAGCCAGTCTAGGTATGCCGGCATGAACGCCACAGCAAACATCAAGCCGACCATACAGGCCCCGTAAGTTGTGCCTGCGCCTGGACTAGTGGCGTACCCTGCTTGCCCCACGTTCTGCAACGCGATCTGGACCAGGAACAGCAGCACCATGACCTTCGGGTAGAAGGGACTCTGAAAGAATCTCGAAGGAGACGCGAGGAGGTATGATGTGGCTCGAATCATGCTGAAAACGCCTACGAGGGTCAGCACGCAGCCAGCCGAGATGCCTGAGCCGCTCACGGCAACGAAGAATGGCCCTGCCGGAGGGGACACCGGCTGCATTATATGAAAGAGGAGAAGAATCAGTTTGAAATGTCCTTCTTGTCAAATCCTCCATCTTCAAGAAATGAGACTTCCTGAAGAGGTCATTGTCCTCAGGTCCTTTCAATGATACTGGTACATAGGTCCTGAAGGTCGAAGCACTGGATATTGCATTGAGAAACGCAGGGAGCAGTGCTCGCAGTCAAGAACTCCGGAAAGACGTCTGGAGGTCACTTGGTTTCAGTCTCGTCACAAAAATGGTTGGCCCACTTCAAAACCAATGCAGAAGCTCAAAGAGCTCCTATGCTTGCTATCCACTCTCTGAAAGCGTTGATTGAGCGGTAAGTACTTACCTCCCGATAGCGGCTACCTCCTCGTGCAGAACAGACGATGATGTTTAGCAGAAGCTGTGAGGCCCCAATCAGGAACAAGAAGAGACTCCAGAGCAGCATGTACAGGGGCGCCACAACGGGCGAAGCTGTCCCACTGTCAACGTTCGCTTGTAGACGGAAGACCTTCTGTGAGAAGAAGATCTGGGACCACTGCAGAGCTGCGTTGTAGCTGACCCCTCCAGTTATCTCCTGCACGTAGATGAATTGAGTTATAGATCTGCCTGGAGCATATATTAGTATGCGAAATGAACAGCTATGAATTCTTTATGAGACATTTTGTCGCTTCAACATCGCCAAATCATGCACGCCTAAAGATTCTTCGACGAATCAGAAGAGCTTGTGGGACAGTGACTTACCAGGACTGTAACGATCAAAGATGTACGAGCTGATAGTCCTGCATAAATGCTACCCTCTATGGTTGCTTCGAGGAACACCGGATATGCGACAATCTGCACTTTTGTAACACTTCAGTCAAAATAATTCGAGTACAACGGCAAAGCTTGAGCAGCAGAAATGTCATAACGACTATGAAGCAATCTTTCTTGACAGTCCAGAATGTGCATTGGTTCTGTGATCGGATAGAGGCACTTGAATGAAAGATTGTCCACGTGTTAAATCAGCATCAGATCTCGAGCTACAGATCTGTCGTTAGACCTATACTGGCGTCAGATCTATAGAACATTACGAACAGGCTATTACCACAAAATCAAGCAACAAGGTGGATATGGGATGGATATTGAGATCTCACCCACACGGGCCAGCTCAACGTTGTGACGATTGCGACAATTATGTTTACAAGGCTGAAGGTCTTCTGCGCTCGTGATCCATCCAAGCCAGCTTGTGACTTGTTGCTTGGCAAGGGTAACAGAAGCTTCAATCCGCATCCAAGGCCTAGAAGCGCTGAGAGGCATTGCAAGGTCCCTGCCTGCACAGCCGGTCATCACTAAATTTAAACGCATTCTATTTGAAAGAAGAAGATGTGCACGGTCAGCTAAAAGCTTCAACTTCCTTTTGCAGCTTCAGTTTATCGTCAACATGGAGTTTGAAGAAGGAAGAAAGCAAGGTGTAAGTTCTTCCAGAGCAGTGTAGCTTTCAACGACATCAAGCAGGACCTACATACAGCAGATAACCTTGCATTCAAAGCCGCCGATCTGACTGGAACAGATGAAAGCTGGCTCTTCAAGACAAAGTAAATGACGTTTTTGACTTACCAGTAGTAAGTATCCGAGTGGGAACAAGCCAGACCTTCCACTCCATTGCGCCGACGAAGGCCAAGGAATTGATGAGACGGCGTTTATCCTTGTGATTCCCTCCACGAGCAACAGAACTGAGAATAGAGAAAGTAGACCACCAAAATGTGCTTGCTTCGTCAACGTTGCTGTATCAAGAAGTCTACTCTCGGACGCCACGGCTCGTCTGATTCGACATCGGTCGCCGCATTGCCTTGAGTTGGAGGCGCCATTATGCCTTCTTAACGTTGTCTCCAGCCTCAGCGTTCAAACAAAGAACGGAAACGAGAGCCGAACTTGGCCATCATTGGCCATCAATTGCGTGCATAGATCCCCTAAAATCTTTCTCCACAAGATCAAAAACGGCCCTTGAATCGTAGTTGCTTCCAGAGCTTTGCTGATTGCTGTTTAAGAAAGTTCATCCCTTTGCTGAAACGTTGTACTTTCCTCTGTGCACATATCTCAAGCTTAAGATCGGAGACGCGGAGCTGCGGATGCGCAATCTGGTGCCAAGCCAAGTGTTTCTCCTCCCTGATCAGGAGCGCCTGAGCATCAATGCAGAGCCAGACTTGTAGCTCAATTCCTCATATCCTTAGGAAAGATGCTTGTGATCAGCTTCGTTCAATCTTTATTTGAAAGTACTGGCGGGAGATGACGGGATTGGCGCTCCTTCGGGCGTCTGAAATGCACCGGCTAGACTCGCTCTTCTAGTTGCGTCCGAATCGGGCTCGGGCAGTGGTCCGGGCGTACGTACGACTTGTCGGACAGCTCGATGACGCAATCCGGTTACACTTGTCTGCACCAGGAGCATACTAAGAGCTAGAGTCCTGCTAATATGTCAGAAGCAAGAGCTGGAAGCCTGACCCCAAATGATCTGCTGCCATCGAAGCTTCGAATTTGTCCTCTGTTGATAATATTTCAGTCATATTACAACAATGATGTTCACATTCCATATGTTGAAACATGCATGTAACGTGAGGGCCTATTTAAGCTGTCAGCAACGTATCTGTCGTCATGCTCGAAATACGTCTCTCCAGGCAAGATGACGTCAGCGATTCCACAGTCAGTTCGTGAAGTCGCTGATGACTGCTACGTATACATACTGTCACAGTCAGTCAGCTGTCCAATTTTTGAACACAGTTTGCAACTCCCCCAGCATTCAAGACATCAAGATCGAAGCAAACTGCTCCAGCAATCGCCTGCGGATTTAACCGCTTGCGAAAGGAATGGACAAGCGACGGGTTTTCTTGGTTCCTGGGAATCAACTACGGTGACCCACATCCTATCTGATAAGGCCTCCGTTTTCTGCGGCAGATTTGTGAGTTGATGGATCAGTGGTTTTTCCACCCAGCCGATGTCTGCAAGGTGAGGGCTGAGAATTTGTGTGGATCAGTGTCCGAAGTTGACTGGGGCCAGATCCTAATAACTCACGTGCGAAACTCTGAGATCACACTGGAAACTTAGCAACTTCAGGACGTATGTCTCTGTCGAACAGCGGATTGCCAAGTGTCATCATAAGCCGGCCGCGCCGCAGACCATTATTGGGCCTGAAAGCTAATAGGCCAGTCAGTCTGTGGGAGGCCCACAATACTGAAACGCGGCCTCCTGATGTATCCGAACCAAGGTGAGAAGCTTCAGTCTGCATACCTCAAACCGCAAATCTGCTTTGAAGGTATCAGAATACTTCAGGTCTGGATTTATCTGGCAATCTTTTTCTTTCTGTCAGCCGTCAGTGTCTTTCATATCTAATATATATAGATCCGGCGCACTGAAAGTCTGCTGTTCGTACGCGTCCGACACCTAGTAGTCTGCTTCAATACCATCCAAAGGGCATCACCCTTTGTTCTAATCTCACACGCGACGCTGTGCTTTCGAGACCATTTCGAACTCTAATTGGAGGCCCACATGACGTGTTGGCAGTACTACGTGACATTCGCAAATGAGATGCTCAAACTGGGTCGAGAAATGACGGTATACATACGGAAGCTGGCCGGCTGGCGGGCTGGCGACGACTCAAGACGGTGCAAGCGGACGGCCGGTACGAACGTGCAGACACGAGAGAAGAGATATCTATGGATGAATAGATTGCGAAGACGAGGAACGAACTCAGAGGCCGCTTGAACGTCTGGTTTGTTGGCGTCAAGGGAGCAGAAAGGTACTGCCGGGCCACCTTGACATCAACTAGGACTGGCAACCCGTTGGCAATATTTTAATTTTTAAGCTGCAAGGAGTACGACGTATCACACGAAATTTTCAATGCAACGGAGGCACATGACTAGGATGTTCATCTCACTCTTTCTAGACGTTTCGCGTGACCTCTTCAGTTGACGAATATGGGGCGTGTTAGAGTTCGTGCGTCTGTGACGCCTGTGTGACGTCTGTGACGCACGATTTTCTGTTCGAACAGAAAGATTCAGAAATTGGCCGGCAGCTTTGCTACACGGCAAACTGCGGATTTGCGCTCGGGGTAGATGATCACAGTGCTCGGCCAAACATGTGGCCGTGGAAGCTTGGCGCCCATATAGTGTAATACGTGCTTTCCGCCAAATTAGCTCTTCAATCGAATGGCTCAATCGGCGGCCTGTTGACAACATCAACCGGCGGCTTCCAGCTCGAGCTCCCTTGTGGCTTGCAATTGAAACTCGTTCTGTTGCGGAAGAAAGTCTCTGCACACCATCATCACAACATGACCTCAGCAGGCAGCGCCGCACGTGTCCTGCCGGCCGCGGCCGGGCGCCGCGCGCCCGAATTGAATGCGGCCCGGCGATCGGACGGTCCCATCTCCGACCGTACAACCACCAATCGGTCCAATGATTGGCGGGGATGATTGACGAACTGGATTCCCCGGGTCCGGTTTGTGAACAATTTGCCGCTCCGCGTGGTGACCGGTAGACGTCCCTCGGATGCTTCAGCGATGATAGCGGATCAAATGATTCCAGTATCGGACCTGCGGTCGTCATCTCGTCACCATCTGGACTCAGGTAAGATGGAATGTTGCAATGCGGTGACATCGACTACCTTATGTCGGCCTCCTCTCCCTTGAGTACACCGTGACCGAGAACCTGCAGAAATTCGCTCTGGGTGAGCTCTGGGGCAGCTTTTCAGCTTTCTTGGCGCGCTGCCCTTTCCAGGATAAGAAGGTCGCTTTTCTGGAATACAGGCCGCTTGGCAACTGGTGGTCCTTCAAGGTCAATAGCAACATCAGTGCAAGACAGATTGGGTTGGTTCACAACAGTGATTGCGACAGCTCTGTGAGCAACGACACCGATTCTTTCGCTTATCAGTGTAATAAAATGCTGCAGCTTCCCTCCTTGCCTCAGTGTTGCTCTCAATACAAGCACCTGTACAAAAGCTGCTGAGATCTAACTGCAAGGAAGCTCCCTTGTAACATATTGTAGATGTTGCCGAGTAAGCGTTTGTCAGAACAAAAAATGGACCGCTACAATGTCAAGATCTTGTCCGACGGCCCTGATCTAGATGCTGCGCTGGCACTGCTGTATAACGTGTACGTCAAGGAGATGAAATGGAAACCAGACCCACGCAACCCTGCGCGCATCAGAATCGACGGCAATCGGTTGGTTGACTCTAGGGATCAGTTTGCCACCTACTTTGGGCTCTTTGAAGGCGGCGAGCTTGCCGCGTGCTGCCGGATCTGCGCTCCATGGAATGGACGGTTTGAAGTGCAGTGCTACAACGTGGCAGCGGACTTGTCGATCCTTGACAACATGGAGAATCTTGTGGAGCTCAACAGGCTGGCCGTGCGCAGAGTGTCAAGGGGGCGCGGGTGCATTCTCAGGCTCCTCATTGGGGTGGCGACATACTGCAGGGACAGGGGCCTCATGATTGTGGGCGGGCCGGCATCCCCGGTTGTTATCCATATTTTGAAGAAGATTCAGTGGCCCGTCGTGGAAGGCTGCACCTTCAAGTATGAGAGCAAGGACCCTTTTGTTTGCCAGCTCTTCCTTGTGACGAGCGCGGATCAGATAAATAGGTCCATAGCCATCGCGTCTCAATTGGTAGCGGAGAAAGAGGCTCGAACGAGAACGAGGGGTTTTGCAAGCGCACGGACCGTTCTGCAGAAGTTTTGGTGGAACATCATGGTACTGATAAGTACGTGGTATAAGAGCTAGATGAGGTCGATTCGCAAGATCATTGACAAGGCAGCCAGATCGCAATTGGACCAAAACAAATGGGTTCCGTCAGACCTTTGGCACTGGGCCTGTGATTGAAGCTAGAGGTCTAGAGGTGCTGAGTCAGATTTTGACTGGCTTTTACGAACTTGGAAGACAATAAATCTCTGTACCATCGATATACAACAAGTGACCATCTATATACAAATCCAGAATATGATCATTAAGCTGTTCCAATTGGGCAATTTACTATGAAGCTACTGGATCGTCCTCGAGTTGCGTACACGACCAATGAACAGCGATATAATCAAGTGCGGCCTTATAGGCGTCCGACAGTACCACATGGTGCCGGCCGGGGCACATTGTACTAAGTATGTCACCTATGTTCAGCTACCACTGTGACAGCTTATATGCCGCGCGACCGACTCTGTGTAGGCTTCGCTATGAATCGATACAATATCCACACGGGGGCACATACACCCGGCCGCGCGCGGCTGCATCTAGCTGCGTAATTAAGTATGCAAATTATAACACGCATTCTGTACGGACCGTGTATTTAGCCCGAGACCGGGGCCCACGCCTTATAGGCATCGTTAACTAATAATGATGAGTCCACGGTGAATGGAAGTGCATAGCCATGCCTACTGTTGATCCAATTGAACGATCGGAAGTCATGATTCCAGAGCCGTCTGACCTTTGGAGAAAGGAGACAACACCCTTCAGATCCGGAAATAGGCATCCAGGTAGATCCGTGTTTTTTCGCTTGCTTCTTGTTTGTCTATATGCGGGCTATGATTAAGTATGTGGTGGTAATGTTACAAAGGCGGCCTTAGTCAGCAACAGCTATAGTAGTCGTTCTCGAGCCAAGTTGACGTCACGGACCGCTCCCGCAACTCGTCAAGGCTCGGCAGCTCGTACACTGGCACGTTTGACGTGCTCGCGCAGCAAAATCTGGCGAGGTTAGTGGCGCACCCTTTACTGAAGGGCGACACGTTGTCCGGAAGAGGCCTGAGGGAAGCAACAAACAAAGAAGGCATCAGATTTCGGCTTATGCCCAAAAAGAGAGCCGTTCAACGACCTTGGTCTTTAGACGAAGCGTTTGGAACTTTGGGCCCCGGGGTCAACCGGCCCGTCGACGTTTCCGTCTACCGATTGCCCTAGGTTCGTCTCCCAAGCCGGGAGCATCTAGAGCCAGAAAAGACAAGCTAACGCACAGGCACCCAAAGAGGAGATCCCACGTAGAAGCAAGCAGAAAGATCGTTCACAAAGAGAGCCTTCAGCAGACGAGGTCCCCTGCTCCAATCTTTGCTGCGCCAAGGCCGTACAGAGGTATTTCCGTCCCTTACTTTGGAAAATTGGGAAACACAGAAACTACAAGAGCTGTAGCACTCGCTGACGGTCTGGCCGGAATCAACTTGGCCTGGAATCAGGCTACCGTTGTTTTTGTGACTCCGTTCTCCTATCCTGGACCCTTGCAAGGCGGACCACGTGACCGGGAGCCTCACCTAAGATATGCTATTCGTTTTCGCCTGGTGGTTTCGTAAGTTGTTTGATCAGTCGCAGCCAGGTACCTGCAAGGAGTTGCGCAGATGACATCACTCAGCGTCAGCGAGGCGGCGACAGCAAAGAACTACGTACAGACCGAGGTGTCGCAACCTGCGTCACACTTCTTTCAGCTACCTGCCCTTCAGGTGGACATTCTTTCAAAAGCCCTCCTGAGTCAGATCGACTCGACTGGCCAGTAGCCTCGGACTTGGGGACACGATCCAGGAAATGCATTCGTGTTCTCTTCCAGAAAGCGCATCCACATGTGACAAGACTCGAACGAGTTGCGGGCACATTGTCCTTTCACGGTCCGACAGCGAACTCATCGTTGTCCACGACAAAGGGATTCCTCAGGCCCACGCAACCACGCTTCCCGAGCACCAAAGTTCGTCAAGCACAAAGAGCCGGCACAACGCGTTTGCGAGCTGCGCATAAGGGCATGATCTTTGATAAACTCTGTAAGCCTCCTTCGTCTTCCGTCTTTCTTCTTCGTCTTCTCTGTCATCTGCTGACGTGACTTTGTTTTTCCTTGTTCTCATTCCTGCGCACGATCCCGAAGAGTACTAAGATAAGTTGCCCGAAACTCACCCGTGAAAGACGAGCAACGCGACGAGGAAGATGAGGAAGCATATCAACGTGATGGTGTCCAGGATCATAAACACGTTCAACGAGAACCTGCACACCGACGAGACGCACTGCGTAAGAGGTGACGCGAAACGCCTGAAAGAGATTGAAAGCTTCTGAGGAAGAAAGAACAGAGACTCGCACCGGGACACGGACCGTCCGCTGCACACGAGCCCTTGCTCTGGTCGTTCCAGTCGAGCGCCAGAAGAGAGTCCAGACGCCGAGGCAAGATTTGAACACTCAGGCTAAAGGCCGAAGTCAAAAGGAAAAACCAAAGCCACACGCCAATCTACGACCCGTCCCCTGCTCACCAGCCCTCGGTTTGGTCGTTCCAGTCGAGCGCCGACACGTTGATCGCGACGGTCCAGACGCCGAGGCAGGACTGGAAGAAGAGGTACCACCAGAAGCGGCGGTGGTTGCGGTAGCCGACGCAGGTGCCGACCCAGAAGCAGTGGTGGTCGAAGCGCAGCACGCAGCGGTCGCACTCGTGGCAGTGCTTCGTGCGCAGCGGCTGCCACACGCCGCAGTACGTGCACCGCTTGCCGCTGCATAGCGGAAAGGGAATCGGTGTTGAAGGTGTCAAGTGAGGATGAGGGAGTTAATTTCTGGAGTGGATAAGCAGTCATTAAAGGGCCACACGCCGCAGTACGTGCACCGCTTGCCGCTTGCCGCTGAGAAAGTGTGCGGGGAAAAACGAGTCCGGTACTTGATCGCCTGGTATTCTTTTCAGGAACTTGTGTAAGTGAGCGATGAAATGAGAATGTGTACTGGCGCGCCACGTGCTACAGTAGGTGCTCCGCTTGCCGCTGCACAGAGAAGAGGCGGTTTGCGTTGCATGGACGAAGGAAGGTGTGAGCCGTTTGTACCTTTCGCGATATGTTGGCCCGGACTCGGGTGTCCATTGCTGCGGAAACGGATGAGTTGCCCAAAAATTCAGGCAATTTTAGCTCAGCGCATCGAATATTCAGTTAAGTGCGGGTCCGAGATCTAATGCAGCAATACACACAACCAACCCTACAACGAACTGTCCAAATCGCTGAATCTGGAGGAACGGTTTCTTGGAGATAGAGTTCAGTCCGTGCTTTGAGCGTCAAAGACTTGCCGTTAGCGACACACTCCTGCCTTTGTGAGACGTTCTTTCGATCTTACGACCGATGGCACACCGCTTTCGATGTGTGCCCAAGATTTGTCTCTTTCTCCCAGATTTGCCGGGAACCTGAGTGCAAAGGGTCCCCATCCCAGCTGCATTGTCCAGCCCAATAGACGCACAGACTTTCTACGAAGCAGAACCTTACCTGTTATACCGACTCAACGACGGCGACTTCGGCGTCGACGTCCCCCCATTCTCCTCCAAGCGCCCCGTGCTCCTGCTCTTCCCCAGCAGGGGGCTCCTTTCCCCCGCTTCCGCCCCCCCCGGAACCAATCGCGCCCCCGAAATATTCACCACCATTTCGCCAGGCTTCTTGAACGCCAGAGTTCGGTCCGCCAGATTCGGCGCGCCCTTCTCTAAGTCCCGCCCCGAGTGGCCGTTTGCGCAGGCCCCGTCGCACAGGAGCTCCGTCACGGTGTCACCGCGCGGCGCTCGCCTTGATTCCCTGCGAGATGCACTGCTTTCAACAAGTGCACTGGGTGAACCAAAACGCCTTTTTCTTTTTCTGGGGTGCCGAAACTTTCGATCTGTGTTTGCTCTGTCACGGTGTCGTCGCGCGGTGCTCGCCTGGGGTTTCTGCAAGATCCACCGTTTTCATTAAAGCTCCGACTCCAAAGAAGGTCAGAACTCCGAATTCAAAAGAGAGAGATCTTCACTAAGAATCACAATCAGAAACGGTGCGTAATTTCATCAGCGGTGGATCGAGTCCCGTCGCATAGAACGGTGTCGTCGCGGCGCTCAGCTAAAATTCCTGCAAGTTCAATATATATAAGAACAACTCTGAGTTCCAAAATAACGAAGGTTTTCTTCGGTTCTTGCTTGAAATAGTGGCGTAGTCTATCACTACGGGATCGTCGGAGCAAATCCCGTCGAAGTAAAGATTGATCAGATGTCACGCCGCGGCGCTCGCCTGATTCCCCCTCCAGAACACTTCTAACGAGCCCACCCCCCCGCCACGAACGAGAAAAATGAGGCCTGCTAAGCTCCGTTCCGCTTTGGTCCCTGGTACTCTCTAATGCGACCCTTCAGCAGCCGGTCAAAAGTGCTGAGGTGAGGATTCCTTTCACGCAGGCCTACTAAAACGGCTCAGCAACCGTTTTTTTTTGTCCTGCCTCTCCAATGTCCTGTGTGTAACAAATAGAAGATTTGAAGATGTTACCTTTTCAGCACCTGGTCCAATTTCAACCCCAAAAATGACGACCTCTACTACCATGGGCAAAACCAATCTCAGAACTAAGAGGTAGACGCGAAGCTCCTCACCGCGGTTCCGAGCTCGTCCTAACCACCGCTTCTCCTTGCGCGAGTCCCCGCTTCGCAGGCTGGGGACTCATGATGCCGAGGCGAGCGGTATCGTACATGCTAGGGACTTCACTAAGGTTCAGAAGGGACGCGTGCCGGGTAGGGGTCCTCGAGTCTCGAAACTGGCCGCTGCCGCCGGCCCGTTGAAGGACTAGGCTTCTGCAGGACACGAAACCAATCAAGGGCGCTTAAAGTGGGCTTAGGCGTCACGCTGGCGACATCGTCGAGTTGTGGCAACGACCCGAGTTCACAGAATGAGCATCAATTTACTCGCGCATGGTTGCCGCCTGCTTGGCCGGCCGACCGATCAGGAGGTGCAATAGTGAGTGCAGACATCCTCTTCGACGGAAGGTTTCAGCGCTTACTTTCGTAAATTTTAAGGGTGCCCTCGGCACTGAAACGCTTAGCTTCTCCAAAGGGTTGAAAGAATCGTGTCCCCACGCAGTTTCCAGTGACACCCACAGTATGGGGCATGGCTCGAAAAGAGGGCTGCGAATGTTCACCTGCGTGGGCTCAGGGGGGAATCCTCTGGAGGCCCCCAGGTCCGGACCTCTTTCATAACCTCGTCAACATATCTGCGACACAATCCAGAGGGTGGCATGAGCTAGAGGTTTGGAGGAACTCCACGAGATCACGAGAGGTCAACACACAGCTGCAGTGGAAAGATAAATCGCATAACCCGAGTCACATCATAAGGAGAAGGTTGCTCTTTTGGTGGGAAATGAAAGCCTATGGATCTTAAACTTTTCAAGCTGTTTGACCACTTTTACTTTGAAGCCTCTACATCCAAGAAGATTGTCTAAATCCGATTCCATCAAAAGGCGTCTGAAACTCTGGAAGGAAGTAAGGGCGGAGTGGAAACATACCCTGGAGACGAGCCGCACACGTAAAGGTAACTGGAGACAGTGGCAGAGAGTAGAAGCAGGTAGGAGCCTAAGAACCTGCGCACAAGGGCGTTGATAAGACCATGAAGTTCAAAAGTCTTCTTTACCACCGTTAAAATCCACAAGTGCAACAGAATGCTGTCTGGTTTCAGCCCAGCAATGACAGCAGGAGCAATGTGACCGACTGCTTGTTCCCACACCCATCGCGATGCAGCGTCTCGTACTACATTTGGTGCAGTGACACTAGGACCACCAGAGAGCTGAACCGTTAAAAAGCTGCACCGCCATTTGAGCACTCTGTTGATGCTGGAGCAGGAAGAAACTCAACATTGAGCGATTGGTAGCCACCCTCAAGGTTTGAAGTTGACTCCTTACCAGTAGTTCCCTTCTCGCCAAGACCTCGACAGGTCCGAATCCACAACACAGACCACTCCAATGGCAGCCGAGTGCAGGGCCAACCAACACAAGCGGGCGCTCCAAGCAGAGCTTACCACTGTGAACAGAGTGGGAGTGTCAAGCACAAAACATTCACAACAAAAGCCAGGCATGGTCTTCAAGGTTTCCTTACATGAGCATTTTGAATGTCGGTTGCTTGGCAGGCAACTGCTTCACCTCAACGGAAACCTTTCAAGCGAAAGGTTTGAAAGGTTGGAGTTCCTTGGGAAAAGCAGAATCTCTACAAGGCTGAGCAAAGATTAATGTAATTCGCGCTTAAGTATAACAGTCATGTACCTCGCTGAACTACCAGCTATGAGGGCCCAACTTGAATTTTTCGGGCCCATCATAACATCGCCCACCAGCTCGAGCCACCCATCTTGAACGATTCTGATTGGACTTATTTCTAAATCCCTTCCGGCAATACTCTACCTCCCAACTTCCAAGCACTTACCGTCTCTTTCTAAAATGCTATCGAAGAATCCAGCCAATGGAACCTTTACATTCCAAAAACCACCTCTTCACCAAACCATCAGCACCAAAAGACCCACCTTCCTGGTGCCTCATGGAGCGTGGCGATGACGCCTGCAATGGTGGGGGGGTCCTCGGGGAAAGGGCGTCCACCACTTGGCGAGCATAGCTGCTGCCAGCCATAGCATCCGAACTCTTACGCACTTCCCGCAAAATTTTTTTTAAGCCTCGATCAGCATGCAACCGGCTGAGATGAGACTCACCCCATTGGAAGAGTGCTCAACCGAAAGATAACGTCGCCCCTGCCTGAGTACATTGAGAACGCTTCGCTTGCAGCAGCAAGGTCTGCATCCTGCCAGTGCAGGATGGTGCAGCCTGCAGGACTTCCTTGGGAAAGACTGGAACTTCAAGTGGAAGTTGGATCTCTGGTCATGAAATGAAAACAGGGCCACTAACCATGTTGTTTACATCCAAACCACCACCAGCGCGAGCGTTATGCGCAAACCTTACCACGTGGATCCTGTGGACCTGATTCAAGGAAGGTTAGCTGTCGATTGATGCATCGGAGGGCCATCCTTACTCTGCGTTGTCAGGCTGAGGGTTACGGTTGCAGGTTTGAGCCACCACTAACCACAGGGTTTTCGGGCTACCTTAACCTGGCTAGCTCTTGTTGAGTCGTTGAGTCTTGACACTGACAGTGTGAGAAGCTGTGGAGAATGAGCTGCAAGCTGTCGATCACAGCTTCACAAGAACTACAAGTTCAAGAAGAAACGAAGCTTGCCGCATCCTTCTATAAGAAAGTGACGTGACGCCAGGCGGTCAGAGTGTTGTGCTGCTTGATCAGGCGAAGCATTTCTCTTGTTAACAAGCCGCTCTGCTCAGATCTCTTGCTGCACATTTTGGAGTCTACGTCGCACACCACCAAGAAGATGGAGACTGTTTTGAACAGGTTCAGTGGCTCTCTTGACCTTCCTAGGATGCGGACGAGCCCACATTGCACCGGGGGATCACAATCACCAGCAGATGTATCAGTAGAACAGCATGCTAGGCTCAATCTCAGAGTGCCTACGCAATCGCATGAACAGCTTAGAAACAATAGAGGGAGTCTACGCCGCCGAATGGGTGGTTCTTACATAGGGATCTCTGATAGAGTGAACTTCTTTGCGAAGCTGTCAACATGTCAGCATTGGGGCCGATTGTCACATGGGAGAGAAGAGCAAAGTAGAAAAGGTGTAGCCAAGCCTGGAAGACAAGTGGGGAGGAACATAATGTGTACTGCTTTGCCTTCCGAGTCGGACAAGGTAGAAGCTGCCAGGTCAAAGATCCGAGTGTCCCTGGAAGATCTTGTCAGCAGTTTGGAGGAACTCTCACGCTCCCTACAAAGGGTTACTTCTTCTCTGAGCCACACCCTCTCGAGTCTTGACTCGGAGATTGCTTCCAGCAACTTACCAAGCATAGAAAAGCAATACATGCAGCAAGGCAGTTTCGGAAGAAGGGCTCAAAGTGATCTTCCCAATCAGTTTAGTGGCGAGGGCCTCCCAGAGGCAGAGGAGAGAAATGCAGTTGTCAGCAAAGTCGCCTTCAAGCTTCAGCAAGCATTTGTGCAGGCACGAGTGGACTTCTTGGGGAAGCCTTTCCAGGTGAGGGGCTTCGCAAAATTCCTTTGTTTCCAGCAAGAGTGTGGTCAACAACATTGGTTCTTTGTCAGGCAGGCTTGTAATCACCTGAAAGCTCTGCTTACCCGCCCTCAGCTCCACGCCTGAGTGGGTCAGACTGGGATCGTCGGAGTGGAAGTTCGTCAGGTTTGCCTGGCGGTCAGGGCTTAAACATGTCAAACACTTTGAGTCGAGACAGCATGGCTTTGGTCATGGGGCTTCATCGTCCTCTTATCGTAGTAGACTAGAATTATGTTGCTGCTTAACTGGCTTGGAAAGTTGCATTGAACATGGGTTCACCTTGGGTGGTCGGTGATAGAGGAGCAAACAAGGTCGACCAACTATCTTCTAATGGCAGTTGAGTATTGGTGCCTGCCCCTTCGTCTTGTCTGCCATGCTGTCAAATACTTTGCCTCTTCATTCAGTCAGTGAGCTTGAATTGTTTCAAAGCGTACCACCTCTTCATTGATTGCATCATTCTCACCCCTTCAATCCAAGCTAGCCAACACACTTTTCATTTGCTCTTTGCATCGACGGGGAAGTGCTAGGCTCTCTCATCTTGGAACATGCAAGTGCAGTCTGGTTTGAACCCCTTCGGCTGAGACGTGCAGTTGGCTTATATCTCCACTATTACATGTTCGGTTCACAGACTACCTTTTCATTGTTGGGGCCGCGGATGCGCTTTTACCCAATCTGGTCCATACAGAGTCTCATCTCTAACCACCTTACTGTAAACATATTGTCCTTCTTTCTCATGCCATCATGGCGGTTTTTCTGCAGCTTGCGCTTGAGGAGTTTGTGGACTGCACGATGCGCGTGTACGCCTTGGGGGTGGACTTGCTCACTCTGCAGCTGCAGCTCGTGCTGGCGGAGCGCGCCTACTACGGAAAGGACCTCGCGGAGGACGTCCAGGAGATGGTGACGCAGGTAAGTAAAAGAAGTCCCTTTCTTTTCACCTCATCAATTGAATCTCCATTGAAGTTTACAATTGTATTGGAGTCGGGACGCTTTGGATGTCGCCTGAAACAAGAACACCAAAGGGAGTGAATTCAGGCTTTGTCTCTGGGTCCAGCGAATGGCGTCACGGGTGGAGGAGCATGACCCTTACATGTCGTCAGATTGGGCCGCACGTATTGACCACAGGGAACACTCAAGTCCAATTTCTGGCCGTCGCGTTGCCAAAGTGCGGCCACCGGAGGGCCATGCTGTATGATGATGGCCCTCAGTAGTGCTGGGGCTGAGATGTAGTGACGGAGCGTAGTCATGGCCTAAACCTGAGCTGCTAATCCAGATCTTCGTCATTGGACGAACTCGTGACCACCTCAATTCATGTATCCGATTTCGAAAGCTCCATGTTTCAGGTACGGGCTTCTCAACTGACGTATGTATGTATGTATTTAACGATTTGCAATTGACGACAATTGACCTTCGATCAGGTCGGCCCCCGAATCATCACCAGTCCAATACGGGCTCTTTATAAACGAACCTTCTATGGTGCAGAACGCCGCCCTTACATCGTTCCGTGGAATCTTCGTAGAAGGGCATCCTTTCCCGTGTTCTGAGAACTCGTCACAGTCGACCATCGTTTTCGGAGAGGATCTTTAAAGTGGGCGTAGGCCATGCATGGACACCCTAAGGCCATCTACGGTGGTGGGGGCCCAAATAAGCCCAAGTTGCAATCTGGTCCGTTCAAAAAGACTCAGATGCACGAAGTGTGCATTTCCGGAGCTTTGAAATCGGACGCCCACTTTAAGGAAGGTGCATGACAAATCCGAGGCACCTACTCATCCCGTGATGGTACTCGATTGTGTCTATATTCGGACGAAGGAACTTGACACTTTTGCATCAACCTGATGGTAATGTCAACCTCTTTCAGGAAGGCCACGTGCGAGCCATGTGGATACGGCTCGCTTACATCACGCTCAACCACGCCGCGGAAGTGAAGGCTGCGAAAGAAGGGGACCAGTCAGCGGCCGACATCCGGATAGACCCCCAGGAGGACTTAGGCGGGCAGGGGCAGTTTGTGAAGTCGGTTATCAAGATGCACTTAGAGCAAGGCCTCACGCTTGACCGGCTGAAGTTAGAACAGGTGAGATTATTTCAAAGTTGTGACTGCTCCGGATCGCGTTTGAACATGGGTTGTGCAGATCGCTTCCGTCCGAGTGCGCTGCGTCTGTGAATGTTTGTGACCTTTGTTCGTTGCTGTGAGATGGTGCCTAGTAATTCTCCCTCAGTCACATTTGCAAAGGGAATCCAGAAGGTAAGAGACATCAAAGCTTGTCGTTCACCACGAGGGCCGTTGTTCTGAATGTAGCTCTCTTGATGTAGCTCTTCTAGAGCTAGGTCGCACAGCCATTGCCTTTTCAAATGATCAACGGCATTTGCTTTGCAGGCTTATGCCGAGAAGACGGACTCTCCTGCGATAGAGGCCTTGCAGCAGAGCCACTACTTGATTCTGATGACCCTTGCAAAAGCTCTGGGAGAGTATGAATAACTCTCACCAATCTGCCGCCAACAGCAGGATTAACCTCTGATGTAATTGCTCATCGGCATTCTTTTGCAATCAGAAGAGTGGATTGAATCAACACAAAACTAGTCGATTGCCGGCTCCGACTAAAACCGTCGCTGCTGCGCCGTGAGCGCTCTAGTCACCAACCTGCATGCTACGTTTCTCGTACTTGAAAATGACCAACAATTTTTAGCGCGGCACATCTGCGCATGCAAGGATGGCGCATACGTGACGTTCAGATTCAAGATTTCACGCGCGCAATTCTTTTGAGGATGCGTCCATGACGTCATGTCGACGATGATGTGACGCGCGGTCATGCATTTCGATGACATAGCCTGGTACCACCGGCCTGTCCATGCGCAGAACCGTCGTCGGGTAATCGAGTCGAAGTCACTACAACTTCCATGAGATCAGGAGCATATGTTCAATGATCATGATGCAACACCGTCGCGCCATTCACTAGATGTCGGACTTGCACCCGTGTTTGGACCAGCCGCCGCACTGCAGCACAGTCCGACTCATCATTGCCGCCATTTTATAGCACCTAGGCAGGCCGCGCTTGGAGTCCGGCCTTGCCTGCGCGGGCGCCTAAACAACATCAAACAAGATACCTCCCACATTGAAACCGAGCGATTTGCCATTAGCTACAGGGTTTTCGGGACTATCGTAAACAAGGGGCTGAAACAGGCTGAGCTTTATCTACCTCTTTGAGACTAGAGCGTGCTTGTCCGTGAGGCAGGTAGCACTAGGCGAGGTAAATTTTGCGGCCGTCGTATCGAACATACGACCCTCGGACTGCCACCTGTCAATCAAAGTTGCTACAGGGCCACATAGCACTACTGATCTCGACTTGTAGGCTGTACATAGATCCCTCCTACTCTTCTTTCACGTGTGCAGTTCTGCAGGATCGGACCTCCCTGAGTGTCCTGGTAGGAACAACATCGACATCCCAAGTGCCGGTGGCATACACAAATTGGCCGTCCCAACTATTTCAATGCCTACTCAAAGTCGAAACTAGCCAAGTAAGCCAGCCTGTAGGGCGACGTCGACTTTCCAAACTCCGTCGTCCACACGGGCAACTCGTCCAACACCGCTTGCAGGTGTGGTGTCGTGACGTCAAAATCCGTTCGGAGCTTCAGAAGAGGACGCCCCTCCGTGTGATATGCCCCGCCCGCATCCGAGTTCAATCTCTCCACGTGCGCGTCTGCAAGGGAGAATCGAGCAGTCAGGAGAACTGTTCGAGTCCATCCGTCGGCGTGCTCAAAGATTCGAGTGTAAGTTTTAGCGGAAGTCTTGGAAATTTGTCATCCAATTCAACCACCATCCTGATTTGAAGAGAACTTTCCCTCCAAGCATCCGGTCAATCGCGCAGGTGAGTGATGGGGACTCTCAGCGATTCATCCTGCGATGTTTTTGGAGCCATCATGATAAATTCCAGGATTCTAGGCGAGGCTCACCGGGGTGTATTCGCAGCTTCATGACGAAGTCGTCCGCGGGCCCCGACCCCGCCGCAAACTGCACGATGTGCCACCCCGCCTTGCTGTCGCTCGCCACCGGATCGACCGTCATGGGAACCAGCACCTTAGCGGAGCTGCGGTCTAAGCGGCCGTCACCTGTTAAGTGAGCTTTCGGTTTTCATAATGTTTTAACTTCAGGGAATTTCTTTGACTAAGAAGGAAACGCGCTGCGAGTTCACAGAAATTCAAACTCCTGGGACCAGCACCGGAGCTGCGGTCCCAGCGGCCGTCACCTGAAACGGAGCACCACTTCTTAGGGTTTTCGGTTGTAAGGAAACTGCTTTACGAGTTTTTGAAAACAACAAGTGTCTTTCGCTGGTACCGCCCTAAGGATCAGCACCTTGGTGGACGCGGTCTAGGTGGCCGTCAACTGAAGGAACTGACTGGCATTACATGCCTTCGGTGCTGAGATTCTTTCAAGCAAGCAGATGGATCCGTCCGATCACTTTCTTGACAGCCAGCAAACTTGACGGGGCTCAGGACAGTTGGCCAATCCCGGAAGAAAACCGTAGTAAATCCGTTATGTGAGCGGAGGTTCGAGGAGTCTCATGAGACCAATCGTAGCAGCAGTTATCGTCGGCATGCTAGCTCAAACTTCCGGCCCCGGCATTTAAACGCGACGGTCCGAAATCCAAGTTGAGAACAATGCCTCGAATTCTGGATCAAACCTGCGCTCACCACCCCGAAAGCGCAAAAGTGCACAAAGCCAACCCGCAACCCCGCACCCCAATGGCCAAAGCTCACTTCCCTCACCTCGCACCTCAACTCCTCACCTCGCACAGGCAGATCTTGAATCGAGAACTCTCTACAACCAAACCCTCAGACGCTCTTACCCGTCACGCTGCTGATCGCAAAGTCCTGCACCCCCCTCGGGCCCCGAAAGTCATCTCAGTGCTATCAAGCAACAATTTCATTCCAGAGCCAGATCCTAGTACTAACTGCACAACTCCTGAACCCCACATCTCGCAGTAAATCATTAACAAGAAAGTTAAACGCCAAACCCCTCAAATCATTCTCACCCGTCACGCTGCTGATCGAAAAGCCCTGCACCCGCCGCACGTCGATCCCCAGGGCCCACCGCCGCGAGCCGCCCGCGTGCATCCCGACGTCGATCTCTTTCACCCCCGTCTCTAGTTCGTGGGCGACGTGGTGGTCGAAAAGCAGGGCGAAGGACGGCGCCTCGGTCTTCACGCCCGGGGGAGGGGGCACGGCGTCGACTGTGCGTGCGCCGTAACCGACCTGCGGAAGGAGTTGGCGGTCAACAGAGCGGCAAACAGATTGCGAACATTGGGTGTCAAGCAGGCTTCGCTGGTCGAACAACAGGAGAAAGGACGGCGCCTGGAGTTGAAAGACCGAGGGAGAAGGGAAGGGGTCGATTGTGCGAGCGCCGTTACCGACCTGTCAACTCAGTAAAGTCGCAGAGTGGATGATACGGCTTGTGATTGATCTTAGAATCTGCACTTCCAGCACCAAACCTGTAAGGCAAACTGTGTCATAAGAACTCAACGTTACGCAAGATTTCCAGTTTCCATGCATATTCGCCCCAGTGCAGACGTCCATCCTGTAGAAACAATTCCGAACTCGATCCGTTTCTGGCATCGAGCCACGTGTCCTCACCTCATAGGTCACGAAGTCAGGCCCGCTGCCCCTCGAGACGTTGAACCTTGCACCGAGTCCCGCCACCAAACCCTCAACGGATCTTCCGGGCGCGAGTGACGACAGCGAGATATATGACTGTTGTGCTGACGTGTCGTACACGTGGACGAGATTGATTGGCAGGGCGGCTTCGGCGGTGAACGGCGGGAAGACGTCCCACGTGACCAGGCCAGCGGCGATTGAGGAGACAGCCAGGAAGAAGGCGGCGATCGTAAAGGAGCTCTCTGCAGACGGGGATTGGAAGCGTTGGTTCTTGGATCGGAAGGTCAAAGCGGAAGCGATTTTTGCTTCTGGGATATCCTAGGGTGACGGAGGATTGGCGGGGAGACGATGGTGAGGGATCAACGGGGAACGGCTAACCCTGAAAAGCTTAGGTCTGTGTCAAGCGGTGAACACTGGGCTCCAATAATCATTTCTATCGATTGGAGGGTTTCCATGGGCCGCCTAGGCTGAGCTGTGTAGGGAAGATTCAGTGATCTGTGGCGAAAGGTGACGCACTTTTTTGCCCTCCTTGTCGAACAAGAAGGACGGCAAGGGGTGAGAGCCAGAGAAGAAGGTAACAAATGCATGGACTATTTTGAGCAGGGCCAGAAAGCAGCTTCAAGTCGAATTCCCCGAGCTCCCGCATCCAACCCCGTGCGCAAGCTGATCATCTGACCAGGGCATTGCTATAGAGTTCCCTGGTTTAGGGCGGGAAAGGAGACGAAGCGGGACAATGGGGGCGAAACGAAACATTGATGGACCTCTAGTTCAAATAGGATAGTTCTAGGCAGGATATTATCACGGCCCAGCCGGGTCGGGTTAGTGTGACGGTGAGGGTGGGTACGGGTGCGGAGCGGGTACATTTTGTCGGTTTAAGTTTTTCCTTTTGCTGTCCCGGGGAACTGTTACGATTCTACCTAGAAACTATCGTACCTGAAAGTATTGGACTTATACAACCAAGCTTACGCTCTTATTTCAGCGAGCTGAGCTGGTCTTCAAGCGACTTACTCAGGCCCTTGCTGTGAGCATATGGCAGGAAGTATGACGTGGCCAGCAGCGCGAAGACGGCAACTAGTATGGAAATCACGACTTCTAGGAGGTAAACCGGGGAGGCACCCGGGGATCTGCAACGGAGCACTTCTGATCAGTCCCGCACTCGCCGTTTGCTCTGAAGGCGTGCCTCGATCAGCAGATCCGCCTTGGAAGCCTCATGCGCTCAACGTAATGCCACAAAATCCTCTGCAAATGACACGCTTGCCACAATAAAGACAAGCCTATTTATCTTTATAGGCTTGTCAGAAGGGACTAATCTTTGCAATATGTGTTATGTCTTGATCAAGCAAAGAGACGGTCAACAACAGGTTCCGCCGGGCAAAGCCATCTGAGGTCGAATTTCTTTCTAAAGAAGTCGAGGACTACAGGGGTTGCACCCCGCCAAAATGGTCGCTTACTTATCGAAGCGCCCCGCTGACGAATTCATGACGTCAGTCAGGCCGATTGCCGCAGTGGCCGTGAGCGACGCGGCGAGTGCTGTGGCGGCGAAGCCGGGGGTCGACAGCAGCGAGGCCTCCATGCGGACCTTCGGACGCACAGTGCCTGCGTACGAAACAGTCCGAACCGGGCATGAACACGCAAATACAGCCCTTAACCGCGCGCTGTTCGAGGAAGGTAACAATCATAGCCCCGGAAACTGTTTCTCTGCATTATGCTCATATCAAAAATCTCTAGGATACTCAAAAGCAAGCACTGTTTTTTACGGATTATTTAAATCCACTGCACAGCTGACGGTGCGTGTGTCTGCGGACAAGTGTGCATCAGCGAAGGCATCGTGTTAGGGTACTTACAAGCAGCTCAATCCTGCAAACCGTAGCCTTAAAGCTCCGAGCAACATCCAAAGCGGTTGCGCTTTCGATGTTTGAAACTTACAAAGCACAGCTGCCCGACAAAAAGGAGGGTGCGACATTTGATAATTTCCCCTTTCAAACTCTCCGTTAAAGCAAAGAAGAGCGACAAGGCAGAGCGCTCAAAACCTGCAAGGCGTTTGCGTGGGAGGTGGGCTTGACTGGAATTACTAGCCGGCTACTGTTTGATTGGTAACCCCTTTTGTCTGGACTTTAGACAGTCAGCAGACCGTCGGTTTTCAATTGCCCGTCGATACAAGCATACAAACCGAGATTGCGACGTGAAGAAGGCCGGATGTTGGGATGTAGAGATTTGGATTATCAGCAATCAATCAACCAGGAGAGTGGGCCCCAAACTCGACTCACAAGCGAGTGTTCCGGCCAGCGCCCACAGCAGCGGGATGTACGCGCTTCCTACACCGGCCCTTGTCATCACAACCAGTAACGCGAACCACTGCAAAAGGCTGGCGCGGAATAAGACGCTCTCCACCGATCTGCGGGAGAAACGTCACACGTTTGTCGGGTGAACAACGACGGGTTTGCAGACGTAGCTGCGTATGGCAGGGCGATGAGTTTGGAAGGCAAGTCTTTTCAAATGCTCCGTTTGTAACAAACACCCTGTCGGAGGACAGTTTGCCAAGAAGTATACAGTAAGTCCTTTGTATGACGCGGAGCTTCTGCCCCAGGGTCTCATGAAACAAGAGTTGCCCATTCTACTTACAACCCGAAAGAACAGAACAGTGCAAAGGCGGGCCTGAGTCTCCTCTTCAAGGTGCAGATCTACGAGCCCTGGCTACCCCTCCTCAACAATACGGCATAGTTTCTACATCGCAGGCCCTTCGAAAAAGGAATACTCACATACTTGGCGTCTTCGCCAACACCTTCCTCAACGCAGCTGCTCCTAAACCCTGGACTCCAATCGCCCCCGCTAGCGCCGCTCCCCCATAAAGCGGAACCACCAGCCATGGCCGCGCATACGCAGGGTTTGGCCAGGGTTTACTAACCGCTAACAGGTAAGCCCGGGAACCCGCCATAACCAGGCCCCCGACGAGGGTTAGGGCCTGGGTTAGGAACGCGGTTAGGGGGACGAGGAAGAAGTGTGCTCGGGGAATGGTAACCCGGGCGTATGCGGGGCCCTTTTGGCTCGGGAAGATGGTCGGGAGGAGAACTAGGACGGGGAGAATGGCGGAGAGGGTGAGGTAGCTGGACGCGGCTTGGGCGAAGGGGTAGCTGATCAGCTTCAGGCCCTGCAAGAGTGGAGAGAATCTGCTTGAGACTTGTTGGACGGGCGATCGATCTACAGGTTCGTGTGAGAGTGTATCTGATTCGCTGTCCGTAGGTCTGGTCCTTCCAATCTAATCTGCAATTTAAGCCGGTCATCTCTCAAAGTCTTATTGACAAAGGCCGACGAGGTGACGACTCTTTCAAGAGGAAGGACTGTCTGAGAAGTAGTTCGAAGAGTGGACGCATCAGGACCGCCACTTCCTTAATCCAGCTGAGATGCAGACGTAGGCTGAAACAAAGTCCTGCGGAAGAGCCGCTTCGGTGGCTAGAAAGTTCGTCATCAAACAAATCCAGACTACGCCACCTTTGACGTTTTTGTGCTTGAAATGGATCTCATTGAAAGGCAACGCCTCGGTATACCCATCCTCCCTGTTTTGGATCCAAGTCAAGTCCCACAAGGGATAATATACCTCCTCATTAGCGGATCAAGTCGAGCGACGTAAGCGCGCGGCAATCGTTTTGACAGAGGGCCACTCCATACCAAACTAATGTTCTTAGCGTCAAGGCAGCAAGAGCTTTCTATATCGGCCACAAGACCGGGGTGCCAAAAAGAGAGTCAAAGTTCACTACCAGCCTCACTGTTCAAGAGCTTTAGGAGAGCCAGAATCCTTGTTTCAAGGTTGTGAAGCGAGATTGAGAGCTGGATTTAGGGAAGCCAAAATCTTGTGCGTACGTTGAAGCCTGCTCTGGTTCAAGCATCCGTTACTAAGAAGAGCAGGATGACATTTGGTGGCGTCGGGGGAACTGATGCAGCTGGTTTCCCTGAAACCAAAACCGTTTCACTCATTGCCTCCTTTGAAGAAAGGAGAAAACATATAAGGTGACGAATTCACTCGTCAGTACGTGGACCCATCTTCAGAACCTGAAAACCCTCATTGATTCTGTGCACTACGGGGCCCTCTAAGCAGGTTATGTAGGCTTTGCACGGTTTAAGCGCCAACGTATATGTAAGCAAGACGGCTTCGGAAAACTTGACAATGGAAGACTCTGGCTCCTTCAACGAGCACCAGAGGTCCGGTCGTCTTAGCCGCTTCACGAATCTAAGCGGAACTCTGCATTTCGGAACGGGGGTATACTGATGCTGGCCGTCCGGTTAGTCATAGTCGGACGACATCCTACGGAAAGTATGCGATCAAGTGGCTTTCGGGCTTCTCAACTGATGGACCCCTTGGGCGGGCACTTCTGCCGATTACTCGGAACTATAATGTCTTAGAATATGCTGACCTGACACGTGGGCAAACACAAACACCTTTTCGAAATGACATCGGTTTTTGCTCCCGAATGTTGGCCAGATTGCAACATAGCAACCCCACACCACGCAGCATATGGCACCAAGTATACGGAGAGACTCAGTCAACCAGTTAAACGGGGACGAGAAGCGGAAGGTACAAAAGAAGCACGTGAAGGTGGGACGATGCAAGTGAAAACATTCAAAGGCTCCTTTGACCGCATACCTTGCACCTTCTACCACTTATCAGCTGAGTCGGTTGGCTTCTCAACCTCATTACTTATCGCGCTAAGCGGCGTCAGCCGGTGCATCCACGTCCTGACACTCTACTCTGAGCGCCAGTCGCACCTCCTCATCGCCTTCACAAGACTCTCAAAATCACAGGCAGGCCAGGTGGCTTGAAAGGCCGCAATTACACACAGACATCATTACCAGAGTGCTCTCAAGCAGCTTAAACAAAAGATATCGTCGATGAAATTTAACAAACCGCTTAATAAGGATGTGCAAGGATGTGCAACTGGAAATACTGGTTTGACAAAGCACGTTTGAGCACGTGCCCTCACTGTTCGGTGACTCGACAATAATAGAATTTTCAGGCAGATCTGCGGAGGCCAAACTACTACCAGGCAGAGTAACAGAAAAATGAGGACACAGGCGACCAGAGCCTTTCGACCGAGTCACTGGAGGCAGTATGTGAACCCAAGTCGCGTCAAAACGAAGCTTAGCAGGACGTTGCAAGGCATAATCTGGACGCTTCAAGGCCCAGAAATCCAGCCCTTGTCTTCAAGGTAAGAGTAGAGCCATGTTAGTAAGCGGCGCTTTACGCAAGCAATCGAGACCAGTTTCTCGGGTTGACTGCCAATGAAGGAGCATACGTAAGTACTTATAGAAGCTTTACTATCATCAGCATCGACCTTTTTGCAAGGGTCGGCGACCTAAAGTCTTTGGCTTCCCTTCAAAGAGGCCAGAGCTTGGCTCGTCCTTGCTACTAGAGGGCATGAAAGATCCTGGCTTTCAGCTCACGTAGTATTGTGCCTTCCGCCTTGCTAGCAAAATTCACTTGTCTTACATTCTTCCGGGACATGAATGCAGCATCTGGAACGTGGCAAGTGCAGAATCGGCTCTGCAGAGTGCCGAGAAAGACTCCTCCCTGCCGCAACTTACGGAGGTTTCCTAGAAATGCACTTGATTCCGACCGCAACGAATCCGAATAAGTCCAAGAAGGTCTTGCCTGAATTACGCACACAATGATTTTGAGAGACCTACGGACAGCGGAAAAGACCAGCATTGGAGAATGTGCCGTTGATTGGATTCTCGAACGTGATTTGAACTTCGTTTCGACAGACTCGCAAAGAGGCAACGAGGACAGCAAGAAGACTCAACGAAGAAGCGCATACGTAGCTTTCGGGTACTCTGCAGGCCACTAGCAGAAGCTGAAAACCACGTTCAATTGTAACTTGCGCCGAGGCGACAATTCGTTCGTCCTGTTTAGTCCACTGCATCTTTCAACGTCGTTGCATCTTTCAATTCGTAATTCGCTGAAAGCCACGCGGTCTTATACGAATCTTATGATACCGTGTGCAGATGTCAAACCTTGGGCAGAAGCAAAGGAGCGGTCAGGCTCTAGAAAAAAACGTCACGGCTGACATCGGGTGCAAGAAATGTTTACAATGCTTAGCACGGTGGAAGAACAGCATCAGCGGACGTGCTAGGACCCTTCTGGCTTGTTTGCTTTGCGCACCAGCTTCTGCTCCTCTTAGCTGCTCTAACGGTCCACATAGATCAGTCAAGAGCCGGACGCAGATGATGGAGACAGCAGACAGATCTTTTGAAAAAGCTTTCTGCTTGAAGGAACCATCCACTCGAAAAAAAAGAACAGCGTACTACTTCGATGCACGAAGTGTCACCTGTTACTAAATATTGAAATCGGCACGGAACCAGCGCCATATGTTACGGGATTTACACCCTGACTGGCATATTGCCACGCTCGAGACCAATCCGATGAAGGCCAGGATTGCGACCACCTCTCAGGAAAATGCTTCACGGAAATTTTGAAGAGCAACTTAGATGTGGCGCACTGCACCAGAGTCCCACGAGATCGTGGAACGAGAATCACGTCAACAAAGTCAGCGAGCGTCCGAAGCACGCGGTGGGCTGAATAGGGGTGCACCCAATGCAACTGGTGCCGACTTGAGTTGCTTTCGAGAACCTTCGGGGTGAGGAAGCGCAGCATCGCTCCGCATTGAATCACGACCAATGACGACCTTGGCTGTCAAGGATAGAGGCCAAGATATTTCATGCCATCATTGCCACCGATCATCCAGAGACAGCACAATGAACGCACTTGCGAGTATAATAGATTCTAAGAAAGCTGCTCGACTTGAGTAAGCCACAACTAGGCAGAATGAGGAGCTTGCTACTTGTAGCATAAGTACAGGTAGCAGAGTCACGTGCGCAAGTCGAGCGCACGTCGGAGTATTCTGGGAGGAGACTACTGTTTGTATTGTAACGGTGTGGATACAGGAAACAAGGAGGGAAACTTTCTTTTTCCCTCCTTCCGGGGATGTTTAAGGCCAGGACAAAAGGAGCAGAGCAGAAGAGATATGGGAAGCTGACACGATAAATGAATTCATGAGCCCCAAAGTTCTCGAGACCTCCCTTCACGCCTCACTGTTTCATGTCGGGTCGTAAGATGTCCGGGAAACTCACACTGGCAGCATCAGGGTGAATCTGGATCCAACCGAGGCTGGCTTTCTGAGCGTGCCAAGCGTAGACCATCTTAGCTGCAAGCAGAAGCACTAACTATGGAACTACGATCACGCAACAACGGGTTCTCGCTTCATTTAGGTGCTGGTCGAAAAGGTCATTATGCATTCTTCTACTGGGTATCTTTTGATTAAGCTTTGAAAATGCAAACGGATTGGTCTGAACTCTGAAAGGGCGACTGACTTCCACTCCCACTGGGAGGGGTCAGAGATGTGTACGTCGTAATTGAAGTCTGCCCTCAACAAGACTGCCGGATCGTGATCACCCTGTCCCATTTAACTGCAGTTGTGCTTGCAGAAGAGGGCCTGACCATCATCTTTGAGCAAAGCTACGAAAATGAATGACCAGCTTGTAATCCTCGTCAGACCACAATCTCCGTCCCATGAATCTTAGTTGCCACTGGAAAGTCCACAAAAGAGTCAGAGCGTCTCAGATTCACATCTAAAAGCGAATCACGCTCGCCTTTTGTAGAGGAACTAATCTGTAGAACTAGAACCGAAATCATGCTGGCTTCAGATTACAATCTGCCCCTGGCCATTTTACAGCAAGCCAGTAAGGCTGTAATTGCTTCATAGCCGTCCAAGATCGCCACGTCACGGTTTATTGATCGGAATGCCCAGGTTCCTAAGGTCTTGCAATGGCATTCAGGTAACATTCAACAGCATCGCTACCAAGCCTAGCCAAACGAGGATGCAACGATCAGAAAGAAAATTAAGACGATCCGGACCCAAATCGTTAAGACCGTAGACAACCGCATCTTGTGCATTGAGAGGCCTCTTCAGCTCCTCCATTTCTGACGTACGGTGCAACAAGAAAGCAGCGGTCCGACAACCTTGCAGGATCATTGGCCGTTGTAAAAGCCAACTCTCTCATCCTTGCCGCTTTCTTGGAGCTTCTGACAAAAGGCAGCCGTGGGCAGTGAACGCAGTCTATCTGGATTCTTTTCCATGCAACGCACATTTGTGGTAAGCACCAGCAAATATGGCACAGCGTCAGGACGAATTCAGCAACGTCTGGCTCCGTCTATCAAAGCCAGTCCTGAAGCTTAGGTCTTCCTCGCTGCAGATGAGCTTACTGTGGCGTGCGTTTGAGTTCTCGCAATGCAAGCTCCATACATTAAATATCAAGCAAGTCATAAGCAGGACTATCAACGGGGCACTGGACACTGCCTCACCGGGCTTGAGAATCGGATCTTGTGCGGCACAAAAGTCTCTCTTGAACAATCGTAGAATTAGAGGCGCTAGGAGTTGACTTTACCCTGGTGGTCTTGTGAAATCGCGAGATTATGGATTCGTTTCCGCTGCTCAACCAAAGGCTTACGAACAAAAATGGACAGAAACGGAGACGTGATCGTGCAAGAGAACGTGGGGGCTCAAACGGGGGCTTATCACCTATTGTCAGAAATAACCGCTCCTTGCCAAAATGTTCAATGAAAGCGCTGCCAACGCGAGTACTTCGTCAAACTTTGAGTCGAATTAGATTGATGCTTGATAATCTTCCAGGAGTGGGTCTTCCTGAAAAGACTGCTAGGCAGGGGTATCATTCCGGCCTCAAAAAAGTCCCACATCAGATGCGGCTCGACCAATCGACTTCAATCAAAACCTCGCATGGCCGCTAGGAGGCTTGGTGATATACCGCAGCGCTTGATTTGAAGGAACAGGGAGAGTGAAAGTGCCGTCGGGACCCATTGCTTTCAATGCTTCATTCGCCCTCCTTGCTGATTGCTAATACCCGCAGACATCACCAGGCATGGAATCCAAAAGTAGAAGCTCATTCTTGAGGACTCGGTCAAGGTTTCTTGTCCTCGAAGGAAAGTTGCTGTGGTCCGAGGCGTTACTAGGGAGCTGCCGAGCGAGCACGCTGTTGCATCCAACTAAACAGCATAATTCGAAAAGCAACGCCCTTCAGCGGATGTACCTGGTTTGTAAAAGCCTTTGGTCTAGCGAGAAGGCACACTGTCGCTTAGTGCTGGGGTTTTGCCCATGCCAATCTAGAGGTGGAGGAGCGAAGTGGAGAATCGGAGACGACAGCTGCGTAGCACCCTTTCCCAATTCTCAGTCCAGCATTCCTGTTCTGTCTTGTGGCGCAGCATACTTTCACACTGGCAGCTTCAGGAAGTAGTTTGCATGGCTTCCGTTTGACGCGCCACGCATTGACCATCTTTGCTGCCGAGCGGACTCTTTAGGCAAAAAGAATGACCATGGAAGAACAGTCACACGTGACACGACCTCTTGCCGCATTTGAGTGGTGAGTAAAGAATAATCGGCCGTTCTTGCCTTCATGTATCTAAAAGTTCCTCAGAAAAGGTTTGGATTGGTTTGAGTGCCGACAGGGCGACTGACTTTCGCCCCCAGCTGGTTGGAATCAGAGATGGGTATGGAAAAGTTGAAGACTTGCTTCGGATTGCCGGGTCGTGACCATCCTTGGATAGTGAAACCGCGCGTTCTAGCACAAGACGCGAAAAACAGCTAGCACACAGCTCGAAACCATCAATTAATGAAGCATATGGGTTTCCGTGCACTCTTTATGCTTCGCCCGAAGCTGGAGTTCAAAAGACGAGAAGCCGACTCAGAAAGCATTGTCGAAAGAACGTCTAATCTTCAGGAAGGTTTTTTTTAGGAAACCAAGATCCGAAGCGCACAGCCAGCTAAGCAAGACCTGGCACTGAAAGGTGCACGAGCACCAGCTGCAGTAGGGCGATCGCGACAACGTCACCGCCAAAGCATCGCGATTCTAGAGTGGAATTCCAGTACCAGCAAGACGACTTTCACACTTTGTCCGTCTGAGAGTTCCAAAACCACGGTACTGCGATGGTGCTTGCGGAACGGAAGAGGGGGGGGGCCGACCGCCAATCAAGTCAAGTACGTAACGTGGATGACCAGCTTCTATCACTTTTACACTTACAATTGAATGGACGATCTTCTTCCATGAATCTTAATACTTGAGAAAAGTGACGAGCCAGAGCCTTCTTTCCAAGGAGGAAAAACGTTTTCAAAGAACGAACGAAACTCACGGCGGCTTCTTACTTGAGTACATATGGCCTGTTTCCGGCGGGCCAACAACAATGCGACTGCATCATAGCCGTCTGGTGCCACAATTTACACGCTCTGACACCGATCGCTTGGCCTATTGTCATTAGGATATGCAGTCACGTTGAACAGGTAACTTAGAATTTACAGGTTAGAAACGCTGTCAAACGTTCAAAGGAAGTCAGTCTGCGGAGGGATAAAGGTGGACGGGTCTTCAATAAAACCTTGCCCAAACCTCCCCACCAAACAGTCGAAGACATATGTTAACCCGCTTGCATATCAGAAACAAAGAAAGGATAAAGAAAAAGGACATAAAAACGTGTCCGCACGCTTTGGAGCATTTTGAGCAAAGCTCTCTCACCAGAAAGTCGAAGAACACGTTCTCGTACGGCACCGGCTTGCTGCTCCCCTCCGGCGGGAACACCCTCTCCTGCTCCGCCAGCTCGGTGGAAACCACCACCCGCCGAAGTAACGCCTCCAGGTTATCCCCCGAGTGCTGGAGAGCGCCCGGTTGGACATACTCCGGGCGGTCGTTCTTGGTGTGGTACACGTGGCCCCGTTTGATGTACGCAAAGTCGAGCCCGGAGAGGCCCCCGACGTCCCGGTAGACTTGGAAGTCGGTCGCGCTGTTGATGAGGTTGTTCAGGAAGATGTCCTGGCGTGAAAGGATTGGAAAAGCATTGGGGATCTTGCTTTGGCTAAGAGACTATCCTGCAGGAGCTCAGGTGATCTTTCAGAGCGAAGGGTTATGGAGACGATGGGTCTGTGAAGCGTTCGAGCTTTGGGTTGATGTTGGGGGGGAGACGACGGTTTGTAGTCTGGTTCGAGATCCGAGTTGATGTTGTTCAGTAGCAAGTGATGCAGGGGGCGGAGCAAGTCATATCGTTCTCGCTTTCGGCGGCACTCCATTGCAGGGATCGGGCGAAGTTCCCAAAGTCAGCTTTCAAAGCGGCAGCTAGAGTCCTCTTCCAGTGTTCAATTTTCTTCTTCGTCCACATGGGAACAGACAAAGTGAATCAGACGAAGTATTCGCGGCCACTGCACTCGACCTGGAACACTCTCATCCTCTCGACGCCTGACTACCGTTGAAGCGTTCTCCCCTCAAACAGGATACTTTTGCTCGCGACGATTGCACGGTGTGATGGGTGAGACCAGTAAGCGCAAAAGCTAGCACAACAGAAAGGGCAGAAATCCTGAGGGGGAAGGTTGGGGCCCTAACCTGGGCCACGATGTTTCCTGCAGGGTGCGGTGCCGACTCCACGTAATGGTTGAGCAGCCAGTTGGACGGCCCAGCCTGCAGAGAACAACAACTTTTGAAGCATCTAATTCTTCTCATGTAAAGGATGACCCGAGTACAAAAAGTACGGTGCACGAGTCCAGGCGAATGACGACATGAGTATGAAGGATAGGGTGCATAAGCACAGACAAAAGTCGAGAGGAACCATTCAGATGCCTGCAATGGCAGTGGAACCTTGTATCAATCTAATTGGACACGCAGTGCGAAGTAAGGTATCACCAGGGAAAAAGGAACCGCACAGAAGTATATCACTCACCAAGCTCTCCAACTCCAAGGACAGTTGTACAAGATCAACCCTCCAAGTGACATCTCAATCCGATCTTCCACCTCGACTTCAACAATCATTTCAATTCTGCATGTGCCACCTTTATTATCCGCAGTCGTTTCGTGAAAATTTTCACAGCCTCTCCTAACCTGGAAGAGTGTGTGCGGGCCCCCTGATCCCATGGCCTCCAAATCAATGGCCACCCGTACGTTGTCGCTCCAGCGGTGTTTGGTTATGAAGGCGTGCGCTCCGTCCAGGCCTTCCTCCTCCCCTTCGTTGAACAGAAAGAGGAGCGCATTCGCGCCAACACTGGCTGGGAAGCTCAGGCTGAAGGTGCGAATGAGCTCCAGGAGGATGGCCACACTGGCGGCGTCGTCGGAGGCGCCGGGGCTGTTTCCAGGAGAATATATAACAGTCACTCATTCATGAAGTGGTCTGGAGGGATTGAAAGAAAGAGAAGGAAATCTAGAAGTAGTCTTCATTTCACGGAAGGGGCATGCACGGTGTACAGCTTTGGGCTATCCTTCGAATGTGTCAGACTAGATGATGGTTCAGAGCGGAGAGGGCAATAATCTAGGTTAAGACAAACTCTGTTTGGAAAGCTTTTTCTTCCAGGCACTTGAAACTTTAACACAAAAGCTATGTTCCGAATCGGATGGTGCTTGGACCTGTAAAGTCAGCCATGAGTGCCCAAGCTGGATGCCAGTTTGAGTGACTGTACGGTCTGAAAGTACTATATCAACACAGAACATCTTACTTGAAACTCTCAGATCCTAGTTGATGTCTCACACAACTTTTCATGCAGATGCTGTGTCGAAGGGTCAGTCAGAAACAACGAACAACTGGAGGAAGTACAATCTTTTGAGAGTTCCTCAATGTTGAGTTTTGCTTGAATGCTTAGCTTCAATTACGTGTTATAGTTGAATGATTTTGAAAATCAGAAAGGTGGTGGTTTGGACCAGTACTCCTAGTACTCGCCTGGGGTAAACTGAGTCAGTGTGCACCGATAGGAGGACCGCATGCCAACTCTCGCTCGTCTCGTCCTTGACCCCCCACTGCGCGCCCCTGACCCTCACCACCACATTCCTGAGACCCTGGTACGCCAAGCTCTTCCCGCTGAATGGCCCAACGCTCAGTTGCGACACCCCGTTCTCCCCCTCCTGAACATCAACCTCAACGACCACTTTCCCCGATGCATGCTCCTCAATCCATTCCAGTTCCTGCAGTAGGTAATTGTGCACTGAGTCGAGAGCTGGGGAGCCAACAGGGTGGGGACCAACAGAAGCAATGTGGTCCAAGTGCCGCCGCGCGCGGCCTTCAGAGAACGAATTGAGGGGTGCGTCGAATGGGAGGGGGCTTGGTGTCCTGCTGGAAAAATTGTACGCGCTCCAAGCGAGGGCAGCCAGCAGGAGCAGCGTGGCGATCCAGGAGGCCTCTGTTGGGCCTTTGAGCCTTGAAGTGGCCGCCATTGTGTTGCCCAGCTGCAGCAGCTGATCAATGACTCATTGACATGATGATTTCAGCTCGTGAGTCAGCCAGCTCGAGCCCTTCGCTACACGCGGCCGCGCAAATGGCGGCCAGGACGGCCGCGCCGCGGCCACCGGCAAAAAGAAGTGGTGGCAAAAAGTCCGATGCATGGAGAAAGTGGAAATTGGAATGGTGGCGGCCGTGACGGCGTGAGGGAGGCGTGAGCAAGTACTGAACGCTTTGAGCTGGCATTTTCAGAGATCTTGGTGAGCAGCCACAATGCAGGGTCCACCTGCCCAGCTTGCAGAGGTTGCGCGGTTCTGTCAGGAGGAAGGCGCAGCCGGCAAAGAAAAGGTGAGGCACTTTTGCAATTGCAGCATTCCCCAACTTGACATCAATATCGTTTAGCTGCTCAGCATTACAGGATAATTTAACACGAGGGTTGACATCGAACTGCTTCTCGCTAGTTGCCCGACTCATGTGGGTTCAATGTATGCCCCCCCCCTCCTGTAAGGGGGTTGCTAGCTTCCTGGCAACTCTGATTGACAAGTGTGGATCGGTTGACTTCAGAGCAATCTGATCAAACTGCATGTTTTGCGAGGTTGATGATAAGAGTTGCTGCATTGCTGGTGAAGTCTAGACTTGGAGCCAGCTTTGACCAGCCATCTCCTTGTGCTGCACAGATCCTCCTGCACTACCTCAAGCGCATCGCTGTATTGAATCCGCTCCTGAGAGCAGTCACTGAGGTCGCCAGCTTCCAGCAACTAAGAAACGCTGGGACGAGTCAAGAAGATCATGGGGGCCCAGAATGTGGTCCTGGCAATGTGTCTACAGCAAGGGGTGGCAGCTCCAACCAGGAAGGGTCTGCTGAGCTCTTCGAAGAAGGAAGAGCTGAAAGTAGTAGCAAAGAGAGCTCACTTGAAAGAAGATCAGATCGACCGGGGAAGTCTGCAAAGCTTGCATTGGCTATCAATGCAGACAGAGAACTTCACAGCGTCCTCCTATTTGAAAGAAGGAAACACCACAACTCTGACTGGACACTCCCCCCCAGCCAACATCCAAAACCTCAAAGCACGCGCCCCTTAGAGGGTGTCCCATTCCTTGTCAAAGATGTCATCGACGTTGCCGGGTTCCGCACGGTCGCCGGTTGCGAGCTTCTCGCCCGCACGCACCCCGCTGATGCCAGCGCTGACATTGTCCGCCAGCTTCAGGCTTTAGGGGCAGTTCCAGTTGGCAAGAGCACTGTTCCGGAGGCTTGTTCGCAAAGCCGTGTAGACGTACAGACGTTCAGCAGTCTGCACAGTGTGACGGAGAACCCTTATAAGTTCTCTATCACTTCGGGGGGGTCCTCGGGGGGCTCGGCAGTGGCGGTGGCAACGGGGATGGTGCCCCTGGCAGTGGGAACTGATTGGGCGGGCAGTCTGCGGATCCCGGTAAGGGGCGTGTTTTAGTGGTGTGCCACCTCTGAAGTAATTGGAAGATTGGTTGGCACCCGTTCAAATGGCATACAAAGGCCCCAAGCCAGAAACGACTTTCAGTGTCGAAGTGAACATGCAAAAAGGGACCACGGAGCTTCTCTTTCAATCTAAGCTAGGAGTCAGCTCGTTTTGGAAGTGATGTTATGTCCTAAGTTTGAAAGCCTAAGCTGCCTCTGGGACATCTGGTTTTCAAACTCACCTTTTGGAGGGTCAAACCTCGTTCACCACTTCTGTACATCCAGAGAATAATTGTAAACATACTCATGGTGCTTGTACTGTACGTCATTCTCCCTCTTTACATCTCAAGGCGCTGAGGCCCTTCTCTTCACAAGAAACCCAAATCAATTGAACGGTGATCAATATATTCAAGGCCTGGTGGTCAAATCATACACGTCCCGGAGTCGCTTTCATATCAGGCCAACTTTGTCTTCCCAACCCAGTGCGCTCGTTCATATCATTAGGGCCATGCTCTTTTCATATCTTCCATATCAAAAGCCGCCAACTCTTGTCGTAAAGTCCTGATCTTCTTGGATGAAGGAAAGCAGTTTCTCAGAGTTCTGTCCTTCCAAGCATGCCTAATGAAAATCATTCAACTTATGTTCTTGTCTAGGCAGCCTTCTGCGGCATCTGTACGCTCCGCGCTTCCCGTGGCCGGATGACCATTCAGTACCCCGAGCGAACAGTACCCCCAATGCCGCTACCTTCAGAGGACCCGCGAGATGGGGAGATCATGACGGCCGGAGTCTTCACCCGGACGATTCGCGAGCTTCAGTATGCGGTGGGAGCGCTACTAAGACCAAGCAGGAGAGGTCCTTTGGTGCCGTCGGAAAGCGGTGAGTGGTTGATGCTGATGACAGGGTTTCATCGTTCTCCTCGAGCAGCCTCTTTAAGCCCAATGCAACGCACTTGGAGTTGAAGTGGTGCGTTAATCGTAGAGGGGCGGAAAGCTCTTAGTGAAAGACGTATCCTCGACGTCCTGGAGAACAAGCGATAGAATGTGACAACGGACTCCTTCGTAGTGGAATCTGGTCACCTTGGCGGCTTGCTGTCAGGGGCCCTCTGCTGTCATGACCTATTCCGATCTTTAAGCGGAACCCCCTTCTAGGAGCTTCCAATGTCTGCACATCAAGCGGTTGCGATCAGTAGGTCAGCTATTCGCAGTTTGGCTCTCAAAAGGTAGCTTCGTAACGTACCAGCGTGTTGTAGATATTGTCGATATGGCCGCTTAAGCGCCTCAATTCCCCGTGATAATTTCCTCATTGACCTCCTGTTGAAACGAGCCTGCCAAGATAAGCACGATTGACATCGCCACAGCCAAGAATGTCGCTTTGCTGACCCTCTTGCATTGCTTCGAATCTTGCAGCAGCTTTCGCCGTCACACCTTCATTCCCCGTCGTTGCAACGGACGTCCGGATACAGGAGGCCTTGCAGCGGCTGCCGGCAAGGGTCAACCCGCCGAATGGAAACGGATCCTGCTCCGCTCGGCTTGTGACAGGGCCTTCCTTCAAAACCAAGGACATATGGAAGGCTTACGGGGTGAGTACGTCTTTCTGGCGCAAAGCTTGCAGAAGAAACTTCGCAGCAGTTGCTATGGCTGGAAACAGTCTGTGATTCGGATGATGTTTTGATCAGGTTGCCCAGCAACAGAGTGAGCTTCAAGAAAGGTGGTAAAACTCGTTTTCTACTCACTTTTCGGTCGATCCTGACCAGCTGAGCTTGTTTGTCTGTAAGTACAATGGCTCATCGAGGGCTCTCAGCGTCCGACGGCCCGCTCCGTCTACCTTTGACAAATTCTCGAAGCCGAGAGGTCTTCCTTCTGCAGTCCCTGTCATAGGCTGCCTCTGCAATTGCTGTCCAGCTTGACGGTTTTGAAGAAAAGTACGACCCGCGTTTCCCGCTATCACCCAGTTATTTTGGGACGCTTTGCGAAACTGTCCAATGTGATGAAACCTTCGACCCTTTTCTGCTCACGCAACCAGGGTGTGGACTACGCTCCTGAACCCTTCCGTGTCCACAAAGTCAGCATATTGCCCGTGTTGCATGTCGAAATGAAAGGGCTTCAAGTCTTTATTTGATGCTCTACATCACTCGAAACCCCTGCCTAATTTTACCACTCGACATCCCCCACTTCCGCACATTCGATGAAACTCCGACACGACACAATGGCAACATGAGAACACGTTGACATCGACAGGACCGCTTGCTCGTGCCGTGCAGATCTTTTCCGCCAGCCTGACTGCTCACGGCGACCCACACGACCCGCACGCTCCGAAAGCGTCGCCTCCCTCGCTTGAAGACGTACGATGGGCGCGAAGCGTGCAAGTTGACACGGCCTCCGCCGTTGATGCGTTCCTGGACGAACAGCAATGTACGGCCTGGATCGTACCAGGTAGGCGCTCTTACTTGGAAAGGTTTTGTGCGGTTTGTTTCCTTGGTCAGCAAGTGGTGTCTCCTCCCCGCTCGTGCGCTCTTTTCGGTGTCACATGTGAAGCGGCGGTCGGCAAGAATGGGTTCGTCGCCGCGAAAGGACGTTTCCGAGTCAAGGTGATGGTCACGGACGCCAGGTGCATTGATGTTGAATGCGTGACTCTTACAACAAACCAATTTCAGCAACTTTTGTTTTGCACTTCCTGTTCTCGGTTGTTGGCCACGGCTAGATGATTACGAGACCCCATCAGCAGACATTTTCCCTTCTTTCTACCGTTCAAATCGGCGCACGAACCCTTCTTTCAAGTAGAAACCAACCACCTGAGTAGACACTTTTGTTCACAACTACTCCTCGTCCACCGACCTACACCTAGTAGGCTCGATTTCGAATGCTTACGGTTATGAGCCCGTAAAATTAGATTGCCGCGCGGTTGCAGTAGCGTATTGGATTTCGACGTCGCGCAAAGGAGACGAGCAGGGCAAACCGCTTGTAACACACGTTACAAACGCACTCATGCGTTTTTCCCAGACCCGTAAAACAACTTGACCTGATAGTTCGGGTTTGCCCCTCCGGAACCATGATTAGATAGCTAACTCCTCTCTGATCTAAATTTCTTTTGTTGATCCGCAGTCTGTGGCCCGCTGCCAGTTTTCCCCAACCCCGAGCACAAGCGCTTCCATCCGATAGGCCACACGAAAACTGCGTACTAGTCTTGGTTTCTGATTCTCTCCTGTGCTTCCGCGGTCTGTGGCCCGCTGCCATTTCCTCACAACCCCGAACACAAGCGCTTCGACCTGAAAGGCCACACGAAAACCGCGCCGTACTGGCCCACGATGCTGGGCTACGTCCTCCCCTTCAGCGTCTCCTGCAACCCGGTGGTCGCCATGCCGCTGGCGCTCGTCGAAGGGGTGCCCTGCGGAATCCAGGTGGGCAGCTTTCGACGCAAGTGGTTTCGGGCCCCTTTCAGCTTTGAACGGCGGTGCGAGCTTGAACACGGATTTTTGTTTAAGTTCTGAAGGAAGTTGTGGCTTGAATGCACACGAGCAAGGACTTTCCCTTTAGAAAGTGCATGCTGTGGAGGGATGAGTTGCATCAACCTGGAAAGAAGTGAAACTAGGGAGCTGTCGGACCGACAGTCAAGCGATTTGAAGTAGTGGCGACGATATCAGCGATATGGCTGTCCCCCAGGCAACGCCCTGTCAGTGAAAAGGAATCCAGAAGCTACCTCAGGGGGTTGTTCCTCATCTTCAAAAGAAAAGCGGTTTCTGTGGCGTGTAACTGTCACAAGCCCCGAAAACATTCTTAAATTGGATATTCAGATGACGAGATGCACTGGAAGTCTGCAATCAGAGTAGTCTCCTTTTCGCCGTTTGTTGTGGTCAGCGCAGACTGACAATTGGCAAGTTGCTTCCGGGTCCTGGCGAGCGCTTACATTTCCATCTTCCCCTTAGGTCGTAGGGCGCAGCGGCGCCGATGAAGAGCTCTTATCGGCATGCGCCCTTCTGGAGACGTGTCTGGGATCGCTCCCGCGCCCCGAAGACGTGAAACACCCGCGACTAAGGACTCCCGTCGCACGACTATGAGGTAATGCTTAGCTACTCGGTTCGTCCCACGGTTGCTTTCTTTGCCCGTTCGGAAGAAAAGGACTGAAGTTCTCTTGCTCTGAGCACTTTCACCATCTGAAGTTTTAGGATTACGACCTTAAGCCGTTCGAGCGTCCACATGCATTCGTTTGAAGGAGACTTCGATGAGCCATCTCATCAGATAAACACCTCTAACGCGGACGTGTGTGAAGCGCTTGCTTCGGTCTTTAGACAAGCCGGTGATTGATGTGCACATCGGTCAGCGGAACGGCGGAACTAGTTTTGGCATAGCAGAACGCCGGAACGCCGGTAATGAAGTCGTTGCTTGTACGGATTGCAATTTTTGGAGCTCACGCCGAGTCAACGAGGTGGGCAGGCAGATCCGGGGCCGGGGCACACAGGTACTAAGGAGCACGTCAGGAGTCAGGACCTGGAACCTGATGGATCTCCCGTCAGTAAGAAAGTCAGTATGGAAAACGGATCCTCAAGAGTCCCACGAGTGCGGACAGGACTTTGCCCCGGGGCGCTTCTGCGCCCAGGGGTGCAGGCCAGCTTCCCCACAAGGTAGTACTAGGGATGATAAAGCACCCGGTACAACTTTGCACGACTATTCTGACATTTTGCAGTTTCGGACCCCGGCCCCCTGGGTCCGCGGTACGACTCGTTAGCCTTCGGTCGCCTTTAATACGTCAGCTTTTCTGACCAGAATACTAGAATATACAGTCTACTGAAGTTGTTTCGCATCTCTGATTTGGACCCCTGTACTTTGCACATACGTATTCGATGCTTCGAGCTTTCGGAAAGCACACATGGCATACGGTATACCTTTGATGCTTGCTTTTCGTTCGGGCCTCGATGCACCCGGGGGCGCTCTGCGCCCCGGTCTTCCTTCCGGGGGCACAGGACAATTCCCGAGGGCGATCTGCGCCCCATTCTGCGCCCCCCGTCCGTACCCCTGCTCAAGACCCAGGCTATGAAAGGCTGAAGACAGGCTGACTCAGTACCTACAGCGGCCAGCCTACAGGAGTGACAGTAGTCACAGGACCTAGGGTAGCCCTGTCAGCAATATCAGAAGGTGCCAAAACTGAAAGATTCCAAGGTTCAAACTGATGCATAATGTTCTCATCGATCCTTCGTCTACGGTACATGCCACATGGCATCGATTGTGTGCCATGTGGAGGACCACGCCAGTTGGGAGGGTCTGTCACTCGTGTGACTGGTGAGTACACTGTACGACCGGACAACTTACCGTACAAGGCTATAAAGCAGCCAAAGCTAGACACACATGATAAGCATCCCAATCAATGAACTATCATGTGGATCTTCTCGTTTATCCGGCACGAGATATTCCGTTCTGCCCTCCTGTCCTCAACATGCATCAGCAACCATGCAGAATCCTTCTGACTGTGAGAGGAAGGGAGGTGATTTGACAAGAGAGAGAGAAGACAGCCCTCTCCCTATTGCCTACCTTTCCTTCCTTATTTGAAGATGATCATGCATAAACAGGAACAATGGAGAATTGCCTCGAGAAATCAGAGAATGCTTTGTTTACAAAATCTCTGGCCTGCCGTCTATTATGAAGTGCTGTCTTTGATCACTGATGTCCGATTTGGATGAAAGCATCCGGCATCACTACTGTGGGACTGGCTATGTATGCTGAAAATGGTGTCTCTATAGGGGCTGGGCCAGGGACGGGTTACAATCAAGAGCATTGAAGCAAGATGAAAGACTGAAGCATGGACTAGTGCAAAAGACCAGAATGACCTAAGACCTATCCATCATGCATGTCCACAAGATTTTTCCTGCTTTACGAAGAGCTTCGGCATTGATTAGGATCTTGGTGCCCTGAGGGTATTGTATCATACCTGGGGGAGGAGGAAAGAGAGAGAGATGTCGTCAGCAGCCCGCCTGTAGAGAGTCTTCAGAGTCTTCGAGAGCTTGACCAATCAGAGACACAGCCAGAGAGTCTTCCCGGAATCAGAGACACACGGATTTCTTCGTCTTCCTGGCCCAGCCCCTTGCAGTACTTCGAGAATTTGCGCTCCTAGGAAAGCCTATCGTCTGATCGTCTGCGCTTTCGTGCTATGGCTGCTATGCTGATTGCTGAAGGAAGTGCGTCTTTCGTTGCGCGAAGTGCATTTGTGAGAGACGAACAATCTTCCTGGTCTTTGCATAGCGCCAGCATTTTCTTGATTTACCCGCTGAGTCATTCGGAGCGTTGCAATTGCTGACGTGTCAATAATCGATTCGACGAGAGTGAATCGTAGCAGAATGCACCGTTCGATTCAGAAAAGATCATGACCTTGAAAGATCGTAGGGTTTAACGTACACCTGGGTTGGATTCGTCGGGGTTTGACGCGGCCGCCGATGGCGCCGAGCCGGCCGCGGTGGTGCCGACGGGCGTCTGGCCAGCGTTCTTCTTGGCCTTCCGTGTCTTGACACCATCGTTGTCTGCCTTGAACAGGAGTGCGGTCAATCCTGAAAGGTGTCAATTGTGTAAGGATTTGCGTAGAGCAATGATCAAGCCAACCGATACGTGTGACCAGCGTGTGTGAGTCGACAGTCTTCTTGCACTACCGTACGGGTAGTACCGCATGCTGTCAATGGCGCAGACTCCTTTGCTGAGTGATTGGGCGCTCGGTGAGCTAGATAATACGGTACCTACCGTAGTACGGTGCTGGCGGTAGTACCTTATTTGGTGAGCATCTCGAAAGATGCTCATTGCTTTAATACCTGCTTTAAAGGGTACCGTCATTTTGAAGTGGCACCCCCTTAGGTATTCTGTTGGGGGGGGAGGCTTGGGTTT